CTCCTTGGGATCCAATGGCTCTATAAGCCATCACCAATTGATTTCACCTGTATGGCATGACGGTAGAGCAGAAGGGCTCACACCTGTATAGATGCAACCAATAACCCCCTGAGTGATCTATTACTGACACTTGGCTATCGCTAGGTCGAAAAGCTTACTCTGTGTTCTCGTCTTCGAGAAACCTTCGAGAAACATCCGAATGCGTTCCGTGTGACGCTGGTCAAGCATATTTGGGGGTTCAATAACACAGAAGAAGAAGAAAATAAGGAAAACCAGACGAAGGGTGTGGTTAAATGTCTTTCCAAATTCCCAACCGGGTGCCGGCCTTCAACTCTGCTCAGCGCGAAATAGAGGATGGGTACTGGCGAGCCGCCACAACCAACAGCCAGTTCGCCAAACAGTCCGGCATCCAACTCACAGAGAGGATAGGGAATTTCATAACGCCTTCACGAGAGCTACCGATGTATAAAGACAAACCGTATTATAAATCTCGAGGACCATACTCAGGTGGACGGAAACGAAAAAAAGCATTATGGGTCGCTATATGTATTGGATTCTTGGTCGGTCTATGGTGGTTTTTGGGCAGCAGATCAGGGCACACACGTATTGTCAGGCCCATAGGGATGAAGGGTGGAGATATGTGGAAATGGATGCAGGAATTTGAGAAGGGCGTAGTTTCAGGAAAAGAGAAGGGCAAGACAGTTGATTGGGAAGAAAGGAAACAGAGAGTTAAGGATGCATTCCTCGTCAGCTGGGAAGGATATGAACAGGATGCATGGGGTAAGTGGCAATGCACGTCTATGAAGTTTACGTCTTTTGCTTATAGAACAATGCCTCCTTGGTCAATGGCTGACTCTGCATGTAGGAAAGGATATATATGAGCCGCTGGCTAGAAAGGGAAAGAATATGGCCGAAGGTGGCATGGGTTGGATAATCGTTGACGCCCTTGATACCTTAATGCTCATGAATCTCACGACACAGGTTCAAAACTCTAGAAAATGGATACAAAACTCCCTCCGTTACGAGCAAAACCAGGACGTCAATACCTTTGAAACTACTATCCGAATGCTGGGAGGCCTCCTATCTGCACATTACATCTCTAAAACATACCCAGACCTTGCCCCGCTAGCGGAAGATGATGACGGGGCTTCCGGAGATGACCTGTATATCGAGAAAGCCACAGGACTCGCAGAGCGATTGCTGGGCGCATTTGAATCACCCTCTGGTATTCCATTCGCAAGCTTTAATCTCAATTCGTCCCAGGGCATACGGTCGCACACGGATAATGGGGCGTCTTCAACTGCAGAAGCCGGAAGTTTGCAGCTTGAATTCAAGTATCTGGCTAAATTGACAGGGGAAACCCATTACTGGGAGAAGGTGGAGAAGGTCATGGAAATCATTGATGGGAATCAGATGCAGGACGGACTACTGCCTATCTTCATCATGGCCGATACCGGTAAATTCATGGGCGAGAACATCCGACTAGGTAGTCGCGGAGATTCCTACTATGGTAAGATGCTTCGCTCATCATGCTTCATGAATGTTCGAGCAGAGGACTGACCAATTTCTAGAGTACCTTATAAAGCAATTCTTACAAACATCGGGCGAAGAACCCATATATGAAAACATGTGGAACCAAGCACTCGCAGGTATCCGCAAACATCTCATCACCTATACAAAACATGCTTCATTGACCATTGTGGGAGAGCGTCCGAGCGGGCTTACCGAACCCCTTATGCCGAAGATGGACCATTTAGTATGCTTTTTGCCTGGCACAATAGCCCTTGGGGCCACGGGGGGATTGCCTCTTTCTAAGGCTCGGAAAACCCCTGGATGGAACCGCCGGAAGGAGGACGAAATTATCCTTGCTAAGGAACTGGTAAAAACATGCTGGGCTACTTATCTTGCGACTGAGACCGGGCTAGCCCCCGAAATTGCTTATTTCGACATAGACAAGCCTCCAAGAATGATGGCTGATGTATTTTCAAAGTCCAGGGGTGAATCCGAGGACGGGGAAGGTCTGAAAACCACAGGAAAGGCGAAAGAAGAAGGTATATACCTTGTTTCTAAACCCCTTGAACCTCTCGACGACAAAAACAGTCCATGGAGAGAAGATGTTATCATCAAACCTTCCGACCGACATAACCTCCAGAGACCGGAAACTATCGAATCTCTCTTCTACCTGTATCGCATAACAGAAGACGAGATGTACCGTGAATGGGGCTGGGAAATGTTCAAGAGCTTCATAAAGCACACCGCCGTTATCGAGGATGAGATTCCTAAACAGAACCAAGATGGTTCATCGGAACAATCTACCTCTGACGATAGTTCCCCAGCAGCAAAGAGCTCATACATTCGGGCATTTACATCACTATCGAATGCTGACACGATACCCCCAGGAAGGATAGACAACATGGAAAGCTTCTGGCTTGCAGAAACCCTTAAATATTTCTATCTTCTATTCTCGGACAAGGACTTTATTCCACTTACGGAAACAGTGTTCAATACGGAAGCACATATCTTCCCTCGATTCAAGATGGGGAAGCTGTTCAAGACAGGATGGAAGAGAAAAACTGAATGGAAGGCCACTGACTAAAATAATGAAAATTTCCTCCATCTAATATTGGCATGGTATATCTACCCTGATTGTGGTTGTATTTATTTCCTTGTTGTACTTATATCTTTTATAGATGTACTCTTAAGCGTTTGTATTTCTCATATTCACTTTATATCCACAAACAAATAAATCATACAGCTGGTGTTACGAGCTTTCAAGGGAGCCGTGATCCCAGCTATAAAGGCTAGTTATATACTTGAGCTGAACTGGCTTTAGGACCGCTCTCTTTCCGCAGCTTTGGCAACAAGGGTTTTATATCCTTCCAGGCCAGCCTCTAATTCGCCAACGGTCAAAGCTTCATTCTTGCCATGGGCAACGAAGATTGTACCGGGACCATAAAGATACCGCTTGACATTGTCGCCATAGATTTTCCAATGTGGGACATCGGTTCCATAGTTGACAGTGGTGACGTTGAACCCATCAACATCCGCGTCTATATCCACAACGCCGTAGGCCTCTAAACCAAAGATAACCTCGATGTCCCCCTTCGGGCGCTCAAGGCCGTTAGAGATAACTACAGTAGCATCCTTTCTATGTTTTGTAGCTGCATTGCGAATAGCACGGAAGATAATATCTTTTGCATCTTCAGGGTTACCAGCTGCAAGACGTACAGCGACATTCGCAACAGCCTCCTCTGCAACAACATTCGCTGCAACGCCGCCAGACATGAAGCCGATGTTCAAGGTGGTACGCCCATATTTCTCGCTAGAAGGCAACCCACCCTGTGATACAGGAATGTCGCCAAGTCGATCAACCTCAGTCAGAATGGGCAACATCTCAGATACGGCGCTGCGGCCCAGCCAGGGGTATCCAGAGTGAGCAGGCTTCCCGTGAACACGGATGGTAAATGAAACCATGCCCTTGTGGCCAGCTACGAGAGCACGTTCGGTAGGTTCACCAAATATGATGGTGTGATAGGTACCCGAGTTAAGACGGGAGTTGGAGAAGGTAGACATGCCCCTGCCGCCCACCTCTTCACTGACAACGAATAAGAGGCCAATTGGGATGTCTGGGTGTTTCTCCAGATGGTCCATGGCGGCAATGACCTGGCAAGCTACAGAGGCTTTGTCGTCAACGGTTCCACGACCGGAAATGAGGATGTCATCTCTCTTGAAAGAGGCAGATTCCGGGTGACTCAGAGAGTATGGGATGAATGGAGGGACGGTATCGATGTGGCTTGTTAAAATAATACCTGGCGAAGCACTGTTTCCAGGATAGGCGTAGATATTGAAACGGCGGTTGGAGCGAATTGGTTTGCCGGTAGGATCATCATAGTCGACGTATTGTTTCTCAACAGTAAAGTTCTTGGAATACAGGTAGTCCATCAGAAAGCCTCCCACAGCCTGTTCATTGTCGGAGATAGACTTGATCTCAACGAGAGCGCGATGCAGGGAAAGCAATTCAGAACTGGCGATGACTTTATCCATCTCTGATTTCAGCAGATCGTTGTTATTGGGATCGATGCGGGCAATGCTATCGAAGCTGTCATCACTACCTCCAATGTCAAGAGGCGTTTGATCAAAAACTGCTGACCTGGCATCGACGAGCGAGCTCGCCAGTAGAGAAACCAGCGCCCAAATATATGTCTTCTGCATCTTTGTTTTGTTGCTTTTCAGCCCTTTCCCTCTGACCCAATTGATGCTGTCGAAGAATGACTGCGGAGTTGATGAATATCCGGGGAGAGCTTGGTTAAATAGTTGAACTAGTTAGTTAGTTTGTTATTGTCGGTGCGGATCTTATTTTTGAAACACCTCACTTGCAGTAAAACAGACGATAGCCAACCAATACGAGCATGGATTGGAATGCTTGTTATCCGCTTAGCTCGGTTCTCCGCACTTCGGTCGGCGTCTTGACCGATCAATCCCAGGCAGCAAAGCGAGTTCTCTCAAAATATGTTGAGCGTTTCTATCCAAATTGCAATCCCCGGATTCGAACTAGAATGTGGAGGATAGTTCCACAGAACCAAGAAACACCCAAGATTTCCAAGAATAGTTGAATAAATACTTATAGATTAGATTAAAGAATAGAAAGTAGGTATATATGTAGACATCACAATCGCCCCCGAAACCAAAACCCCATAGGCCAAAAGACCACATACCAACAACCAAGACATTAAATAAAAACCACCTAGGTGGATGGGGAATAAGATAAGTTTAAATGTAAAAGGAAAGGGATAACAAGAAGGACAAGTCATAAGTCATCATCATCCATATGGAGTATATGGAGTGGAAATGGGTGTTTATAGTGAACGGCCGTCTCCAATAAAGAACAGGGAACGAGGTAGAGAAGGAGGTGGGAGAAGGAAAGAATAGGTTTTAGGGGAATAAGAAGAATAATGATAAAAGGGGAAAAGAGAGAGGATGGGGAGGAATACACGATCCTGTTATATCCTCCATTTACTCTGTCGCGCACAAAACTCAACCAATAACCTCTCCAAGTCTCGCAGCTTATAGGGCTTTGTCATGTATCCTTCCATGCCAACCTTAGTAGCTCGTCGTAGCGCTTCGTCAGTAACGTCTGCACTGACGGCGAGCACCGTAGGTCCCGGGGGCGGCACGTTTGCAGGGTCATATTTCACCATTCGTTCACGGTATGAAGAGACGAGGGAGAGTATCCGTTCTGTGGCCTCGTAGCCATCCATGTCCGGCATCCATAGGTCCATGAGGATTACATCAATAAATTTTGATTCAGTAGAAGGAGCTGGAGAAGGGGAACGCGAAGGAGAAGGCGAAAATTGGCAGGGGGATGGGGATGGTGAGGGTGATTGGGAAGGCGACGTGGACTGGGACTGGGACTGGGACTGGGACTGGGGCTGGGCCTGATGCTGATGTTGATTCTGAGACTGACTTTGGCTCTCGGGAGAGGGCTGGGGTTGGGATTGGTCTTGATGTTGGGGAAGAGCCGGGGGCGGAAGCGAGATGGTTTTTGGTGAGGCATTAGGGGTGCTGCCTTCGACGGCGTATTGGGAGGAGTTCCCCTCCAGGACTTCTTTGACAACTCTTACAGCATCACGGCCATCGAATGCCTGGTATACGTCTGTATAGCCTAGTCGTTCAAGCATTGTGACTAAGATTTTCCGGTTTATCAGGTTATCCTCCGCGACCATGAAAGTGAGTGGGTGACGTTCAGCAAGAGTCTGGCGGCCGTTGAGGTAAGGGCTTTGGTGGTCGAATGGAGTGATAGTTGACATAGGAGTTGAGATAATAGGCGTGGATAAAGACACGGGTAGTGGCGGTCTGTGTACCGGAGATTGAACAACGTCGAAGGTACGAGTTTGCGCTTGTGCTTGCGTTTGTAATTGGGGTGTTGTAGGCCGAGAAGAAATTGGTATATGCGTCTCTGTTGATGGTACTGCGATATCCTGTGGATGCTCTGCTTCGCGTGCATGGCCGTCCAGTTGGCTCTCTTTACCACCATTAACTTCGCTGATAGCGTTTATGCATGTATGAGTGCTAGCGGTCGAATTCACTGAGGCACAGGTCCTAGGTGTACTCGGCCTACTGAGAACATCATTCGGAACAATGGGCAAGCGGATCTCAAATTCTGAACCCTGGAGCTCTCCAGAGGTTGAGGAGCGCACACATATTAGATCACCACCAAGCTTTCTTGATAGTCCCTTGGCCACAAGAAGGCCCAGTCCAAGTCCTTCTTTACTGCGGGTAGTTGACCCGTCTTCCCTGGCAAAAGCTTTAAATAAATTGGGTAGAAAAGCCTCCGGGATTCCAGTACCGGTATCTGTGACATTGATAATGACATATCGTGACGTATGGTTCAGTTTTGCCGTGATATTGATAGAGCCTGATTCTGTGAATTTGAGGGCGTTCAGGAAAATGCAGGAAACGAGTTTGGCAAGATCCTTTTCGTCTACGTATAGTGTTTCAGGGACACAATCGTCGACAGACCAGGAAATTTGCTTTGTTGATGCAGTACCATTCGAGGAACGGGAACGGATTTCAATTCGTTCTCCGGTGTCGGTAGGTATTGTGATTGTTGAATCGGGACGGCCACCGACATGTAAGGATTCATTAATCACAAGACGAAGCAGTTCCCTTATCTTGGTATAATGTAGAACCATGGGCGGGAAGATAGGGACAGGACGGGTTACTCGGGACAAAGACCGGGTGTGTTTGCGGGGACGTGATGCTTTATCTGATTGCTCTCTATGATTCTCAGGACTATCGGCATCATTATCTGGAGGGGCTACAGCGTCCATAAAGGCATCTTGAATATCTCCCCTAGCCGGCGTTGAATGTACGATCTTGTCACTCTCCTCAACGACGCTCCTGACTTCCGCAGTTCGTGAACGCTCACGTCGGGGAGATTTGACTGACCTGGGCTGGCGGGCGGGAGAAGATCCACGGGAGGAATCAGTACCATATGGTCGTTTACGGTTGATAGAGACATCGATTCCTGCACCAAAAATGGGCCGTAGTTCATTTGAAGGATGGGAGGAAAATTGGCGGGAGAGGCAAGGGGTGTCGTCCGCTATGGAGTTTTCGAGGGTATCTGGGACTTGCATGTTAAGGTCATAGGCATGGACGATGTTGTCCGCAGCTTCTATAGCACGCCGAGCGGAATCTATTGGTATTGTTGTTAGTTAATGGAAAGTATTTTGTGAAAAACTAGGCAAAAAAAAAAGGGGGGGGGGGGGGCAGAGATCATACCTTGAACCATCTCGATATCGCCCCTGAGACTTTCGAAGGTCTTGACCATAGCGGCAGTCAAATGCTCGTTCCCATCCGATGCCCTCTGGATAGTGTCTGCGACCGTTCCATGGATCATATCGAGCATCCCGACGACGCCGTGCATGGGTGTCCGTAGCTCATGGGACATACTGCGCGCATATAGCTTGAGAGTCGGTTGGCCTGCGCCTGGTCGGTAGGGAGTGGGATGGCGATTAGAAGATTGAGAGCGACACCTGGATCGCTCCATCTCCCGGGCTCTTTCTCTTTCTCTCTCCATCTGGCGCTCGTTTTCTTGAGAGTAGCGGCTCTCGAGCTGGCGAATTGTCGCGCTCTCCTCCATTCGCTGTAGTATTAAGTCTTCCAACGAGTGCAGTATCATCTCTAGATACGCCCAAGAAACATTCCTCTTTTCCAGCCCAACAGTTGTCCACATAAGACCCACGCGAGCGACAGGGACACGGGAATCGAAGAGCGGGACTGCCAGGCAGGCAGCCATAGGAAAGGGAAAATGAGCCATGCCAGACTCTCCGACAAGCGAAACAAGGTTGTCAGCCACGAGAAATGACTTGTGCATATCCCTAGCCATAATGTGGTAAGGCAGGTCCCAAGCCCATGGTTTGTAGTTCCGATGGATAATTTCGTCCGATCCATTGTTATAGTAGACGATCGGTGCAAGGTGGGAGGTCGAGGACGAGAGACCTGTAGCATCCTCGGTGCTACCATGCGAGGCCAGTTCCTCTACCACAAAACCACACTGAGCGTTGCATATACTGGTCAGTTCCTTCATAAGGTCTCTCCAGAATGCATCGTCGCCTGTATCACGCAAGTCTGCTTTCAACGCTACCAGTCGCTCAATGGCATTACTTTGGCCAGTCTCGAATTGCCGATACATGAGGTCGGCGGCAAGCTTCTCCTGGGCACTGACGGTGAACCGTTCGAAGTCAACGGCGCTGTAAGAACTGGAGGAGCTCTCCTTGCCATTGGGGGTGGCGGTGGAGGCCATGCCGGAGTTGGAGGCCTCTGCGAGGGTCATGATGAGGTGCTGCTAGGACATGGATGGCTCTATATCTATAAGAGGGTCAGTATTCGAGTCGACACGCTGGATAAAGGAAGGGCGGGAAGACGTTTACCACGCGAGCAGCGAGCGTCAGATGGCGCTCGTTCGGTTGCTGGAACGGTGGATGTTGGGTTGTCGATGTGTAGTTAGATTGATAAGAGCCAGTGTAAAGATGTCTTGGCTTGCGGGAGGAACTAAAACAAGAGAAGGGCAGCACAAACCCGAGGACAGGCAAAAAAATATAAAAACAAAAGGAAGGGCACCCTTGCGGATGATACAAGGCGTGCAAACGAAGCCTACAGATGCAAAATGGCGAAAAGCGAGGTGTGATAAACGGGACGACAAGCAGCAGCGAGTATTTCCCCCGTACTCTTGGACGAGAACGAAAATAAGAAAAGAAAGACGCTAGGCGCATCTAGAGCAAGCCACCAAGCTGCGGGATCGCGACGAATCTTGTTACTGGTCATATTCCGCATCAGGAGCCATGTCCCCCCTGGTCCAACGGGTACAGGCAGATACCCGACATGCAGTTACTCCGTCCCATAGTGGCAACGCTGGCGACGCGGCAGCCCATGAGACAGCCCATCTCACGCCAGGAAACACGTTTGCTCCCCCTTCCGGATGGTTAGACTTGGTGCCTGTTGTTTGGATGGAGCGGACTCCGCGATCCTCTTGCTAGTGTGGAGAACCCCGTCCCTCCCCCCGAGTCAAAGCATCGATTTCAACATGGGCGCTAATCTGTGCTGCTGGTGCTGATCCTGTAGCTGATAGTGTCAAGATGTACTCCGTACGCAGTATATCGGTACATTCACGGGACAGGGATGCGTCGACTTTCCATCTGGAGCAGTTGAACGGCTGGTCGTCAGCGGGCCTAGACTGCTCGGTTGTTCCATAGGTCGCTTTCCAATCGGTTTGACTCTCTCTCTCTCTCGCTCGCTCTCTTTTTGCTTCTTGCTTCCGCTCAGTCTGAATTCCAAGCTTATGTTGGTGCTGCGGAGGATTCCTCTGATGTGAGATACAATGTGATGGCGGTAGCTCGGCAGGGATAGGGGGGAAAAATTGGAGTGCAGCGATAATATTATTAGGCTGGCAATGCATGTGAGGTGGTCCAACTGCTGGTGCGGATACCGGCGTGGAGGGTTAGATCCTATGCTGGAGCTGGCGTATCTACTCTATTGCCACAAACGACACACATGTTTGTTCAAATGCTAGCGGGTTTTTTATTGCGAAGCGAGCTGAACAAGCTGGCTTCATGGTACTAGTTAGCTAGAGTGTGAGTAAGGGTGCCCCTTGAAGGGTTCGAAGTGGCTCATACTGGTTCAACGGGACCTCGTTCAAGCTCCGGCGCCGTAGTACGGAGTAGAAAAGCTCTAGATATGAAAATCTTACCGACATAAACAGATGGATTCCTTCGGTATGTATCTATATCGTATTCGTAATCCGGGGAGTGGACAGATTGACGCGTTTGCCGGATGCAGAAGACACCGCATACATCTCATGTTGCTCGTAAAGGCTGGAGCAAAGTCCGTTTATTGTGATTTGTCAATACACCTCATTTTAGGCCAGAATGTCTCCCTTGGACTTGTTATTGCGCCTTTGACAAGGCTGAGGCCCTTCTTCCTTCCCGTCCTACAGTCAGTCTCCTGCCCCGTCGGGTGTCATGGGAATCCAGGCTGGAATGAAAGGCACCAATCCCAGCGGATTAATGCCAACGGCAGTCCCAATACACAGTACGTAGCACATTTAGAGCGGTAGGTACCCATCTGTACCTGACGTCCATAGCTGAATTAGGAACGTACATTGTATCAGAGGTCCGCTGAGTGGGAAATGCAGTATCTATCGGCCCTACTATTTCAACGCGTTCGACATTAAACGGCTAGCAGCTGTTTGAATATCAACACCTTCCAAGAAACTGTGAGGCGACGTTTCTGATAACAGCCTAGGCCAACAGGAAATGTCATTGGTAGGCGAGATTGCCGGGCGCAAGCATGGTGAGATTTAGTCGATGTCACCGCGCCTCTTTATATAAAATATTTACTAAGAGTAAGAAGCACTGGCTCACTGTTTCTTCTCTTTGCCCATCGTGCCATGCTTCTATCTCTCGCTATTCGTTCTTGTAGTGTTATAGGGCTTTGAGTAAGTTTAGGGATAAGGAGCAGCATAAGGCAATGCGGAAAGATGGAGGAGGCATGGTAGTGATTGCAGAAGGTATAGTGAGAGGAGAGGACGAGAGTACGGAAGTACTTTGCTGTACCCCCGTATTCTTAGCAATATTGTAGATGTACGGAGTATGGAGTACTTAATATTGTTAACCTAATATGTCTTAGCTGTGGTGACCTGAATGCAATGTGTGGGTGTCTGCAACAAACCCGGCATGGCAGGTACTCAACTCAAACTATCTTTGCATTAACAGGGTGGCCGAATTAGGCTGTTTTGTGGTCGCGTCACTTCGTGTTAGAAGGGCTTGATAGTTAGTAATAAAATGACATATAACCCGAGCTCTGTGCACTTTTCGCAAGTAGCATTCAGAAAGAGGCCGAGTACACGCTAGTAGTCATTTCTCTCTGCCGGCTTGCATAGAAAACCCGCCATCCCAGCATGGGATACGTATACAGGCTTGGAGTGATGGAGTGATGGAGTGATGGACGTTGGACAGGATGTCGTTGGCAACTTTGACTTTTTGGTGTCCAGTAAAAGGGAGTCAGGAAAAGGTTCTGACATAAGCAACGCTGACTAGAGTAAACCCTAGGCCCTAAGCCCTTATCATTCCAAAAGAGGCTAGCCCGCGGCAGGCGAACCCTCTGCCACCCAAAAGAAGAAGACGCAAAAAAAAAAGCGTTCCAATTGAACATCGTCGACTTCGAAAATATCGCCAACTTCCTCACCTCCGCAGCAACCGTCGACATCACCGCTCGAGATGGCGAACGAACGCTCCGGAATCGCCACTGGCTTGAACAAGGGCCGTGTACGTTGTTTCCCCTGCCGAAAGTGTGGAAGACTTCAGATACATGAAGGGAACGATAAGAAGGGCATGTATGGGCTAAGACTTTGCGATATTATAGAAAACCACCGTCATCGAGAGACGCGCCCGTATCTCCAGAACCAAGGGATCCCTCTCCCGCCGCACCGCCTTCGTCCGTGAAATTGTCAAGGAGGTTTCCGGACTCGCCCCATATGAGCGCCGTGTCATTGAATTGTTGAGGAACTCCCAGGACAAGCGTGCCAGAAAGCTCGCTAAGAAGAGAGTAAGATGCTCCAGCAAAGTTATCTGATTTTACGGGATCGCTCAAAAGACGGGACTGCCGTGAGAAGGGGATTTGATATGGGCGGACAGCATAGCTAACTCACTCTTCTACAATAGCTCGGTACTCTCGGTCGTGCCAAGCGGAAGGTCGACGACATGCAGAAGATCATCGCTGAGTCGAGGAGAGCTGGTCACTAGAAAACGAAATCATGTCACATATTTCTCAGTTCCGAATAATACCAACCCGCCCTTCTTGAAACAAACCAGACATTTTTCAGACAAAAGCCAAATACACCTCAGATCGTCATGGAAAACGACAATTCTTGCTATTCATGAATATACTCTCGCCTTTATCCTTCGGTGCAAATTATCCGTCCCAGCCATTTAATGACTGGGGGGTACTTTTAGTTTAAAGATGTATTCATTTGCCTGGGATTGCCATGCACTTTACGGACTCTAGCGAGAGGCAGGATGGGATGGGGGATATGATGGCAAGGGACACGGAACAAGTCGCCTGGCGTTTTCATGGTTATGGCCTGATAAGATTCAGTAAATGAAAGCATTCTACCAAAATTCTTGCGTGGAGTCATGACAAATGCTCCAGACTGTTTAAGTTTCGAACATTCTATATTCTCCGTATGTGCAAAGCGCTTGCTCTTGACCATCAATATACATGCCCCGAACTCCCATTGGATATGTGAGGAACCTCCAGTAGTAGTCATACGTCACATCATATATCATATCATCTCAACTTCTTAGCTATTTCTTGCCTGGTAACTTTAACCATTTTGGCATGCCCCCTTTCTTCTTCGATCCTTCAGAAGAGTTCGGTTGTGCCTTATGACCCTGGGATTTGTCGTCCCCTTTCTCCTCTTCACCTTCAGCTGCAACATCTTTGACCTGTAGTTTCCCAGCTGCTTGCCGCAATTCAGGGCGAAGTACGGACCCGCCAGCACTACGGGCGGAAAGAGCTGCATTTTGATCCCAGACAAAGTTAACTAACACTCTCCCACTCATTTTAAGTCCATTGATAAGGGTGATATCTTCGCTTGCTAGAATCTGCGCCTGCACACGAGAAGCTCCAGCCGTAACAGCGGGGAAGTAGAAGAGCGAAAACTGTTGGTCTGCTAGAGAGGTATCTAGACAGCTTCTCGCAAACGCATAGAGCGATTGTGTTGTGTCTTCCTTTGTGAATTTGGAGATCGCTTGGCTTTGATCTGGAAAGCGGATTTTCACCTCGATCTCGTTTATCTTTGCCAATCTCTCCTGTGTCGCGTTTTCCTGAGCCGCAAGCTCAGCGTCACCCGCTAGACGGCTGGGGCGGCTTGCCGCGTTCAGTCGCTTTTGATGAGATTGAGCATGTTCAATAGTAGGAAGGTAGTCTCTCTCATTATAGGGGGTCTGGGCTGAATGAGGAGTCGTATTAGATGGCGGTGCAAAGACAGTCACAGGCCTGGAGGATATAGTCACTACCCCAGGGGTTGTGGGCTGGCCCTTATCCTGGCTCTGCTGTTCTTCTTCTTTGCCTCCTTGAGTTACATTTTGTTCACCTGGTATCACCGTGTCATCATCCACATCGCATTGCATAGCGTCTTTATCATCCACATTGGGGGTATCTTCTGTGAGTACCGGCGCATCTGTTGATGGGGTGTCAATCACAGAAGACGGACCTTCGCTAGATCCAGCTGTATTTGGGTCTCCATCCACAGATTTGAAGTACGCATCAATTTCCACCATGGCGTCCTCTAGAGGTTGGTCAGTTCTGCGGAAACTTAGCCTTACCAAAGCGCTACCATTATTCAACCCCAGTTGGCTGAGTGTCTTTTGCAATTCTGTGAAGGAAGATAACTCTTTGCCCATGATATTAAGCACTGGGGTTTCATAAAATAGCCTCCCAGAGCCTGAATCACCCTCTTGGACTTGTGGAGCACCTCTTGCCGTCAGGTTGAACTTTCTGCTACCTCCTGCCACCCCAGCTTCAAATTTCCGTAGTACCAGCCATAGAGTAGTATTACTAGGGAATTTATCCATCAGCCGATTATTAGGAACACCCTGTGATTCTGAGTCTGGTAGCTGGAGGGCAATAGAGACAACTGTTGGTGATTTGGACAGCTGCACGAGTTCGAGCCTAGCCCCAGAGCTCAGGCCAGAGAGTCGGAAGGACAAGGAAAGGTCAACCGTCTTTTTCTGATGTCTGTATCTCAGAACCATCCTATCAGCCAAAATCCACACGTGAGAAGCTCGGTAGTCCGCGAAAGCATGCATCACTCACTTTAGGCCATACTGCGCGGGGTTGATATTGAACTTCGAGCAAGCTTCCCCCAAGACATCACTCAAGTGTTTTGTAGGCGTGACTTTAATAAGTGCTCTTCGAGCGCTCGAATCAAGAACGATGACATGAGCAGCCATGATATCTGATATCCTGTCGTTACCCTAGAGGCGGCGTATCTAGATATCCATAACTTAGCTACGAACGACCAAGTAACTAGGTACTGAAGTCAAAACTCACCAGTCCTTTGAATAATTAGTTAATAGGTATAGATAAAGGCCATCAAGGCTGCTGAGAGGTGTCAACTCTTCTTTTCCCGTGTGTGTCTGTCTTCTGTCTCTTGGGATATCTTTTCATGGTGTTGGTGTCCCTCCAGCCTACCTAGAGAGCCACAAGCGCAGGCAGCGGCGAATCGTCATCCCGGTGGTCCAAGCTCCTCCGCTCTCCCCTTCGACTTTGTTTGGAGCCAACGTGAAGCTCAGCAGCGAACAAGACGACATACACGACCACAACCACTACTATTGCACGCCAGTTGCTGCGGGAGGGCTCTTGGGTGCTTTTGTCTGCCTCATTTCTAGACGTTTAACGAACTGCTCCATCGTGTCCATTATGGTGAGTCTCTACATTGCAAATACACCGTGGTGTAAAAACTAACAGTTTCCCCAGAGTTCACCCTTCGATATCAGTATGAGAGGATCCCCTACTTGATGATGCAGATAAATGACCTTTTGCCTACATACTAATAGCTATGTGCTACCAGACGGCGGTGCCTGCGTGGCTATGGTTGGCAAAGACTGCGTCGCGATAGCCTGCGATCTTCGACTTGGTCTCCAAGCTCTCACGGTCTCCAACGAGTTTCCCAAGATCTTCAACTACGCTCCATCTACATACCTGGGCCTCACAGGCCTTGCCACAGACGTCAATACAGTTTCCCAGCTGCTCCGCTACAAAGTCAACCTTTACCGTCTTCGCGAGGAGCGAAACATCTCCCCTCAGACACTTGCCAATCTGGTCAGCTCTAGTCTGTACGAGAAACGATTCGGCCCGTTCTTTGTCAGCCCGGTGCTGGCCGGAATAAATCACACAACCGGAAAACCCTTTATATGTGGATTTGACAGTATCGGATGCATCGATTTCGCAAAGAATTTCATCGTTAGTGGCACAGCATCTGATCAGCTGTATGGTACCTGTGAATCGCTATGGGAACCTGATCTTGTATGTTATGACAACTTCCCCGTTATCATGAAATTCTAAACCTTGTAGTTACTAACCTTTTCGGACAGGAGCCCGAAGACCTTTTCGAGACAATCTCACAAGCACTATTGAACGCGGTTGACCGTGACGCCCTTTCAGGCTGGGGTGCATACGTGTACATCATTGAGAAAGACAAGGTTACCAAACGAAAGCTCAAGGGACGACAAGATTAGAGAGAAGATGCTGGTCGAGGAATTCACGCTTCAGTAAGACCTATTTGTTCTACCAAGTATATGGCGTTGTGGACTTGGTAAAGCAAGGCCCGTTCTCATTTTTAGGCTTTGAATGGTGAAGAACTGGCCCTTAAATATAATGTCCTATACATCATATATTAGATAAGGGCCATTAATGAAATGATCCAATACATGAAGCGACTAAAAACAACGGCCTGCAACAGGTTTTAAAAATGGAGATTCGTATCATCGGACTGTTGAACAAATAGAAATAACGCCGTCAAGAGCATCTTCCCAGCTCTCCATCAATGAGCCACAGAATAACTCCAGAGAGGCAGAATCCATGAGGCCTTCAATCTCAGCATCAAGTGTCCGGATACTTTCATGATTTTCAGCACCTGTCAGACCGCCTGGTCTCATGTGTACGATATCAACTAGATGGCCAAGCATTCCAGAGCTGGAAATCCGTGCCTTCAATCCTTGACATTGGACTCTGACCTCATCTGCAACTGCCTTCACGCGATCCTTGAGAGCACTGATCTTGGCTTTGCCATCCCCTGAAGTGTAGGGTTTGTTCTTGCTTATAAATGAGATAAATAGTAATATGGCCTTTAATGTCTCAAGTAGCAAAATGGCTTCGTGTAGGAAAATCCACGAAGGAGCAGGGGATGCGCGGTTGGAATTAGGAGTCAAGTCTATTGTCCCATTGGTCTTAGAGTCCGGAGTTACCAGGACTTTCAGCCTCTCTTCCAGGTAGGCATCCACTTTTGATAGGGTGTTGTCGACAGTGGCAGCATCAGATGATGTTTCCCCTGTAAACGCAGCTAGACATCTTAGTAGAAGATGGTGAACCTGTATGTTCATCTTTTCAGCAGATGTGAGTTCGTTTTTTGCGGAATTAATGTCAAAACCAAGGTATGGAGAAAGCTTTGGCTTTGATGCATTCGGCGAAGCCATAGTCAAGAAGTTAAATAGAGCATCTGAGACAGCTAGTGCATTGACTGCATGAGTCTATACTTAACGTTAGTAAAGAGTGAAGGTTATTACAGCATGTATGTGTTAAACTTACCTTTTGGAATGGCCCTACTCTCACGTACTCTTCGAAGGCTGGCTTTCCACGAGGCTCACAGTTCATGAATCCCTCAAAGTTGCGCTTGTCAGAAAGAGGGCTTTTATTGAGAACTACCATCCGGATAGTTAGCATATGTATAATGTTATTTGGAAAAACGAATGACGTACCAATCTTGTCATACTGGCTTATAGATGGACCACCGACAATTCGATGGAGGCGTCTTGCTTCCAAAGCCCACATTTTCCTACATAAGCTATTCTTTAAATCATTCCGGAGCTCAATACTGCCTTCCACATTGATGTAGCTGCCATTGTCTAAGCCTGTAGACAGAGCATATGTTGTTGCACTCTCTGCATTTCGGTAAAATAACAATGCCTGCCTGAGCCCTGCCTGTGGATCATAATCCTTTCTGTCGAGGTCTAACGATGGGGGCGCGCTTTGGGGATGAATAGTTGCAAGTCGAGTAAATAAGTTATGGGCGACTGTCTCGTACTGTATTTGCTTGACAGATAGCTTGGAAAATTTCTTTAGAGCAAGTGATCCAGCACCAAGAAGCAGATATATTCGTACAAGCAATAAAAGAGCTTCATAGTTGTGCGGCGATTTAAGCAGAAGATGTTCAAGTATACCGGCCGCTTGGACTAGGATGCAATTAGTGGTAGACCCAGCTATAGCATCATGCAGGCGTATTAAAGCCATTGCAGCTAGCAGGCAGAGATCATCTGTCGGCTCCGCTTCAATAGTTGAAGGCGTATCACCAGCATCGGCTCTCCCAGCGTCTTTGAAATCACGTAAGCAGCGACAGACAAAGCTTTCAGTCTTAATAATGGCATCCTTAGTATTCTCGAAGTTTAACTGGAATGAATACTCCAGCTTGTACGCATTGATTTGGGGAATTGCACTAGACTTCAAAGGAAATTTAGCGAAAACTATTCATCTAAAGTGGGAAAAAATTGGGGCATCCTTTACCTTTTTAGTTTCCTCTACAATTTTGGACACTTCATCCTCAAACTTTGAATAGAGGCGTGTATCTAGACCGGTGAGGTATCTTTGCAGGTCATTGAAACAGTATATCTTCCGTTGGTTACGCCTAAAATATTCAATACAACCAGAGAGCACTCCCTCAGGAGTAGATTTATCGAATTCAATTCCCTGCAGTTTCAATTCGAGTTGGGCTAGCTGTGCATTCCTGGAAGCTGGGCGTTTTGCTAGGTAATTTGAGATGACTTCCGCCGTGTCTTGGAAGGCACTAAAATTCATTAACAGGTATCAATATATAAAAAGGGGTAAAGTTCAACTCACGCTTGCTTCTCTGCCTTCCTCGTGGCAAGTAGGAGAAGGTTCCATACTTTCCAATCATCCCTCTCCTCATATTTGGGATCTGGCTTCGACTCCGCCGTCACGCTGTCATCAAGCGTCAGTAATTCTTTCGTAAACTTCAAGGCTTCAACCCATAGGCCGCTTTTCTCAACAGCTGATAGCTTGTTTGTGAAAAAGAGCCATTCATTTTGGGCGATGCGAGAGCTGACTCCCAGATGTTCGCTGTTGAGTATTTCAACAAGCTCCTTGTGACGAGATTGGCTTTCGTATATCTTGATTAACAGGTAAAGCTCCTCCGCAGTCTGAATTGCTCGCGGAATGCTCAACAACTCTTTCTGTAGTGGACAAACCATGTTTTGTGAGCCATGAAGGTTAATTCACAATGTAAGGGCCGAGGAATCACATACCGGGTCCGTTGGTACGCTCCCTGCGGCTCTGGATATCATTCGATATGCAAGAGTACCAAATAACTTCCGGTCGTTGTCTGAACTTGCTGTATCGCGTTCAATCAAGTAACACATGAAAATGGCCCAAAAGTAGTAATTTCTAGCTTTGGGAAAATTGTTTTGTAGGCTCATAGCCGCCTTGATGGGAATTGAGTCAGCCTTTGAGGTTTCTCTTCTATTGCGAAAATGCAAGGGCTTATATGTAGGGTCTCCGCTTGAGTTGGTGCACCTTTTGAGCTGTTTTCCAATCTCCGGCATCTGACGCAACCCTGAACCACCTCAATTGGATCTCCAGGTCTTGAGGGTTGGCTTTAGCAGCATTCTGCCACAAGGCTCTGGCCGTTTCCTCATGCCCTCCTATCTCATTCAATGTGTTGTGTAGTATATTCAGGGCCTCGAGGTCGGAGACAGGCGGGGAGGCGCTACATAGCTGCAGAGTTTCCGCGACCCCACGCTGGCGATGCGCCTCGTCGGCATGACTGAAGAGGATATTTGCTTTCCAGGCCTATGAAATGATCAGCAATTAGCAATCGGTTCGAACTGTTATAAGAGCGCATTTGTTGGCGAGATAGGCAGGGCTATGGCGGGGAGTGGTGAGGCTTTACCTACCCTCAAAAAGGACGAATCCTCGCCTTTTTTCAGCCGCTTTTCACACAGCTGCAATGCCTGTTTCAGGTTCTGTCCGTCTATAGCATCCTGTATCTGTTTATTCCTTCGCTCGATTACAGCGTTGGAAGCCATGGTGAACAACGTTGAAGACACTGGGTAGCAAAATAATTTCGCATGGTTCGCGTCTAAGCAATTGTTTAAATTTGGGTGGACTCCGTGGAGCTAACTAGTTAATGGACCACCTAAGTAGTTAACTACTATGGAGTGCATATTTATAGATGCCCAGCAAAGGCTCTAGCTACAAAATAACCAGGATAAACGCCAAAGGTACCTATATCGCCGTTGAAATATTTATTTTGGGCCGCCGGGTGTTCAAAAGGCTCCATTCGCTGGTGGAATTCTGACGACACCATCAATGACGATAATTCAATTAACTAGGTAATAGTGTCTCTACCGACTCCTGGTCAATTAATTGAACTTCAGAATGGCTTTGAAAAATCTATAGACAAGCACCGTAATATGTAGTTTAAAGTCCAACTGCGCCTTCATAAATAACTTCGCATACCCCATGCTCGAACACAATTCCTCAACCACTAGTAAACACTTCTGATATCGTACAAAGAAGGATAACCACGTTTCATCTCCGGGCAGCGTATACTTGGTCAGTTAATGATTATATACCAAAAACAAAAGAATTTCTACCGGCAAAGAGAAAAGACTTTGGTGAGTCTAGTTCCCTAGCTAGTGGTTCCTTTTGTTTTCTTCTGGTTTAACTATTCGAAGTTAGTAGAATGAACAAGCGTAGTTTATCGGTAAATCTGTCATTTCCTCCTGGCCTTGGCTAAGACATAGATGTAGTGGAGCGGAAAGGAACAGGTCAAGATTAGGTGAAATAGAGACATAAAGCAGACAACAGGGGAGGTTATAGGGCTCACCCAGGCTTTCTTGCAGTCACGGTATGCTCTGCAAATTACTGGATTAGCTAACATCTCCGGGGGATAACAGAATGTGCTAAGCATGACTTACTGGAAGTAATCTGTGCACATGTCTCTGTCTCCGTTGTTTCGCCGCATACATTTGATACTTCGGTCTGCAAAGTCCTGACACGGGTCCATGTATTCACTGGCTGATTTACTATTCCCCAAGATTAAATCAGTATATTGGTTTATCTCAGGAAGGCAGAGGCTTCGTCGCAATCCTTGCTATGTATACCGGACTCCGGATACTGGTACAGCGCTAGGCAGAAGATTCGGCCATTTTACAGGGTATCTCGGTCAAGCAGTCAGCAGGAAAGGGATATACTGAAAGCACATACTTTCTGAACCTGGGTTCGCTTTTGTCGAACATTTTCTGCGAATCAGTCTGTTTGTCTGTGGAACTCATAATGCATAAAAACATAAAGAAAAATGGCCGAGTTCAATAGCAAGATATTCTCCTATATCTTCCCATGTGTATCCCACTTGGGTGGCTGGTGATGATGTTGCTTCAAATTGGACGAAGATAAAAAATGAAGTCGAAATGGAAAAGGGTCTTGGCATTCAATCGCTCCAACACGCTGAAATCCGGGATAACCACCTTCGCGACAGGCTTGATAACCATGTCGACTTATTGAAACTAATACGGTGATTACTGTGAATATCTGCTATTAAGAACATATTAATTCCAATATCTAGTTAGCAAAAATGGCATGGTGGTAGGGGTCGTAGGCTGTTCGGTGTCCAGCCAAAAAAATTACCCAATCGGGAGATAAGGCCAGCTTCATCTGCCGCCGAAATAGTACATTTTCCTCCTTCGAAACATTTGCCGGTCCTTCGTGTACCTTTGTCTAAATCTCGAAACTGTTTAAGTTCTAGCCGCTAAATGCCGAGTGTAAAGCTTAAATTATATATCAAGTAAATGTATATGTAGAAAGAGATACGGAGTTGACAGAAAGATATCACTCGTTAGCAAAAATGAAGGTAAGAGGGGCTGGCACGGACTTCCATAGAACATCAACCCTGGCAATGCGGTGTGATTGCTGCATGGGCCAGGGCGATTTCGCTAGTGTTCTGCGACAGTTCGCTCTTGACGCTCGAGTACAGACTGGCAGTGCCATCCACCTCGAACTATTAGTTGGTGCCTAAGAGTGTAAAAGCAAAGTGAAAAAAGTTAGTCAGATTACTTGAAGGGGGTTCTAGATGGATGGATTGGTCCCCTTTGTTTAACATCTCAGGCTGCGATGTGTCACACAGCCAAATCTCTTGGTTGGATAATCGCATCCCAAGTGGTCGCAGAGTCTATTAAGAATCCTTGCCTGCCGCCTATTAATATTCGTAAAATGCCGAAAAGCATGGATTTTGTTCTCCCAAGAACCTGACAAGGTGGTGCGGCAAATATATAGATGTAGGACATTCCAGAAAGCCCTTGATCCGACAACTATTCAATGATAAAAAATTAGCTCGGGCAAATGGGCGTACGCTGGGTAGCAACGAGTTGTAATGATCCTTGCGTGCAAGGAGGAGTCCTGATCAAAACAGCTGGCTTCTTGTATGATGGCAATGTCATGGCGCTGGCAGACTATGTATATTTGCTTGGCTGGGTAAAATGCGGGTATCTGGTCCATGGAATAACTAGGTCGAGTTTCTTAGCTGGCATGACCCTGGGTCATATGACATGTCGGTGACAACAACGGCGTGCTCTAGCGAAGTATTATTATACCCGCCCAGTACGTACACCCGTAAGTTATAGTGGGCTTCCCACCTAGACACCAGCGGCACGAAATCCGACCATGTTTGTGTCTCAACAAGGATTCCCATGAATCTATGAACCCGAATATCGGCCTCTTTGGCGAGAAGCGGAGAAAAGAAGAAAAGAAAATAAGCATGAAGCTAGCGATCTCGTTTTGTCGCGGAATGGTTAGACTGTTGGAAAGTTCAGCCCGTGTGGTTAAATAAAGCAGCCATATAATTCCCAAGCATGTACTCCGTACACCCCCGACAACGGAAACGACCGACTGATTTTCCTAATCAAGTCAAAAAGTCCATACCTCTGCATCTGCAGGACAACGATCAAGCCTACTCCACTCGGATGAAGAAACACCGTAACGGCGAGAGCAGCTAGGCGTTGTGTCCCAACAGCTCCCCTTTCTGCAGGATGGATACGGCCAATAGCTAGCTGGTGGCTATTGTTCCATTAATCATATGCTCCACACCAAAAATAAAATGTGGTAGCTATAGTTGGAAACTTCAACGGATACCACGCTAATAGCCGCCATTCTATGTGGCTCCGAGCTCCCTTCTGACACGTCGCATTCTTTGTTGCTCCATACTGGGCGAGGAAAACGTGTAGTCTAGTTGACCTGCAGAACCAGTGAGCCATCAGCTTCACTATTGCCAATGCAGTTATGTAGGATTTGGACCCCAAAGGTATGATAAGGGGTGATTCCATGCGTTTCAAGAGCGGTCGCAAAAGGAAAGTACCTCTAATCACGAGGCCGGCTAGGAGGGTTCTGGTCTCAAGCCTGAGCACTGCTTCAGCCCGTATTCTGCTTGCGAAGGAACCCTGCCCATGTCTGGTGATCGCAATCCAGGCTATTCGGCAGTATAACGGTACCTCTAGATTCTAGGAAAGTAGAAATTCCAGACCCATGATCCTCGCAACAAAATGAGTTTAGTTGTTGGCGGATGAGAGTAGAAACTGTACACATCGATGTATTCAAGTTCGCAGCTATGATGAGGGAAATGGCCCGAAATCTGGACGCCATTTTGGTATCATGTGGGGAATGACAATCGGGTATCAAAATTCATATGCTGTTCTCCACATAGAAACAGCGAATGCGCTATGAGAGAATAGGGGGATTGATATGCGTGTGCTAGGCCAAGGTTGTGCCCATGCGCTCCACCTTCTGTCTTTCATTATGGTGGTAGACCAGCCAGTCCCGGTTGCTCCGTGGGAGAGATGCATAAGCCGCGATTGTCGAGAACACGTCAACAGAGCATGGAAATACATTAGGACTAGGGTATTGATCAACCGGATCGTCTAGAACCAGAGAGTAGGAGCTACCGGCTGCCCGGCAGCTGAATAAGGAATCGTGGTTTCAACCCTTCAATGTCGGGGTATAAATATCGCCTTCTGTCCCACGAATATCTAGGTTGCTTTCTGTTTCAAGGGCAAAAAATTCGTTAATTCATTCCACCGTTTGCAGAACTATTGTTCATCTTATGCCTCCATCTCCCACAACATAGGTTGCCATTGAACGTTTCACTTTGTGTCGTGTCTTTCTCCCTGGATCCGTTCCCTTGCTGCCGCCCAATTCTTGCTGTGATTACCACCGTTATTATATAGGGTGAGTGGTTTCATCCAAGAGGTCAAAGTAGTGGCGAGAAATGTGTAAAGGCCGTCTTTTCGAGATGGCAAATGATCCTTTCCCAATGAGAATGTTCAATTTCCATGTGTTATGCCCACTGTCGGATTGAGCCACTGCTGTCAAACTGGAAAAAACAAACGAGAGATGCAGATGTTCTCCCAAGGCCTGGAATGAGGGGACATACTCACAATAGTAGTTATAATGGCAGTTCCAGATACCATTATTCCCCCCGGTCTCCCCGATACCTCCCTTTGGTCTCCCCCCCAATTCCCAGGAAAACGTGGTGGCAAGGTGACTCCGCTCATCAGCAATAGTGATGCAACAGAACAGCGTAGAAAAGTTCAGTTTGATCCAAGAACGCATCTTCAGTTTAACCCTCCTTCAAAGGTTCATTCTATGAAGGAATTAGGTTATGATGATAATGCTGGGATATCTCCAATTGGGGTATCTGAACCATTCTCGCTATTCTCAGCTGAGGCTATTCGCTGTATGAGGTCAGAAGTGTTGAGCAAAGAGGTATGGAGTGAGTATCAGTTTTCGAGTGATCTGGCGATGTGTCAGCTTCGAGGATTTGCCCCAAAGTAAGCTATTAACACCCATACTCTTTATAATCCCAGAGTACTGCTAACGCTCCACAGATATGCGCCTTTTGTGTATGATGCATGGAAAAGCCCCGAGACGCTGGCTATTGTGTCAAAGATTGCGGGAATAGACCTGGTTACTGCGATGGACTGGGAGATTGGTCACGTCAATATTTCCGTCCAGACAGAGGAAGAGAAGAATAATGCTTTGGCGGAGGCTGTGAATGGGGCGGCAGGTACATATGACGATGATGTTGCCCCCATTGTTGACTGGCATACGGACAGTTATCCTTTCGTTTGCGTGACTATGTTGAGTGACTGTACCGACATGATAGGTGGAGAGACAGCACTCCGCAGAGGTGATGGTAGTGTTGTGAAAGTGAGGGGCCCACAAATGGTATGCCAGAACACCTGATATATATGGACAAACCGGGTGCTAACAAGTCCATGTTTTAGGGATGTGCCGTGGTGCTTCAAGGGAGATACATTGAGCATCGAGCTCTACGAGCACTAGGCACGACTGAGCGGATCACAATGGTCACTTCATTCCGGCCTCGCTGCCCAACACTTAAAGACGACACTGTGTTGACAACCGTCCGACCTATCTCCGACCTGTCTGAACTGTACTTTCAGTTCAGTGAGTATCGGCTGGAGATGTTGGAGGAGAGAATTCGAAGCCAGCTCAAGGAAGCTCGTGATGCAAGATATGCCGGCAGACCCTTCAATACACAGAAGCTGAAAGAGTTCCTCGCAGTCCAGATTGAGTTCCTAACTCATATGAACAATGAGATTGTTGAAAACGATAAGGTGCAAAAGGGTGTCACCGACGACAGCCATCTGCGATCAGCGGATCTGAAGGAGCGCTCAAGGAAACGGGCTCTTGCTACGGCTGCATAGAGACCAGGCCGATGGTTACTTTTGGGCTTGTTTGGTGCATAGGACTTTGAACGTTCTATTCTGTTGTTCGGGAAACGGTAAACTTGATATACTCCTCTCACTAAATTGCTTTGGGTTTCTTTTATCGGTTCTCCTGTTCTCTGTGGTCAATTCTGGGGGCTGTCACGTGGGTAATAATGATTGGATGTTTAGTAGTTTGTATTTCGATGTGTATTCGTGGATGATAATGAGTGATAGCCATCTCATTCTTTAATGCCAGATAGTTGCTGCTTTGGGATTCCGGATTATTGTTGCTTCTGGGCTCTTGTTGTAATTTCTGCGAGGGAATATTGATGGGCCAGGTCAAGTGGATGATGGGTCTAGATTCTCGCAAGGCGTTGGAGGTAATCAGTTGAGATAGGAAGTAGAGAAGAGCACTGAGAATGAATTCAATAACTGCATTTGGTATTAGTCTGACCATATTTCGGGTATATCTGTATTGTCCTCCCGCGGGGTAATCCTGGGGCGAACGCGGTCTTCATCGGCTGCAAAACATGACTATGCGGATCGCAGAACTGACAGGGACAAGAACCATCCGGTCTAGTGGTAGTTTGCAGCCGATATATCTTCCTGTAAAGCGTCAGTATGCCTTTTGTCCGTCAGACTGACTGAGTAGGTACGCCGTTTTGAAACCTGCCCATCCACTAGCATTGATCTCATAGCGGTCCCACGGCCGGGAGGCACACCTGGTGAGACCACGGTGAGAAAATCCTCTCTCTCTCTCTCTCTTTTTCTTTCTCTCTCCCTCGCCGGCTGTTCATCTGTCACCGTCGTTGGTTGACCCCGTCGTCGTCTGCTCTGACGTTGAACTCACTTCCGCTTCCTCGCGCCGTCTTCACTTTATGCCAGCACATCTTCACGTGACAATCATCACAGGCTAAACCCTCTTGGGAAGGCGAGCTCTCTCACTTCCAACCGCCGCTTTTAACTCGCGGGCTTGAACATCCATAAAACCAAAAACGCGCCTGTCCGACTTTCCGCCTCACGCGATTGTCCCTCCCGCGAGGCTCACCTTCGTCTGCCTGACTTTGTACTCCTGTTGACGAGCTTCTAGCTGCCCCTGCTACAGGTTACCCGCCGCTTATCACAGGGCCTGCCACAGACTGCTTTTGCTGCGGGCGAAGCCAACCGCCAGACAGACTTTGTTCCGTCGACCCGCCCAGCTTTCGAAGCTCAGCTGGAAATCAGGGGCCATGCCTGCAAACAATGCAAAGAGAAGACGTTCAGATGATGTGGATTTCAGCAGTAACCATCCCACTGCGTCTGCTACTCCGTCTCTCCCGGCAATCGGTGAGAATAGGGATACAGACCCTTCAGGGGTGAGTTGGTGGCTGGCCAGAACAGCCCCACCTATTCGATATCTGTTCAATGCTGACGGTTCTACAGCTGCTAGAGACTCTCCAACGCCATATAGACGACCTAAGAAGCCATATTTACTGCAGTGTGTGTATCAAGCCGCTCTATGAGCCGTATACCTTACCCTGTGGGCATACGTTTTGCTACAGTGTACGTCTTTAATTTGTCTTTTTGAATACGTGGACCTGTCCGTGAGAGTCGCTACTAATTCTTTCAAAGTGCCTAGTGCAATGGTTCAAAAGGCAGGGCCACTCAAAAACATGTCCAGATTGTCGGGCACCAGTCAAAGCGACACCTGCTCCAGCATATTTGGTACGCTCCAACGATATAGCCCCAGCATATAAGGCCAGTACTGATTTATTACTCACATTTAGGTCCGAAACATCGTCCACATGTTTATTGGCCGGTCCGAATTGACAGATGCGAATGAAACCACACAGGAGCATTTGGCCAACCAAGTAGCAGAGACTGAGCAAGTCGAAAGGGACAAGCAGAATACTGACCCTAGGACTGGTGGTCTGTTCCAGGGATGCTTCAACAACACTCCTATTCCACTTTATGACAACGCCGAAGGTGTCTCACGGTGCCCAGGATGTTTTTGGGAATTGGAAGATGGCGAATGCACGCACTGCGGCTATACAGTGAGCGACTCGGAGCAGGATCAGGAACTTGATGACGAGGTTATGGAACAACTCCGACTAATGGGAGATGCCTTTACGGAAGATGAGGATGAGTCCGACTTTATTGGACAACATCATAATCCCTGGTGGGAATATAATTTTCCCCCTCACGACGGTGGTCTTATAACTGATATAACTGACATGGATGCCGACTCGGAGGATGTATACACGGATGACAACGACGACATTACAGATGTTGGTGACGCTGAGTCGAATTTGTCAGAAGACGAGTCTCTAAGGTCAGAGTCGGATTCCTCAGGGAGGTCAAATTCAACAGCGCGTCGTGCTTCCAGTGATCATGGTAGTCAGACGATTGAACCCGAGTCAACTCCATCTGTTCAGGAGATATCATCCAGTGCCCAATCCGAGGAAGAGTCAGAAGAGGAACCAATCAGACGACCAGTACGCAGAAGAATCTCTCGTCCACGTCAATCTCCCCAACATATATCCACCGATCAAACAACGAGGATGACATTGCCCATGATTCTCCTTGCTAGCATGAGGGGAACCGACCCCGAAAATGCTGTCGTTATTGACGATTCCCCCCCTCCACGCCGAAATTCAAGGCGTCGCCGCCGCCACTAGCATCATCATCTTATAACTTGCGCTCACCCAAGGCCGTACTCCCATCTATATACCAATATCCGCATAGCAAAGCCTCGACGACTCTCATTGGAGTCTGATGTTTTGGCCACCAACAGAATTCTGGTCTATACCCACTCTTGCCTAATTTTTTCTTCTCTTGGATTCTCCTTATGGGTTTTCCGATTTCCCATTTTTGCATTTCTTTTGCATTTCAGCATTGCCTTTTGGTACAATGCTCTGCTATGCTCTTTTAAAAAAAAATACTTAGCATGGCGTTTGAGCATGGGAATCCTCAGTATAACTTTTCCACCTTTTCCCTTTACTTCTTTGGTTGTTGGGTTTCTTTTCTAGAGGGTATGGACTGTAAAGTAGTTTATTTGCTATTATCCGGTATTAAATGAGAAATCTCTTGAGTGCTATCTCCTGTCACTTTTCCATTTGTTTTGGTTGTGCAGTCCGAAGGATGTTTAAAGGATGATAAACGCAATCGTATTGGTATATGTAACCATCTACTAAACTCCAATCCTGACCGATCATTTACTTTTATCCGTGATGTTAGCTACCTTTTCAACTGGCAAAAGGCACTTCAAATACGACGGCGCCATTCCTTCCCCCTACCTCACCACATCCAACATTCTTCGAATCATTGGCATCAAATACCTTCCAACGTCCAAGACGATGTTCCTTGCCTAGTGCAGCTACTATACAAAGACCCTTCACGTTAGTCTCATGCGACTTTGCCGTGGATCCCTTTTTCTTCTTCAATGTAGACGTAGAAAGGGGCCGACCGGGTTTTGCAGAGTCAGTGCCTCGGCGCTCGTAAACACATATTCCATTCACGATACCCCGAAGTGGAGGTGCAGTATGAGGTTGGTTGTCTTCATTGGTGTCCATTGGCGTAACATCTGAAAGAGCATGGGATGTGCCGTTGGATAGCGATTGCTCCTTTGACGCATCCTTTCCACCAACACAACCTAGAGGGTGAAGCCGACGCTTATCTTCAGAGACTCCCCAGACACGAATCCACCCGTCCCAGCTACCACTTAGCACGATGTCTGTTCCCGGTACTGTGGCTAACGCTGTTATCCAGCGTGGGCTTTGGCGAACATTCGCCGTTTTTGCAGCCTGCGCGTTAACGTCTGTTTCGGACGAGAGTTTTTCAGGAGGAGGGAGGGGGTCTAGGCCATGGGCTTCATAAATTGTGTGAAGGGGTTTTTTCTTGTGGATGGACCATAGTGATATGGCGCCAGAGTCTGAACCAGTGACGAAATGGGCTGGTGGTAAGGCGGCCACGCAGTCTGTTGAATTTATAGAGTATTGGGAGGCTTTAGACATGCCTCCGGCTCGAAAAACCAGTTGTGTTTCATCAATGACTTTCCAAAGTCTTGCGGTACGGTCTCTGGAACCAACGCTGACACATTGGTCTGTTATCATCGAAGCCACTCCTAAAACATGATCTTGGTGGCCAAAAAGTGTCTCTACATAGGCGTGGGCGTCGGGGCTCAAGGACCAGGTTTTGATGGTTCGATCATACGAGGCAGAAAACAGCTGTTCGCCAGAACTTGACGAGGATATCCGTTGGGTAAATGCCAAACTGCTGACAGAGTCGCGATGTTGTGTGAATGTTTTCAATGGAGTGAGGGTATCGGCATCCCAGATAATTAACCGATTATCAGCACCGCCTGTAGCAACGAATTGACCAGATGGCGAAACCGCAACGGTCAGAATCTCGCTAACGTGTCCTTGCCTCTCCCTGCCATCCCTAGATGGCCGTAATCCTTTCGCCCATTTTAACTTCTTAGGCTTTTTCCGCAATGGTCGGCTTGATTGGGTATTCCCGTTCTGCGTACAGGATGTTGTTGGAGGAGTGGACAGTTCCCATTTTATCAGAGTCATGTCCTTTGATGTAGTGTAGACATATGGGTAGTGTATGGCAATGGCAGTGGTAGTATTCGTGTCTGCACGGAAATATGAATGAGAAGCAGCTGAGAGCGAGAGCGTCGAGGCAACCAATCTATATGCTCGGCCTTTGGATTCGTCCTAAGCGATCAATTAGTCTAAATTATGACCATAGCAAAGGCTTGCATGGCTGGGGAAAATGCACCACTTACCACATCCTCTTTCAATCTTTCCGCAATCAAATCCCGATCTATCTCTGCGGCATCGAATCCAACCTCATCTACTTCTTCCCTAACGTTGTGCAAATATTGCTCTGCCAATCTCAATCGTCGCTCGGCCGCAGTCTCGTCTTCGTCTGACCCAGAGAGCGATTCATCCTCAGAACCAGCCGATACTTCCGACCTCTCATCTCCTTCAGAATCACTCCCTGATATCGATTCGTCTCTGTCTGCTTGTCTCCGGGACTTATCGCCGCTCTGTGGTGCGCCTTTGCCAGTAACACCCCGTTTCTTAGCTACCGGAGCTCCCACTCGGTCTTCTCTCTTGCGCTTCCGCTGAGACGCAGGGAGTGTGAAAAACGAGGACATAGCTGCAGAGATACCGGATAGTTCCAAACTCAATCCCAAGACGTACCTCCAAGACTTATCGCCCTGCCATCGTAAATCGCAAACCAGTTCCTCTCTTTATCAAGGCTCACGCTACCAAAAATATTATATTTTTTTTTTATCTTCGATGGAAGGTTTTTTTTTTTTTTTTTTTTTTATTTTATTTTTTGAGTTCCAATGCCGGAAATTCGGAGAAAGGTTAAGCCTAATGGCTGACTAAGTAAATAGGCCGCAAGCTTCCAACGCGGCTTTCGAAAGAGCAGCTTCATCAACAAAACAGCGGAGGACAAGCAGCAGCATTTCAACTGAGAGAGGCGGGATAACATATATTAGAGCTTTGAGTGCCTGTGGATTATTTGCAGACGCTAAACTGCCGTCATGTAAGCTTGCTGTGCTCGATCTGTCCTGGGAATCCGCTGATCTAACGTGGGTGTAGGGAGGTACTGCTTGGTATTACGGGGAAAGACTTCACCCTCATCGCTGCATCAAAGGCTGCTATGAGGGGAGCTACAATTTTGAAAGCTGCAGACGACAAGACGAGACAGCTGAACAAGCACACTCTCATGGCATTTTCAGGTGAAGCTGGTGACACAGGTACGGGCCGATGGTTTACTTATAAGATATGGGTAGAGCACTAATGCTGTCAACTTCTATAGTTCAATTCGCCGAATTCATACAAGCAAACACCCAGTTATACTCTATGCGCAACCAAACTGAGCTTGGCCCCTCTGCTGTTGCTCACTTCGTCCGTGGAGAGCTAGCTAGAAGTCTACGGTCTAGAAGTCCATACACAGTCAACCTTCTTCTCGGCGGCGTGGACCCCATCACAGAGAAGCCTAGTCTGTACTGGCTCGACTATCTAGCGTCATTGGCACAGGTTCCATATGCCGCCCACGGTTATGCTCAGTAAGCCATGCTATAGATCTTTTATACGGTTAGAATAAGGTCACTAACTGAATCCCTTCGCCTAGGTACTACTGTCTATCTATCCTAGATAAACATCACCATCCCGATATTTCATTCGAACAAGGCTTGAAACTGCTTGAGATGTGCTCAGACGAGCTCAAACGCCGGTTACCCATTGACTTCAAAGGAGTATGCCCACACCTCTCTCACAAGTTGCAAATAAATACTGATTTCATCCTTGCTAGGTTTTGGTAAAGGTTGTGACCAAAGACGGCATCAGGGATGTCGAATTTGAACAAGCAAATAACAGAATGGTTCGGAGTGCTTAGAAACACGGGTGGGCGTTCTGTCATTTTCATTCATGTCTGGGCCGGTTGTTGAATTGGCGTCTTATGATCCTCGTACTTGCTATTGTTGTTATATTACCCCAATTCAGTCAATATGCTAGTACTATGTCTCGAGGTTATTTCGATATAATTCATCCATTCCATGACTATATGCGGTATACCACAATTTATACATTTTATGTAACCAACCGTGTACCTAACGTTAGGTTTTGGTTTATATCTTATTGAGTGTGACTTGAGCACTTACCAGCTGAACTACACCTCACTTGATAGTAGTATATGGAGCTCATAATAAAGCAAAATGCAGAGATACCAAAAATATCAAGTTATATAGTGAAAGTCTAAGACGAGCGGTGGGAAGTCTATCTAAATGGGATACATGTAGTGTGTATGTGCAAATTGAAAGAAAACTGAAAAGAAACAAGCGGCGGAAGCGGCAACAATCCAGCTGTCGCAGTATAAGAGGGCGATTTCCGTCGTATGATGCCAATGGCCTTACAACTCGCTCAGGAGCGCCTGGACGAAGGTGTTGCAGTTGTTGTCTGCCACACTGTAGACTGGGTGATCCTTCTCGTAATCCTTGGCTATTGAGAGTATTGTGGTAAGTATCCATTCATCGAATGCACAGTCTTTTATATTTGTCAGATACACACTTACCCTTGTTGTTGATAGCATCAGCCTTCTTCTTGGTAGTCATCTTCACAAATTCGATGTCTCTTCTCTTGGTGGTGTCCCAGTTGGTCTTGCGGAACTTGATGTCCTTGTTCTCCTTCTTAATGGTGTCATAGACCTGGCCGTCAAAGTCACGCTTCGTCTTTCTGTGCTTCTTAGGGCCGGACTCCTTGATGCTAACTTTGCCAACAATGAATCCGATATGGTAGAAGCCGAGCTTTTTCTGTAACTCCTGAAGCTCAGCAGGGGTCTCGTTGTCAATTTCGTCTCTCAGGGGCCATTTGGCCGTAAGCACATAGTACTTGTCGTCCTCCAGCTCTCCACCGTAAGCCTGGGCTAAAGCAGCGAAGGTGTCACTGTCTTCGGTTTCTCTTTTGACAAGCTCGGTCGAAAAAGGAGTGGACAACGGGGTTGTCTCACGAGCGGAGATGAGGCTAGAATCGACCTCATTCCTGGCGATTGGGGTCGCATTGACTGCAACAGAGGCAGCAGCAAGGAGGGTTGAGAAGATAGTAGAGAACTTCATGTTGTCTTATTGGGTGAAGGTGAATTGGTTAATGGTGATTGATTATAATGGTGATTTATTGTGGTGGTGGTGATGATGATGGTGTTGGTAAGTTGAGCTGAATGATGGTATATGATACAGCCCTTGAGCCAACTTATATACCTTTCGGATGGCAGCTCTGGATTCAAGATATCTCCTTTCAAGATACCTGAGGATAGCCTGATCATCACAACAGTTCGTCTCATATTTGCATCCTGCAAATATGGGGTAGATGGGAGACGGAACAATAATGCTGAAGGGTATCCGGAGGAGAGCACGCGAGAGATTACCATTGCTGATCTGTAGCTATAGTCATAGAGCACATAGTAGTAGATAGACCGCGGCGGTGAGATATGCCGCGTTGGGTATCGGAAATTTCTCATCTCTGTGGAAGTCAGAAAAGCGAACCGAAATAGGGGCAGCAGAAACGGAGGAATAACTACAAAGTTATAGTTACCTTGGTCAACAGGAACAAAATAGAAGGTTATGAGAACGGAACATTATTAAATGCGAAACGTAGTTAACTAGTGACAGGATGTTATCACAGCCCAGCTGAACAAGGCTGTTGGCGATCTTCACAGAGGATTCGTAACCAGGCTTCGTCACTTCTTTGTTTTAATAGCGAATTACCCAGGCTATCAACTTAACTAGGTAGCAAGAACTTATCCTCAATACCCAATATCCCAAGCTATTCTTATCGTTAGCAAAGATGGGGCCCGAGAGCGATGCTGAACAGCTGGACAAATGGATCTCCGGGGGGTACATGACCCCTGAGCGCATTTTGAACAGACTTACCGAAAGCAGCGAATATTGTGGTCTAAGAGAGAGCGAGTATATCGGGCTCAAGGAATTTTTCGATCGCCAGGGCACAGAAGAAGCTGGGATTGCATACGTTGATAGAGATGCATTTGTTTCATTCCTTAAGGGCTCTAGCCCTGTTTTCTCTCTATTCGACGAAGCCGGTGATATACTGTATTCCAGTGTGCTATACCTCTCCAGATACCCCTTTGATCTGGGCACCTCTCGGAAGATGACCCTCGAACAACTTGCGAGAGCCCTTATCTGGGCTTTGATAGATGCTCCTTTTAATGATCTACGAGCCAGAACTCTCTATGATGAAAGCAATTTCTGCCGCGGGAGAACATGGGCAGATCACAGAAGGGCCATTTTCCAGAGTCTTGCAACCTCTCGTGACGGCTCTACGTTACCATATAACAGGAAGGAGTGGGCAGAAAAAGCCAGAGATAGAGCATATCATTTCGACAAATTTGACCAATCCCGGCTACAGTTCGCTGCTGTGAACTGCGATGAAGACGGCGATGAGATGTACCATGATGTCCTGGATATCCTTTTCTCCTCGCAGATTGAAATTGACCCGTGCTTTGCGCCTGTTGCTCGTGATAGTTTCCGTCCATTAGCAAAGAAGCTACATGGGGATAACACTCATCTTCACCATCTCACGATTCCGCGAAAGAGTTTCCATGCTTTCATCAAACTTCTCCTCGTGTATCAGTTCGGCTGCAATGATCGGATGGAAGGGGACGCCTTGGCAGATTTGGATCGTGTTTCCAGCTGCATTACAAACGCGTTTGCCCGTGATTCAAATATTGGAATCACCTGGCCAATGTTCGATGATGCCTATAAGGTTACGGTAAGAATCCTCTCACCTGTTATTTTTTCGTTGTTTTATCTTTCTTCAATTTTGCACCCTTTGGAATGATCAAGGTAAATGCTGATTCCATGTTAGCCCTGGCTCCTGGATGGGTACTACCGCATCCTAAGCAGCCTTTTCGGTATACCTAAGGAGGGAGAACGACTTGGTTTCGATATGGAAAATATCTCTACCGACCTACCCAGTCCGACAAATATTCTGACATTTCCCGTCATGGCACAGCTTGGTATAATGTTTTCCAGGTCTTCATACAGTTTCTATAATCTGCGCCTCCATCGACATTATAAGCCACGTCTCAGTGAGATCAGGCTATCAGCTGTGGCTACAGATATCAGTGCGACGCCAGGAAGTGCCTTCTTTCTGGTCTCTGGCAAAAATAAGGAAACAGGAGATGTTTGCATGTTCGGGGCATACATTGCTGTTCCATCCAAAGATGGTGGCGAAATCCAGTCGACAGAGGAAGAGAAGGTAATAAATTGGCAAGACTCCTGTTTATTCGAGCTGAGCCCTGTGCATGATATCTACCCCGGGAAAGTTGGGTCACCTGGTTGGACAAGCACGGAAGACAATTTGTGTTTCGGAAATAGGGCAAATGGTGTGGCTTTTGATATAGAGAATGACCTTCGCAATGCAACTGTCTCCCATACGGTGGACAGAAAGCAAGAACCCGTCTATAATCCGTCTTCATGGAGAGGCAATTGGCAGATGAAACTTGATATTGAAGAGGTTGAACTCTGGGTTGACGAGGAATAGATGTAACTTGTTAGACGGTTCAGTAGATAGCATTTCTATTGCCCATTTTTTGAAGGCATGCGACTTAATCCTTCGATCCTTAATTAGTTAACTAGTTGAACGAGCGGGTCATGATGCTCGATCCGTGAACGGCTGTAAATTATGTCAGCTAGGTAGGTCTTTCAATGTTTGGTATCTCTCTCGGCAAATATTAGCTAGAGTGAAAAGGGTGACATTCAAGAAAAATACTGCGGCCTTTCTAATAGTTAGCTAGGCAGCTGGTCGGTTGTGAGGTTGGATCAAAGTCCTCAGGGTCGTCTTTTATGGGCTTTTGGCATCGAGTTTGGTTTTGACCTATCAAATTCAAGATTTGGATCTTAGTCATCCAATCTTGGCACATATAGTTAGTTATGCGTTCAAAGCTTCAGCTTGCAAAGAGCCAAAAGGCAACCAAGGGACGACAATTGCTATATCTTTGTACAGCACCGACACATTTGCTTCATGATGACGAAGAGGCCGGCTGAAGATCCACTTGATGAGCCTGTTCAGATAGACTCGCCTGCTTCAAAGCGACCCAAGATCTATTCTACGGAAGAACCAACAGACGCGACGGCCCATGCACGAAGTCTCACAGATCGTACGGAACAGAGGTGGAATGGCAATGGACATAATTTGAATGAAGAGACAGCTACATATGAAGGCGGGGAGAAAGAAACTAGAGATACAACCGCAGAGGAATCAGACTTGGAGGAGGATGATAATCGCCATCGAACCGTTAGGCAAAACGCACCCCTGGAAGGATACGACGACTTATACTTGGATACAATACAAAGAGCCGCTCTCGACTTTGATTTCGAGAAGCTATGCTCGGTTTCGTTATCGAATATCAATGTCTATGCGTGCTTAGTATGCGGCAAATACTACCAAGGGCGCGGTCCGAAATCGCACGCCTACTTCCATGCCCTCGAGGTTGAACACCATGTCTTTATTAACATGGAGACGAAGAAAGTTTACGTGTTGCCAGAAGGATATGAGGTGAAGAACAAGAGCTTGGATGATATCAAATACGTGGTTGATCCTCACTTTTCCAAGGAGGAGGTGGCAAAGCTGGATAAGACGGTCATAGATGCATTTGATTTGTCGGGCAAACGCTATAGGCCAGGTGAGCAATTCAACGCCAAAGCTGGTGTAATGATATCGATGCTAACATCTTGGCTTGCTAGGGTTTGTTGGAATGAATAATATCAAGTCCAATGACTATCTAAATGTCATAGTTCAGTTGCTTGCGCATGTCCGCCCAATTAGGAACTTCTTTCTACTCCATGACTTCCCAGCTCTGAGCACTCCCCAGCTTCCTCTGAGATTTGGGGTACTGGTCCGCAAACTATGGAATCCCCGAGCTTTCAAGGCACACGTTTCGCCGCACGAGCTACTCCAAGAGGTTGCAATACGATCGTCTAAACGTTTTACCTTAACGAAGCAATCGGATCCCATCGAGTTTCTCTCATGGTTTTTGAACAACCTCCATCTGACTTTGGGGGGCTCCAAAAAACCTTCCTCAAAGCCAACTAGTGTGATTCAATCGGCATTCCATGGCAAACTTCGCATTGAGAGTCAGGCCATCACAGCTAGGTCCGACAGCGCGAATGCCCGCCTTGTCTTTTCGGAATCAAGCACAACCACATCTCAGGTCAACCCCTTTCTAATGCTTACGTTGGATCTTCCTCCCACTCCCCTATTTCAATCCTCAAACAAGGATTCTATTATACCCCAGGTCCCTCTTACCACGCTTCTAAACAAATATAATGGTATCACTGCGTCAGAGAAACTTGCCCACCGTGTACGGCACCGGCTACTACACCCTCTACCGCCTTACCTTCTTTTCCACATCAAACGATTCAGTAAAAATAAGTTTGTTGCTGAGCGAAATCCAACTATAGTTACCTTCCCATCGCCTCATGGACTTGACATGTCGCCATATGTTGAGCCCGACCCGTCAGTATGCCCTCCAGGTGAACCTATTATTTATGATCTAGTAGCAAATGTCATTCTTGACGCTGCAGTGAATGTTCCAGGTGGGCCAGAAAATGCCGCAAACAGCGCTGAGACGGCCAAGGATCTGACCGAAACTGGGCCATCTGCGGCTAGTACAACCACACCAGGCGCAGCCGCAGGGAATCATAAGGTGTCATGGCTTATTCAACTATATGATAAGGCCATGGCTACGGAGAATGCCCAACAACAGCAGCAGAAGGGACCGGAGTGGCTGGAGGCCCAGGATCTTTGGGTTAAACGTACAGAAAGTGAGACACTATTTACGCGGGAAGGATATTTAATGGTTTGGGAAAGGAGGAAGACAAAACCTCCCGGAAGTAAGTGAGAGCAGTTTTCAATAAGCTCCAATTACATTCTTATTGTAACTTAATCCTCTACTTGACACGAACGCAATGTAAGATAAAAAACAATGACTCTGAACAATAAACCCTGTTATATCATAGTTAATTCTACAGCTGGCCCCATTGAAACTTAACTTTTCCAAGAGTGACAGCAGCACTGGCCCCTAGTCCCCAGATTCCTGCACTAATAACCGTCTCAAACCCCACTATTAGTGCCATCTTTCCAACGTAGGATAGCATATCTAATGCATTCCCACCTCCCATCCACGCACCCAGTGGTCGTATATTAGACTGGAGTCCAAGCAATGATGCTGTGGCACCAAGTGGGAGAATTATTGCCGAAGACTGGGTAGATAAATATGTAAAAGCAAGGCTTCGAAGATAAAGAGATTCAAAGGGGTAAAATAAAACTGAAGTTATGATAGAAGATAAATGTGAGGAAAACGCATCCACGGGATGCGAGGAGAGAATAGTAACGTGATGGTCCCATTCTTCAGCGGCATGTAGTCCAGGGCGATCGAGAAGAGGCTGTCTTTGAGGACCAGTACCATTGGTCATCTGCTCACTGGAACTGCTACTTATGTTATCCTGTGGGGGATTCGGTGCAGTGTGATTCATCCCAGGAGTTTGCCACAATGCATCAGGTTCATCCTCAGGATGGTGTGCTGTAGTATCTATACCATTTCGTCCTGGGTCATTAGAAATAGAATGGTCTCTGTCTCGAGTGGATTCAGGGACGTTGCTGGGGTGCTGGCTTGAGTCAGAGAGCAATGCATCCAATAACTCAGATGCGGCGCGATCAATGGCACTTGTTTGTGACTCAGTTCGGTGAACAACGCCATTTGGAAGCGAAACACTTGCATTAAGGCCCTGGTTTTCGACTTCAGCCTCTGTATGACTTTGCAGGAGTTCTAGATGCATTGTAATCACATCAGAATTCTGGTGGATAAGAGAAGCCCTAACGCGGGGGGACGAGGGTGGAGATGATTCTGGAGATGGAGACGGAGAGAACAGAGTATTCGTCCGGGAAGCAGGAACATGAGCGGTAACCTCTGTAGAATCCACAGCATGAAGTGGTATATCATGCTGACTAGGAATTGACAGGTCAGTATCATTGCCAGTGGGGGGCAAGGAAGTTCGTATATCAGAAAAATATCCTTCTGGCAGTTGTATTGGCGATTGGGCAAATCGGTTCTCATCGTCCTCTAGAATTTGGCCAACCATATTGACATTAATTGTATGTGAAGCCTGAGACTCTTGATCCAGTCCAGCTGTCGGCAAATCGGGATTACTTTCCGGGTTTAACTCCTGTTGCAGCTGCCCAACTCGTCTTTGGACGGATTCGTATCGCTCTAGCCAAGCAGCTTCTCCAGTGGCTGGTTTTGGTTTCGCAGTTGGATGAAAGCCCACAGAGCGTAGTAACCAATTTTTAAACGTAACAAACTCATACTTTATCTCCTGGGCTAAAGTAAAATGGCTTCTTTTAATTTCTTCTTCTGATCTCTTACCAAGTGACGGAACTGTCCATTCGATGAGCTCATTCTCCACGGCAACTCTTAAAGAAAGCTTATCAGGACGATCGGGTTTAGGAAGGCGGCGTCGAAGGATCCTGTAGACTCTCGCCTCAACCACAGGGCGAACGTTGATATATAAGTTGAATAGAATGAAGGGCGAAGTAGCCAGAGAGATACAATAAAGACCGATCGTGTGAGCTGATAGTTTTGAGGGGAGGGGTGGTAGTTGTATCAGAGAATTTGCGGTAAATGGAATAAAGGAGTATAATGATGGGATTGAGAATGGAGGTAAAAGTTGAAGCGACTGTAGAAGGGAAAACATGTACCCTTGTCCGAGGACAAGGATAACGGCGGAGTTAGCACTAGATAACGGTTAGCAGGCAAATAAATTAACATTGGGGCAAAGGGAGCCATGTACCCAAAAGACAATACGCTCATTAGGCCACGAATGAACTTTTTATACCACTTTGCATCGATAAGGGAGGAAAGAGTTGAATGAAGAGAGTCTAATGCTGACTCTAAGAAGTGTGATCGGCAAACAGATAGTAAAAAAGATACGGTCCAAACGGGAAGCCCTGCGAAATAAAAGCCCGCAAAGCCAATTCGTTGACGTTCTCCGGAAACTATATCTGTTAAAGAGCCAATATTGTAACTTTTGAAGGTCTACAAAAGATGTTAGTAACTGAAAAGACAAGGGAGGGAGGGAAAGGGTGTGGGTGGGATATGAATATTCACCTGAATTCGACAGGCCAGAGATTTCGTCCACCAAGAGGCTCCAAACATGCTAAGCTGATCGATAGCCGCTAGGGCCAATCCAAAGTCATTTTCCTCCGCGAGTAAAGCAATCTTTTCTTGTTCTCTCATACTAGCTGTGTTTAACTCTTCACCGCTGACAACGATACCCATGGTAGATAGAACATCATTCTTTGCCTTTCTAAGCTGCCTAGCCTCAGCCTTTGAGCGGCGGTTGATAGGATGTCCACGAGCGTCATACTCTTGGACATATCCATCAGCATTCGAGTTCGCTAGGTGTCGGTTTGGTTGTGGTATAGCCGACCCATTTACAATGAGCTCTGGTGCCTCGTAAGGAGACCGGCCCTAATAATTTATCAGCATATTGATAGCTTACACTGTATAAGGACACAGGCTTCATATATGAATTGAGAATTCAATCGACGTAGTTCTTTTTATTGACCCAACATACCAAAGCAAGTGAGTTCAAATATGGACGTCTCCCCATACTAGTCAGTTAGCTGTGCAGAGAAGTTAGAGGAAAAAATCATTTCGCAGTATCGCTTATGGTCTGTTCAAGGAGTGTGTTCTAGGGGTATAATTCTCTGGTCAACCAAAATGATCCACAAAATGACGTTCTTCTGGACTGTGGATGTTGTTATTTAAGGAAGTTGACGTTATGAACAACTGGCGCCTATCGCGGTTAGTTTAGCAGACCCACTTTTTCTGCCCTGTTAATAAAAATTTAAGCGCGTGGCAGCTTTTTTATTTTTTATTTTTTGCGGCTTCATATTGAACAAAGTACTCTGATTTTTGCTAGGATTGGTTGCTCACTTGATATGGTATATCAATCTTTGGACTGATGGCGCCTTACTCCACCAACTGCTGATTTTATTTTATTTTTTCCTTTCTTTGCGCAATAATCCTTCGTTATCAAGCCATGTCTAAAGTTGCTGTCAAGACCACTTTTGAGGTGCACAAGACCATACAGCCTATATACACTGGCGGGGGCGTCTCACTTGATGCTAGTGGTAGGTTTCTGGCGACATGTGTGGGCGAAGATGCCTTGGTCATTGATTTAGAAACTGGAGAGAGGCTGGCGCAAATTGAAGGCGTAAGTTGATAGACGGATTCTTCCATGCGAGTTAGAACTAATACCTTTATTAAGGATGGAGAACTGATTACCAGTATATCGGGTATGTATGCTCTTGAATGTTACATTCTCCTACGGGCTGAGCTAACTTTTTCTTAGTCTCCCCCGATGGATCCCACCTTGCGCTTTGCTCAAGATCTCTCTCGATGCGAATATTCTCTCTTAAGCCTTCTGACGACTCGAATCGTACCATTGAAGTAGAACTTCTGCGGTCCCTTAAACCTCATACAACGCCCGTTGTGACGACGGCGATTGACCCTACGAGCTCTCTCCTTGCAACTGGCAGTGCGGATGGCTCCATAAAAGTTTGGGATCTAAGAAGAGGGTATGCAACACACACGTTCCATGGCCATGGGGGTGTTATTTCGGCTATGTGCTTCTTTGAAATTGCTCTAGAAAAGCTCAACGAGAAACAGAAGCCCAAATTCAAGAATATCCAGAGCAACGATGATGACCAAGCCAACTCTATGGCTTCCGGCTTTCGCTTAGCATCCGGGAGTGAAGACGGCAAAATCAGAATATGGGACCTTAGCAAGCGTAAATCGGCCGCGTCCCTGGATTCCCATGTATCAGTCGTGCGCAGCCTATCCTTCTCGAGATCAGAAAATACCCTTCTATCTGCCAGTCGGGATAAAACGGTGATCATATGGGATGCGACGACATGGGACTGCAAACGGATCATACCTGTCCTTGAGAGCGTTGAAGCGGCTGGGTTCTTATCGGACGGCCCATTCTGCTATATCGGTGGCGAGAACGGCAAGTTGAGAGTATGGGATTCTAGTAGGGGAAGTGAAGTCACAGAAGACCAGCCCATAGGAAGTGAACAAGAAGCCATTGTCACAATAGAATATTCTGACAATCTACCGTTCTTGTTGACTGTTCATGTTGACCAGTCTTTGAAGATTCATTCCCTCGAGCCATTGTCCTCCTTCGCACATGGAGGTAGAATTGAGCCGCTGCCGGTCTCACGACAAATTTCCGGTAACGATGATGAAGTTATTGATATGGCCTGCATTGGTCGGGACAGGTCATTACTTGCATTGGCCACCAACTCAGAATATATAAGAATTGTTCGCGCGAATTCTATGAATGAGGCTGAAGGATCTGGAAGCCACTTTGGAGCCGATGTCGCTCGACTTGAGGGTCATGAGGAAATCATAATTTGCCTTGATGTCGACTGGTCTGGAAACTGGCTCGTGACTGGAGCCAAAGACAACAGTGCCAAGTTATGGAGAATAGACCCAGTCTCTTCATCTTTTACCTGCTTTGCAACTTTCACTGGCCATGCTGAATCAATAGGGGCCATTGCGTTCCCGCGGTCAGCCCCAGCTGAAGGTACACCTGCCTTTGAAGATCCCCTCAACCATCCACCCCCCTTTTTCATTACTGGTTCCCAAGATCGAACTATCAAACGATGGGATACATCCAAACTCAATGTCACAGGATCAAAACCGCACACTCCAAAGGCACTCTATACTCGAAAAGCCCATGAAAAAGATATAAATGCGCTTGACGTGAACCATTCATCCACCTTATTTGCATCTGCTTCACAGGATCGTACTGCCAAGATATGGTCTGTCGAGGATGGCGCGGTTACTGGTGTTCTTCGTGGTCATAAGAGGGGCGTATGGTCCATTCGATTTGCTCCCAAGGACACACCGATTTCTACCACTACTCCTGGTTCAATTAGCAGAGGGATAGTTGCCACTGGCTCTGGCGACAAGACTATCAAATTATGGAGTCTTTCAGATTATAGCTGTCTTTTGACATTCGAGGGCCACAGTAATAGTGTATTGAAAGTACTATGGCTCCCGCCGCCACATATCTCTCAATCTGATGAGGATATATCTTCTCGAGGGGCTGCACAAATCAACCCCCTAGTTGCCTCCGCCGGCGCTGATGGATTAGTGAAAATATGGTCCCCATCCACTGGTGAGGTAGAGACGACCCTAGATAACCACACCGACCGCGTCTGGGCTTTGGCAACTCCTTACACACTTTCATCCGTAACGCAGAGCCAGGGAAATACGACAGAAAGCAACTATGATTTCTCCTTGATCTCTGGTGCTGCAGATTCTGTGGTGACTTTCTGGAAAGACACGACCTCAAGCACCTTGTCTGCTGCAGTCACAGCGAGCTCTGAACGGATTGAGCAGGACCAGCAACTTCAAAACTACATTCACGCTGGCGCTTACCGTGAGGCCATTACCCTTGCTCTTCGTCTAAACCATCCGGGTCGGTTACTGTCTCTATTTACCACAGCCATTGATGCGACTGAGGATACCGCGGAAAGAGATCCTGATAACTTGACGGGAAACGCCGACATCGATGCAGTTCTTAAGACATTAGACGATGAACTCTTATACATTCTTCTAATCCGCCTGCGTGACTGGAATACGAATGCTCGAACTGCACGAGTGTCACAGCGTATTCTATACGCACTTTTCAGGTCATACCCGTCGTCCACTTTTATTGAGCTTGCTGACCGAAAATATGTCCTTCCAAATGATGGCAAATCAGGAAAATCAGCCGCTATGAAAGATATTTTGGAAGCATTAGCTGCATATACTGAGAGACACTATCGGAGAATCGAGGAGCTAGTTGATGAAAGCTACCTCGTGGAATGGGTTCTTGGTGAGATGGACGGAGGAGTGGGAAGTGCAGCACCAGCACTTAATGGTACAGACGAGGAGGATATAATTATGGTCTAATGCGAAACAGATGCCGTTATCAAATTCCAATGGGAGGTGGAATAAAAAGTGCATTTTTACGGAATTTTGCAAGGAGTTGAATGTGTAACTGTGGGAATTTTGACTTGATAACTAGCAGATTTTACAGACATTAGGCCATAATCCAAGTTTGCTGGCTTGCTGTCTATTGATACATATTCTACATAGCTAAACAACGATGGCACTATAATGAGTATCCTAACGTAAAGATGTAGAAGATCCTATTATCTTCTGTCATAGTCCCTCCTTCTGTCTCGATCCCTGTCTCTGTCTCGACGCCTATCTCTATCGCCGGTTCTGTCTCTCTCCCTGCCGTAATCATGACCTCTACGTTGGTCGTCTCTTTTATCCCGATTGCGCCCTGATCCACGGTCCCTGTCTCGATCCCTATCCCTGTCCCTATCTCTGTCCCTATCTCTGTCCCTATCTCTGTCCCTATCTCGATCCTTGTCCTGATCCCTGTCTCGACGCTGATGGTTTCCGCTATCCTCTTCTGTGATGATCTCACCCGTTTTCTTACTTTTCAGAATAACAGGTGTATACAACCCTTCACCTTCATTCTTTTCTTTTCTCATTGCTGCCTTCCCCCATGCTCCAAGTTCGACTTCAGCATCTCCTTTCCCACCGAGATCTTTTGCGCCTATTCCAAGGTATCCAGGCCTTCTCTCAGGGACACGGGCTGTTACCGGGGTATTTCCATAGTTTCCTCTACCAACAGGCTGTCCCTCTTTCCACCCCATACCGCGTAACAATGCAGCACCAAACTCTTCCACTGGCACTGCATTATAGGCGCTCAAGCTTGCCGGGGCAGGACGTGACTCTATATCTTGACGAAATGATTTGGTTTCATCGTAAGCTGAAGAGTTATTCTCGTTAGGACGGGCTGTTATGACCAGATCCGACGGTTTAAATTCTGCCGATTCCCCTTTGCTCTCACGGATGAGAGCCTGCAAAGCAGCCTCGTCCTGCGATAGTGGTTTCGTTTTCGGTTCTTCCTTAGTCACCGAGGCGCCCGCGCCTCCATAGTCCCCATTTCCATGACTTTCCATATCCCCTGCCACTGTATGTGTTGCAACTGCCTCTGCGCTAGGCTCTGCATAGCTCAAACCAACTTTAACCTCCGGGGCATCAACCTCCATTGTGGACTCCGCGGCTCCATTTGCCTCCCTTTTCCTCTGAGCTTGTACTTCAGCAGGTAGCAAACTTCGTCGCTCCCCCTGTGTGCGAGCATGCAGCTTGTCTCTCCATTTATTTCGTGACTCAATCTTGATAGTTAGCGGTTCCTTTTCCCTCTTCACCCGCTTATTGCTGATTATTGCACCGCCAGCTTGGTGATCGAACCCTGTGACTTCTTCTGGCACTGGCTCTCCTTCATCCTCACTGGCTGAATCATGATCGTTGAATCTTCGAGTTCTGCTCGAGAGCTCTCTTGTTCCGAAGGGAGCTGCTGGTTTGCTTTGCGTGGACGGCGTGGGCGTTGAACGGCGAGAAGAGTCGGCTGAGAGCGCGATGGAAAACGGCTTCGGTTTGGAAACTCCTTCCGAGCTTTCGGGTTGCATCGTAGATCTTGGGACAGGGTATAAGATCAGATTTAGCTCTCCTATATAACCCTTGATGCTGGGTCAAAGATATTGAAGGAATTAAATACTAACAGTTTGAAGTTGAGGCTCGTTGACTAGCGGCGACAGCTGGGTGACTAAGCAAGAATAACATGACGTCTAACTATATCCACTGAAAGTATAAAATCTAAGCAAGCATTACGTCTGCTGGGAGGTCGGAAGTGATATTGATGCTTAAATATTTTTTTTTATCATAGTTATTAAAGGTGCTATAAGTGCGTATGGCTAGATCACACTGTCCAGAGGAGACAGACCAAACACACAGCATGCAAACCTATACATGCACGCATCTAATGCAATATAAGTACATACATTAACGGTTGAGGCAAGGGGGAGCATTGCATTTCGACAAAGACGTACGTATGTGCTGGGGATGGTAATGATGGAATGGCAAAGGAGTAAGGATAAAGGTGGGAGTTGATGGAAGGAAAAGGGGTACGTCGTTATCCATGTAAAGACATCAGGCGAGCGATTAAAACAGAGTAAAGTATCAAGGAAGCAACGGAAGGAATAAAACACCACCGGTAAAAATCATGTACACGTTAAATCCCCATTTTCTAACATTCTGCTCAGCTAGACGCCGTTTGTGCTTGCGCAGGTCTCGGACTTTTACCAGGCGGCGGTGGCTGTGTCTGTTGCTGTTGCGGCTGCTGCTGCTGCTGCTGTGGCCCTCCTTGGCTACTAGGACGCTGACTCTGCGGGGTTGCACTTCGGCTTTGATGCATGAGCATGTTGGTCATCGCGGGACTGGCTATGCCGACCCCTGGCCGGTTCTGTTGGCCTCCAGCCTGTGAAGCACCTAACCGATTCATGTATCCTTGTGTTTGATTCTGCAATGGGACTGACGTCACACCATTCACAGCGCCTTGCTGGGGAATTTGTTGCCCAGAGTTCCCAGCCTGATAGTTAGAAGGTAGGTTGCCGACACCAAGGTTACCTGCCGCAGCGTTTAGAGCTGCTTGTGATAACCGTTGCTGTTGATACTGCTGCAGACGCTCTGTGGCAAGTTTCGAGACTTGTTCTTGAGACATAGTGGGATGAAGGCGTTGGAGAGAGGCCTGTATGTTGTTTACGTTGGGCAATGATGGAGCGTTATTGAGGGACGTGGATGGGTGGTTCATGCGAGGAGAAGAGGCAGGCATTACGCCGGGCGTAAGAGATGAAGCAGCAAATGATGGACTTCCACCGTTGGTTGCAGCTTGGAAAGCGGCCATGAGGGCAGGATTGCTTGAAGTAGTGGCGGGGGTGGCATTCATGTTGGGGGAAGAATGGGGTCCCTGTTGTGGAGCGAAGCCTTGTTGACCACTGTGGAACTGGTGTTGTTGCTGGCGGGATTGGAGAAGACGCTGTTGCTCTTGAAGACGATTGGCCTCACGGATGATACGCGAGTTGTCAGGGGATGTTTGGATAGGAAGACCGGGCCGACCATTAATAGGCTGTTGGAGGCCTTGTTGAGGCATCATCTTCATCGACATCCCACTGGGCACTGGGATTGGACCAGTGGCTGGTAGACCATTGGGCATGGCTGCAATTCCTGGGTGTGGCCGAGATTGAGAGACGGCCACGCCGTTTGGTATGCCGTTGGCCAACCCATTTGTAATGGGAACTTGGACACCACCGGCGCCATTGGGAGCAGCCGCCGGAGGCCGGACTGGTATACCATTGAACTGACCAGATGGGTTAAGCTGAGCCGCACGCTGGGCCATGGCAGCCTAAGAGTACAAAGTCAGTGATTGGGTAGAAACTTTGTATGCTCCGCTAGAAAATATCATACCCGCTGATGAGCAATCATTTGCTGACGGTACTGCTCTTGTTTCTCCAAAAACTTGAGTTCCCTCTCGTGCTTCAACTGGCTGAATTCCTGAGGCGTCGAGATTGGCGGATGTGGCTGGGTCGCTTCATTGACCTTGCGCATGGAGGCGAGTTGTGTGGCTAGAATAGAAAAAAAAAAAAAAAATTGTCAGCTTGGTGACACAAGTGGGTGATATATACAGGGAAAGACAAGTGATCGTGTAGATTTTATCGGAGAGTATGAGGCAAAAAAAGGAAAAATAAAAGGAAAACTTGGAATGCTTCCATACCATGCTGTTGCTTCTGAAGGTTCGTCTCTCGTTTTTGAGAGAGCTTTCGCATCCCAGCCAGAAGTGCCAAATGCCTTGAAGACCGCTTTCTCTCCACCCGTAATGGCTGTGCAGTACGCCGCCGTATCAATGCCTGAGCGCTCGGATTTACTTGACCGCCATTCTGCTGCTGCTGTTGTTGCTGTTGTTGAACCGCCTGTTGTTGTGCGTTCATAATTGTTCTTTGAGCAGCTTCAAGGCGTGCATTGTATGTTCGGAAATACGGAGTCTTCGCCATATCAGGAGGTAAGCCTTCTAAGCTAATCCAACGCTCAAAGCATTCCCAAGGAGTTCTTCGCTCAGAAGTAGAGACGAAAGACGATCGCGGAGCCAGACAGCTGGCGATAAGGGACCAGTTAAAAGAATATTCTTGTACTAGTTTTCGAAGCTCGTCGTCCTCCGCCAAAGTCCAGTGGGATGATTGCCGTGACTCATAGAACCCAAGGGGTGGCATAATATACTCGGTTGGAGGACGGAATGCATTGCCCGGATGGATTCGATCGCGAAGAGCTTTGTATTCCGGGGAGAAGAGAGCGACGTCCACTTGTTCTGGTAAGAGAGATCTGTACCCATTCTCTTCCTCGCCATCATAATAGGTATCTTGTTCGTAATCGTAACGACTTCGTTTTCTAGGCGGGCCATCTTCTTTGAACTGGATTGTTCCCTGAGCGTATTTTGAGACAGGCAGTAGCTGCGTCTTCCATACATCATCAGGTTGGATCTTAAAGGCTGGTTTGTTTGTTTCTGGAGCTATCTGTACGGGACAGTATAATGGAAGTTCTCCAAGTATCTTTTCCGACGCAATGGTTCGCTCCATGCGGAATGTGAACTCATCCGAGCCGGATGAGAAAATGGCAGCAGGAACATTTCCATCATCAAAATCAGGATGCTCGTCATTGAAACCATCACTAACTGAGTCGTCATCTGCCGAATGGATCAAGTCAGGGGTGGGATGATTATTTGGCAGCACTTCATCCGGGTGGCCATCCATGAGCTTATCGCTTTCAGGGGCTTCTGCTGCTGGTGGAGGTGGAATGTTAGCAGGTACTCGTAGAGAGCGTCGACAGTCTTCGTCACTCGCAACATAGTCTGCACACCACTCTGCGCAGCGCTTTGCTGCCGTGAGTTTCCACTTTCGTTCTTCTCTAAAGTCCATTCGCATCCATTTTACATGATCCAGCATGATATCCCAGTGAGTGGCCTGCCTCGGTGGTTCTGGGGAACGCTGTAGTTGCCGGAGAGCCCATCTGTTGGAATGCTGTAGCTGATAAATCCGCTTCAAGGTGCGGCAATCCATTTGTTCATGGTATTCGAGGAAGTGGTTGGAAGTACTGAGGGTTTTGTGGGCTGTAGATAGAAGGGTATTGAGACTCATAGTACGAGGGGGATAGTGGGCCTTTGCCTGGAAGAGGGTATATAGGTAGTCCTGTTCCTCGTTTGGAGATTTGCGGGTTTCTTCATCTCTCCCGGAAGCCAGTTGCATGGCCTTTTCCTTTTCCTGACTTGATGTCTTTGGAAAAACAACCGTTGACAGTCTGCTCCTCTCCTTGTCTGGTCTTTCGCTCAGTCTCAATTTTGATGGTGAAGCTGGGGAAGTGTGTGAAGTGCCAGCCTGCTTGTCAAACACGGATGACCGTCGTGAGTCCCTAGAGTGCTGTTCGGTTTCTGGAGTTGCGCTTGGTTTCGGACTTTCTCCCAGGATTTCCGATACAGACTTGTGCCGAATTGCGCCGGACGCGACTCTTGTAGTCATCCGTTCTGGCCTTGGGTGCTGCTGTTCGGCAGGTTGCCGCTGGTTCTCGACTGGTTTCGTAGCAGTTTTGCCATCTGGCACCACCTGGGGTCCAGACGAGGACGACGGCCGACTGTTCGTGACTGACTCCGTAGGCTCCCGCTTCAGCTGCGGTTCCTTGAGCTCTGCCGGAGCTTCGGTCATGTGCTGGTCTCCATCTTTGTCCTGGGCTGTGAGAGGCTGTTTAGGGGTGGTAGAGTTTCGAATGGACATGGCAGCTTCGAGCTGTAGCTGTTCATCCGGGGTTGAGGGTACCGCGGTGGACATGGGTTGTGACTGGACATTTGAAGGGGGTTCGTCAGTGGAGTGTTTGCCCATTGAAGGAGATTCAGCAATAGAGGCGACTGATTCGGTTGAGCTAGAAGCAGGGGATCGTTCGGTGGCAGATGTATGACTGGAGGATGGACCGGTTGACATGGGCGAAGAAGCGACCTCGGCGGCTTTTGGAGGAACAATGATAGGCGCGACACCTAGGCGGTCGTTAAAGGAAGAGGTACGGTTGGTTTCTGGAGGTGAGAGGGGGTGGGCAGTCGTCTGGGTGGTAGCCTGGACGGCTGTATCGGGTGAAGAGGCAGTTTTCGCGGGAGCTTCGGCGGCATGCTGAGGATGGCTGGTGTCTATGCCATTGGGTTGGTGCTGGAATGAAGCGACGGATTGCACTGGCTCTGGCGGTTCTGTGGTCTGGACACCCGCCGAAGACACAGTGAGCTGTGGTTGATCGTTGCCTGCTGCGGGCCCGCCTTGGGTCGGCTGTTCATGACTAGCTATGCCGGCTGCCGGTTGGAGGGCCGGTACCTGCGGGCGATCGAGCTCATCTGGGCGCGATGGTCCATATTTACTCTCACACTCAGCAAGCACAGTCTCGAGCCGTGGCCGTTCAGGTAGGGTATTTTCGTCGAAGAGTCGGCCTCTGTATGGACGCAATTATTAGCACTGCTGAAGTCCAGCAGAGAAGAGCATATCCGGCAGTGTAATACGGGTCAAACACGTACTTTGAGAGGTCGTTGGCGTCGAGGAATGCGGCCTCCTTCAGGCGGGCCAGGGGCTCACTGTGGCCGCCGGCGTCGCTGGGATGGGGGAAGGTCGCCGTCGCATAGTAGAGCTCGCTCAGCTTGCGCTTCCGCGACGACACACAACGCCTAGGGGAGAACGAAAAGTCAGCGAACGGGTCCAAGCAAACCGAGGGCGAGGGAAACGATGGAACGGTCAAAAAGGGCGGTTTACATACGCGATCTCGTCATGTCTGGATGCGAGCGGCCCGTCAGAGAGCATCGAGGCTTTTCTCGCGGCGGCATCCGATTCACACGCAAAAAGCGAGGGCCAGGGGCCTCTCGGGGGTCATACGAGCGCGATGCGTCGCTCTGATGAGATGGAATCGATGGCGGTGGTCGTTGTTTTGATGGCTGCAGTTGGTGGACGTCGCTTTTCCTGCGTGAAGTTCGACAAAATTGCGAGTTTTCTGCTTTTTTGCTGCTTTTCGAGATGTAGCAGTTTGCTGACTAAGCTGACTAAGCGGAGATACTTTGATCCGCGAAAAAGTTGACGGGAGAGTCGAAAAAGGTTAAAAAAAGAGACGGCGAAGACGACGAAGTAAAAAGGACGGCAAAAGGCAAGGAGAAATAATATTAAAAAAAAAAGAAAAGGGAGGAAGAAGAAGATACGGAGAAGAAGATAATATGAAGCGGAAGAGAGAGGAGGAGCAGGCGAAGGTGCCGGCAGAGAAGAGAGGAAAGATGGCCAGGAGAGAGACGACAGTGCAGATAGTCGCGGGCTCCTACGAAAGAGTCCTCCATGGCATCAATGCCACGATATCCCTCGATGAAGAAAAATCCAAGGGGCGGCCTGAAGATGTCGGAGAAGGCGAGGATCAGGTCAAGTTCACGGATACATTCCTGTTCCAGGCCCACACGTCGGCGGTTCGTTGTCTGGCGCTCTCACCGATGCCCAGCGCAGACAACAAGCAGCAACAGAATGTTCTGCTGGCTACCGGAGGCACAGACGACCGCATCAACCTGTACAGCTTATCGGTCTCGCCAATGTCTGCAGATACTGGCCTTGTGCCTCTGCCATCGCTAGCAGGCAACAAAGTTCTGGAGAACCCTCGGAATCGCGAACTGGGAGCTCTCATGCACCACTCAGCCAGCATTACGGCCATGCACTTCCCTACTCGGTCGAAGCTTTTATCTGCGTCAGAGGACAATACCATTGCAGTTACAAGGACCAGAGACTGGACAGTTGTCTCATCGATTAAGGCACCGCACCCTAAGACTCAAGGAAGACCAAGTGGGGACACCGCTCCCGTTGGTGGTGCGCCGGCCGGTATCAATGACTTTGCCGTGCATCCTAGTATGAAGCTGATGCTTACCGTGGGCAAGGGGGAGAAGAGCATGAGGCTATGGAACCTGGTTACTGGCAGGAAAGCTGGTGTGTTGAATTTTGGGCGGGAGGTGTTGACGGCCGCGAAGGAAGGGAAATGGGGGACGGGCGAGGGAAGGAAGATCCGCTGGGATTCGGCCGGAGAAGAATTTGCCGTTGCTTTTGAACGAGGTATCGTTGTCTTCGGGGTGGTATGTTGTGCCCGCCTTTCTTTTTTAATTTTGTTACCTTTATATTCACATACTGACTGGAGTAGGACTCGGTTCCAAAATGTAGAGTGGCCACCTCGCCATTCACAAAGGTACACCACATCAGCTATCTTGACATTGAAACTGATGACGAGAAGAAGCAGCTATTGGTAGCCTCTACCGAAGACGGGAGACTCGTCTTTTATTCTACAGCGCCAGACTCGTTAGAGGAGCTTGTTGAGGGAGGCGACACCACCATTCCGACGGCGCCGTTCCTCTTCCAGCTCGGTGGTAAGGCTCATGGCCAGTCCAGCAGGATAAAAGAATTTGAAATTCTCCCGCTCCAGGAGAACTCAAAGACTATACAGTTCATCGTTGTTACCTCTGGCAGTGATGGTGCATTAAGAATATGGACCATCAAACCAGAAGAAATCCAGCAGACCAAGCAAGCCAAGCGAGGCAAATCGTCTAAGCCCGGTCAGCCTGTGCAGGTAGGTAGATTACTCGGTGCCTACGAAACCGGTAACCGAATAACCTGCATGAAGGCCTTTATCATGCGAGAGCCTATAGGAGAAGAAGAGCTCAGCGAGGGCGACTCTGAAGAAGATGATGATGATGACGAAGATGAAGATGATGAAGATTCTGATAGCTCATGAAAAGCTCTAGCAGCCAAGCTGTTACTCTACCTGCCCGTCTGCCAATGATCAAAATGGTGTGAATTCACTATATTTGATAGATCAAAGTCTCAGGGGCAACCCTGTCCGCTACCTTGTCCACCACTGCTAACCCGCAGCCTGCCACCTCCATAGACTATACGTCCTCAGCCAAAATTCATCCGTCTTCCTCTCCAACTATTCCTATTCTTCTTCGTTGCTGTCTCCCAAATAATTAAATTAGGCATTTCTGTTCCCTCCCACGGACGGAAAATCTACAAGTCACGTGTCCATGTTGACTAAAAAAAATATTTCGTGACTCAAAAAAAGTTCGCATTTAAAATAAAACAGTAAAAAAGTCCACAGAAAAAGACGGAGAGACGAAGAAAGGGAAACCGAAGAACCAAAGAAATAAGCATTCTGTCCATACGATTAATATCAGAGTCGAGCTATTTGAATCCGCAGCCCCCAGCCCGCGAACACCAAGGAACGTCGCCTGCTTAGTTACCCCACTGAGCGTAGTTTATCGAAAAAATAACCAAATAAAATCGCCAAAACTCCAACTTCTCTGTGTGCGAAGAACCACATCCACGACCACCAGCGCACCGTTAGCTCAGAACAGGCGGATTGCAATCATGGCGACGCACAGTGACTTCTCAGACGACGAGTCGCAGCCCGGCTCGCCCGTGCTCGGCGATTCCAACGGTGTCGATAACTTTGACGACCAGGAGCCCCTCGACCACGAAGATGATTCACAGACACCGCTCAAGTCGGCTCTAAAACAGCCTGCGCAGGCAAAGAAGCCAGAGCTTCCCGAGCAGCCAGACCCATCGACTCTCGATCTCTCTACTCTCACGCCGCTGACACCCGAGATTATTGCCAGACAGGCGACTATCAATATTGGTACTATCGGACATGTCGCTCACGGAAAATCAACCGTCGTCAAGGCTATTTCGGGAGTGCAGACTGTCAGATTCAAGAACGAGCTGGAGAGAAATATTACCATCAAACTGGGTTATGCCAATGCAAAGGTGTACAGGTGTGACAACAAGGCCTGTCCCAGACCTACTTGCTACCGAAGCTTTAAGAGTGACAAGGAGGTTGACCCTCCATGCGAGAGAGAAGGATGCACAGGCAGATACAGACTCCTTCGACATGTTTCGTAAGTCGTATTATTTACGCACCTATACTTGAGTATATGACTAACCGGGTGTAGGTTCGTCGATTGCCCCGGGCACGACATTCTCATGAGTACTATGCTTTCAGGTGCCGCCGTCATGGATGCCGCTCTGCTTCTCATTGCCGGTAACGAAACTTGCCCACAGCCCCAGACCTCTGAGCATCTGGCTGCTATCGAGATCATGAAGCTCAACCATATCATCATCCTCCAAAATAAGGTTGACCTGATGCGCGAGGACGGCGCCCTCCAGCACTACCAGTCCATATTGAAGTTCATCAGAGGAACAGTGGCCGATGGATCACCCGTTATTCCCATCTCGGCTCAGCTCAAGTACAATATCGATGCCGTCAATGAATACCTAGTCTCCCACATCCCAGTTCCAGTCAGGGACTTCCTTGCTCCCCCTCACATGATCATCATCCGGTCCTTTGACGTCAACAAGCCTGGTTCTGAAATCGAAGACCTCAAAGGTGGCGTTGCTGGTGGAAGTATCTTGACCGGTGTGCTCAAGCTCGGGGACGAAATCGAAATTCGACCAGGTATTGTCACCAAGGATGAGCAGGGCAAGATTCAATGTCGCCCCATCTTCAGTCGTGTCGTAACCCTACTTGCCGAGCAGAACGACCTCAAATTCGCCGTTCCTGGTGGACTTATCGGTGTTGGAACTAGAATCGATCCCACTCTTTGCCGTGCTGATCGTCTACTCGGTTTCGTTCTTGGTCACCGTGGCCGTCTTCCTGCCATCTACAGTGAAATCGAAGTCAATTACTTCCTTCTTCGACGCCTTCTTGGTGTCAAGACCGCCGATGGAAAACAGGCAAAGGTTGCTAAGCTCAGTAAGAATGAGGTTCTCATGGTCAACATCGGTTCGACCGCCACAGGTGCAAAGGTCATGGGTGTCAAGGCAGATGCCGCCAAGTTGAGCTTGACTGGCCCAGCTTGTACAGAAATTGGAGAGAAGATTGCCCTCAGTCGAAGAGTTGACAAGCATTGGCGTCTTATTGGTTGGGCGAATATTGTCGCGTAAGTACTCATTCTTTCACATGTTCCTTTGGAGAATAACATCTAACATTTATCATAGTGGTAACACGTTGGAGCCTATCTCCAACTGAATTTGATACCGCTCATTAAACGGCACTTACACTCTTAAGGGGTGTATGGTTGCCAGAAAGGGGCTATAGAGAAGAGTCGGCGGAGCCAGGGAGCTGTACTGGGTAGGGGCGGGCTATCCGTGTATCTGCCAGTCGACTCTAGACTATAAAAAAGCAACTATCATCATACCCTTTCAAATGTCCACCGGACAAACTACAATTTCAGCTCCTGACAGAATGGATTGCCTGCCCCTACTCTCAAACCCGCTTCGTCTCTACGAATAGCCGGTAGGACATTTTTTTTCAAAAGCAAAAAGCAAAAGCATGTTCCAAGTTCAAGTAACTATATCACGCTTGTTCTCATGGTTTCCTCCCTTTTCTTCTTGCTCATCATATTTCCCTCCTCTCTTTCACCCTCAACTTCCGCATATTCCCTTATAGTCGAGCAGTTGCATACGCCTCTCATGCGTTCCGATTCTCTTTTAGTCTCCTTTCGTTGACCCTGCCTCTTTTGTCAAAATATTCTACTTCTCTTATTTTGCTTTTTCCCACCTCTTTTCCGAAGCATAGATAAAAATTGTTTCTCTTCAAGGTCGGGACTTAAAAAGGGACAAAATGGAGAATAATGTGGAAATGATAGTTATGAAATAAAACTATTTTCAGGCATAACTAGTTCTAATGTTTATGTGAAGATATTGTAAACTCGTTTAACCATTCTCTCACTGAAACGACTTCAGCCAGGAGAAAACTTCCATATCTATCAACGTGTAGATTGTAGAAGTTCCAAAATAAGTATATCGTGGGTAAAAAAAAATTCTATAGCACACTATTGTACAAGCTTGTTCTGCTCCCTTAGACAATACAGTAATTGCAGGTCCAACTCACAATTCTGACATGAAAATAGACCAGCACATTTTATGGACCTCAATTTAATTAAACTGAAGTCTCAAACTCCATTCCTCATATTTTGCGAGGAAGGTGTGTAGAACATATCCGTATACGATTCAACCAACCCAGTTTACCAACTCATGTATTTCCTGTTCTTCGAACGTCTCCGCGCCAACACACCACGACCACCTCGGCTTTTCACACGGGCCAGGAATCCATGGCGCCGCTTCTGGACCCTCCGACTAGGGTTGTATGTATCTCGTTTAACGCCCAGGGAGGCGGTGGATGAGAATCCACGGGCGGTAGCTGGGCATGTGGCTAAGGTGCTTGATATCGGGTTTGGGCGTAGAATGGAGGCTGAGGATGGTATTTGGGAAACAATTGAACTTCTTTGAGGCACTATCAGGTTCGGCCGCGAGACACTGAATGCGGAGAAGGATCTTGTGGTTTTTTGTAAAGTCGAGCTTGCCATTCAATCACAGAGAAATACTCCGCGAAACCCTGTAAAATACACATACTTGAAGCTCAAACGGCTTGAACTACGAATCGTAGCTACTTAAAAAACATCTTTTCCGCTTCTTCGTTGATTGAAACGAAAGTTCGAGGCAAGTTCAAGATGCGCACTGACCAATATTTTTTTTGCTTGACCTGGAAAAAAAAAAAAAATCATGTCCAAAAACTAATTGAATCTTCAGAACGACAAGCCGCAGAATACCAAGAAGATCCAATTGCACAATAAACTCACAATTTGACATCTTGACTGTTTGATAGAAAGAAATTGATTTGAATTTATTACTCGATATTTGATCTTGCTGTCTTTTGAATTCATTGGTGAAGCCTAGGAAAATGGCATCTCAAGCAGGCCCAACTCCGCTGCCTGCCACCACAATACTTAAGAGCGAGCGCATATCCCAAGCAGAGGCTCATGAATTCCTTACAGCCTATCTCGATCGCGCGGCCTCAGACCCAGGATTCCAGCCAGATTCTACGCTCTCACCACAAGGTCCCATTGCCGCTGGCGTTGGGTCGTCTCCCAACCTAGTGATACACAACCTGAAGCGAGTCCAGGCTGGATTGGCCGGAGAAGTGCTCGGAAAAGATCTTATATACGCGAAACTGGAGAATGAAGGCGGTGCTGCCGGTGGTATATTCGAGCTACATTCCCATAATGCAACTGATGGACAGAATTGGGCCGGCAAAAAGCGAGAAACTCCTGCTGTCAGCGGATGGCAAGATTTACAGAGCTACGAGAGAGAACAGACCGATATTGTTGAGGCCGGAGACGGAGATGACGAGGTGGTTGCTGTAGAGGACAATACTGAAGCCGTGGAAGATGTTCAGGAGGGCAAAATCGACAAGGAAGAGCGCAAGCGACAGAAGAAACAGAGACGCAAGCAAGAGCAAAAAGCGAAGATGGCTGCGGCCAGGAAAGTAAACGAGGATGATGAGACCGAGATCTGAATTGAACTTTTATGACCGTCCCTCTTGCCGATGGTCTATTGAAAGTTATTGATTATTTTACAACAAGTCATTGCCCAACTCGGTAAGTTTTCCATACCAGAGGATACCAGAACCCAATAAAATAAAACAACAGGGGAGAAATGAGATTCTAACTTCTATTATAGCTCTCTGTCAGCTGCCTTGACTGGCTTATCGCTCTCAATTGGCTCTTTTTCTCCTCCAGTGATCTTGCCTCCCTTCCAACCCAGGGCAGCAAGGCGCTCAGAAAGAATTGGGTGCGAGTAATGGTAGCTTGCGTACATCCAGTCCGCATCCATGGTAGAAAGGTTTTGGATCTGGAGCTTCAGCAAAGACCTGGCTAATTTTTTGGAATAACCCAATTTCACGGCGAACGCGTCTATCAAAATAGTCAGCACCAGACACTTAAGGAACTGAGGAAAAAAGAGTCATAAAGAGGAACCAACCGGCTTCGAACTCGAATTTTCTGCTGAGGATGTTCATCAACAATTTGATGATGGCATCGGTTGGTGCGAGTGCATCTGAGAATAAGATGAATCCAATCATGATTGGCATCTCATTGTAGAAGCCAAAATCTTGATAGAGCGATTTGTTGTTAACAAAGGCAGAGAACAAGGCAAAGATATAGAACATGTGGAACTAATAGAACGTCAGTAAGCCATGTAATAATGAGATGGAACAGAAAAAAAAAAAAAAAAATAAACACACCTGTCCGATTCCAAACAGCTTCGTAGTATGACTCAAGCTCCAGTGGCCCAGTTCATGGCTCAGAACGGCAACAACCTCTTCAGTCTCGCTCTTCTCAATCAAGGTATCGTAGATAACAATATGCTTCTTCCATGGCAGTCCGAAGAAATAGGCGTTGCTATGGGCGCTTCTTTTACTTCCATCAATAACGTTCAACTCGGAGAGCGGGAACTTAAGCTGCTTGGCCAGGTTCTCGACGGAGGTCTTCAAGACGCCGGGTTCAAGCGGGGAGAGCTTGTTGAACAGGGGAAGAATGGCAATTGGGTAGATAGTGATGGCAAACAACTGGACAAAGATTCCAAACATCCAAAGATAGTAGAAGAAGCTGTTGCCAGTAGTCTGTACGATTTTCAGGATCGCGCTGATGATGGGAGTTCCGAGAATGACAGTCAGCATCTGGCCTTTGAGCATGTCCATAACCCAGAGCTTGACGGTTTGCTTGTTGAAGCCAAACTTCTCTTCCAGGACAAAGGTGCTATAGTACGAGGTCGGGAGGGACAATATCGTTGTAATGATGTTGAAAACAAAGACAAACAGCAGGGTATGAGTGATCTCCCCTCTGAAGCCTTCGGGGGCATATTTCGCGAGCAGAAGACCAGTTGCTCCCCATATTTTTGGGAGAACGTCGCCGTAGATGAATGCCAGGTTCTGGATCTGGCTGTATAGCCCGCTCACGAAGCCGAACTTTGCCTTTGCGCGTCCATAAGCCTATGATATGATTGTTAGCTTGAATAGCCTCAAACAGATGGGCAGCAGATATAACTGATGTGCTATTCGCGGCGTATAGCTTACCTGACTCTTATCAAACACTTCCTGGGAGACCTCGCCCTCTAGAACTTTAGGAACCTTTGTTGCCTGCAAGACTTTGTACTGTCGGAGAGAGAGGAAGCCTTCAAGGAGATACTGGCCTAGCGAGAAGCCCACAATGATCTTCTTCCATGGGAAAAAGGGCCGGTCAAGAATGCGCGCGAGCTCCTAGATACGCCAGATAGATCAGCCGTCCGCCCACAACCAACAACCCCTTGCATCCCAGGATCCCCGGGAGGGCAGAGACCGAGACCGGTGTCAGCTACCAGCCCGTCAGCAACTTACCTGGAGGATAAACATCATTGCAGCGTACGTCGACGTTGTTTGCAGGAGATGCGAGTTGTCTGTCGTTTCGTCGTCGTCGTCGTCGTCTGCGTCTGCCTGGAAGCTGCTGAGGTGAAAGGCGGCCAGCGCCAAGACGTGCAAACTGTCCTCAAAGAACTAAATTAGTAGAAGCACACGAGCAACCTCGAACATCCAACGACATCACCATTGAGTGTATGCCCATCCTATCGAGTACGGAGCACCAACAGCTAGTTACAAGTTACAGCGCCTTGCTATACTCAATTGCCATCCAGCATTACTTCCATCACAGTCATCAGGCTCCCCACGGGCTGCTGCATGCGGACAATCTTCAAACGCGCGTCGGTCTTTGAAGCAGGCTGGCCCTGTCCTCCGCAGCTCGCTCCTTGCGGTTGAATGCCATCATCATGGTCAGGTCTCGGACATGCAGGAGGCTCTCCTGTGTGCTCTCAACCGCACCCGGTAGAGGGAGTACTGAGTCCATGGCAACCAGCCGTGCGCCCGTTTGCATTGCTGGCAGTATGTTCGAGATGATGCTTCGTGCCTCACGATCCGACCAGTCATGCAAAATCATGCGCAGGAGATAAGTTAAAGAAGTCATGCACCTGAAATGAGATCCTAGAGTGAATATCGATGTCCTCTTGCAGAATACCCTTCCTCCCATCTTCAATGTTGGTGTTCAAGTCCTGGACAACAAATCGCAAGTTTGGGAACTCTCTTGCCAGGGCAATGCTAGCATGACGGGTCGAGCCTCCCACCTGTCGTGGCTGTTAGTGCTGCAATTGCTACTCTCCAATAAGATTGCGTTATGAGAAAAGGGCCACTACTGTTGTATTAACCAGTTAGTTGGCACCCCTGTCCTAGTTAGCTCCCTATAATCAACTTCCATGTTGATAGCTAACTCTCGGGGAATACGGGCCCGGTGAACATTACGCCCGAACAGTGTGTGCTCGGGTTCAGAGTAACGGGCCCGTAACTACTGCCCGAGCAAAAAATATACCCCAAGAGCAGTAAAAAGCCGATGTATAAGAAGAGTACTTTTTACTGGTAATCATCGTCAATGAATCAATTCGTCTCGCATCTAAGTTGCCTAAAATACAGTCAACTGTCCTTACTACTTGTTATGCGAACAAGCAAACCCAACTATTCCTTCAGTGTACTGCCCCTTTTAAGTCACCAAATATGAGCCAAAGATTATCCCAGCCTGATGATAGCAACCTGGGGAATGGGAGTTGTGAAGTAAATCACTGTCCCCAAGAGAATTATCCAAAGTCAGCTGCTCTCGGTGCCATCATGCTTGCGATTTGCTCTAGCATGTTCCTTGTGTCATTGGTAAGTTGAATACAGTTACATATCTTAACTAACGACCTGCAATAATCCGGTTACTAGTTAACTAATCAAGTCTGATGTTTCTGGAATATAGGACCGTACTATTATCGCTACATCAATTCCCACCATCACGAACTATTTCCGTTCTTTCAATGACATAGCTTGGTATGGTACGTAAGAGGTTGCCCGCGTTTTCTTAGATCACAGACTAACATGGAAACAGGAAGTGCATATCTACTTACTGGCTGTGTACTTCAACTCCCTTTGGCGTTGCTATACAAGTTCTTCACTCCAAAATGGGTCTTTATTTCCATGTTAATTGTCTTTGAAATCGGTTCTGCAGTTTGTGGGGGTGCACAGAATTCCGTCAGCATCATTGTCGGTCGCGCAATCCAAGGACTAGGCGGTGCAGGTATCTTCTCCGGTTCCATGGTCCTTATCGTCGAAGCAGTACCCTTGGCTAAACGACCCATGTACATGGGATTTGGTGGCGCAACGTTTGGACTTTCAGCTGTTCTTGGGCCTCTCGTGGGAGGAGCTTTGACATCAAATGCGTCATGGAGGTGGTGTTTCCTTATCAACCTGCCTATCGGCGGTATGGTACTCCTGGTGCTGCTCTGGTTCTTCCCAAATACGCACACTATAGACGAACAAAGTGGTCCCCAGAAAGAGAATTGCGTGCAAAACTCGATACAGGACAAACTCCTCGATCTGGACCCTATGGGTATCATTTTCCTTGTTCCAGGGATGGTATCTCTCATGCTTGCACTTCAATGGGGTGGATCTGTCTATACCTGGAGTAATGGCCGGATCATTGCCCTCTTTGTTGTGGCCGGAATTTTGTCCGTATCCTTTATCTTGAACGAAATATACCAGCGAGAGCGAGCCATGCTGAAAATGAGCGTATTCACCCAACGCACCGTGGTCGGGAGCTTCTTTTATTCTTTTTGCGTTGGCGGCTCAATGATGACAATCGTTTACTACCTACCGATATGGTTTCAAGCAATCAAGGGGGCCAGTGCTGTCAAATCGGGAGAGATGAATATACCCCTTTTGCTATCACTCATGATTGGCACCTTACTTGCTGGCATGCTTGTATCCAAGGTTGTTAGATACGCTGCGCCTTTTATGATTGCTGGTGCTATAATCATGACGATTGGAGCGGGGTTATTTAGCACTTTTGGCATAAGTACAAGCCATGGTAAATGGATTGGATACCAGGTTGTGTATGGATTCGGCTTGGGACTCGGGATGCAACAAGGTGCAGCCGCTATTCAAGCAGTGATACCAAAGCACGACACCCCACAAGCTATTTCGTTCTTGTTCTTTGGCCAACAGCTTGGTGGTGCGATAATGCTATGTATAGGTGAAAACCTACTCAATTCCTCTTTAGTGAGAAATATTCGGACATTGCTGCCAAATATTGACCCAGGCCACATCTCCAATTCAGGGGCCACTGATTTCCGCAACACTGTATCTGGGCCAGATATGATAAAGCTGCTCCAGGCGTATAATTGTGCGCTCAGGCATGTTTTTTTCCTTGCAATTGCCGTCTCAGGTCTGGCTCTTGCAGGCGCTTTTCCGGTTGAATGGAAGAATTTAATCAAGGTCGAGAACGAGCAGAGTGCGGAAAATGATAGGCTTTCTCGTGCTATGAAAGAGTAACTTGACTAGGTAACTAACTAGTGAGATAAATATGATGCAAAATTTTCACCCCGTATTCCATATAGTCAACAACAATTACTGGGCAAAGTTAGTTAACTAGTTAGTTAATTCAAGCTTCCACTTAATCTTGATTAACTCGTTAGTTAACGGGAGTAACCTCAACTAGAACGTTGAGTTCATTAACTAACTAATAACTACTACAATGTCTGAAGATTGGCGACAATGTTTTATTGATATAACAAGTTGCTACTTCAATTGCTAAAGGTAAAACTTGTAGCGAACGAATAGCCGTGTATATTCGATGATGTTGGTGAGCTTGATGCAGAGATTTAGGCTCCAGATACAGATGGAAGTTAGCTAGTTAAGCTGCATATTTATATTTAACTGTTCAGTAGCCTATTTGCTAGATACAAATGCTTTCTGTGAATGTAGTAACTATAGCTAAAGCCTAATTATAGATTCTCATTTTCAACTTGATTAAAGGGCAAAATAACGGACTCCCATGGAACGACATCCATGTCCTGGGGTTCCCAGAAAGACGTTTGTTGCAGCTGTTGGTCACCCAGCATTAACCCCGGGCTAGTATGAGTGGCAGCATGGTTATGTTCCAAGCTAGGAGTGCGTGCATTGAAAGGGAGTAAATTTGATGACTGGTTGCAATGAGAGTATAACCGTTCGATGAAGCCTGGCAATGTTGGAGCCATCATGCTGTTGGATGTCTGAAGCCGTGTTTCCCACGCTGCCAGCGTCAGTTTACTTACAACCCCTGACACCCCTGAGCTGCGGAGGCTGAACTCGGGGTGATGGTTGTATACATCCTTTATATGATTCCAAGCAGTTTCTTTACCATCATTCCACGTCTCTTGAGCGGTGATTGCTTTGAGCATTCCAATTACTGCTCCCCAAGGGAAATAATTGACAACATACCACCGGAATTTTTCAGGAGACTTCGTGGCGTGAACAAGCTCGTCATATTGTAGCATTTTAATCCCGTATGAGATTTTTGTTTCTGTATTGTTGAGCGAGTGAAGACGATTCTTATCGGAGGCGTAAAACACCTCAGATATGCGCTGGAGCTTACATATCGTGGAGCGAGCCGTGACTGTCAGCAGAACATGCAAGGGTATTACTGGATCACAAAAGCGCAGGAACCGCTCCTCGAAACACTTCTCCAGGCTCTTAATACGAGAGGACGAAAAGCTGGATCCTGTCATCGTATCCTCAAGATTGCCAGACAACTTGCCATTGCCAGGAGCCTGCAAAAACCGAGATGTCTCATATCGAAGGAGGGGGAAGCTCATTTCCGTTACTTTGAGATGCTCCGAAGGGAATGTGGCCATATCAGGGCTTATATCTTCGTCATTTACGTTCAACGGCAGAGTCGTTGTCCATGATTGTGGGACGGTGGCTTTTCCAGATCCTGCCATTTCTGTAGCGCGTATATCGAGGCTTACGATATACCACCAAAGACGACGCCGCATCTTGGTTTCGTAGGGGGAAAGTGAAAATTTGGTCCCATCTTGGTGAATACCAATGGTCTGAGCAATTCGAATAGCAATACCAACCAGTGTCCAAAAACATGAAGGCTCGCAATCTCGCTGCAAGGCTGTCTAGATGGTGATGCAACTTAGCTCTCGCGCTCTCAGCTTGTATCAATGCATAGCATAGTAATGTATATACATACAAGAAACAGCACATAGGTTTGGAGGGTAATAAGATCAAGGGACTGCATAAATGAAGATTCAACCAGCGAGGCTGCAGTAGCTGCAAGGAGTGATTCTAAGGATATGCTTGAGCCCAGCACAGCCTCGCATTCATTGTCCCCGATCGACATGGCTGCACATGCACAGATCGCAAAAATCAAACCCTGCAGCTTTTGTGAAATGAAGTCGCTCTCCTCAGATTGCAGTGATTGAGTCAAAAGAGCATTTGTTGAGGGTATATGGAGGATCTTAGTTAATGGATCAACATTGTCACAAAAGGTTGACCACAGCTTGAAGATCTCTGACTTGGAGGGGAATTCAGCTGGAGGACTGGATGCCATCGACCCCAGAAGCAGGTATGAGGAGTATAGTCCAGTTGATGGTGCACGTATTGGCATTCCATGTAAATTCTGCTTTAACTGCACATATAACCCGTCAATTAATACTAGTCTATACAAGACTGTCTCCCATAAAGTGCAGACTAACCTCATCACCCAAACTTGCCAGAAGTTGATGCTCGTAATATTTCTTGTTCGCATCGTGTGTAATTAATTTACCTTCTTGTAGAGCTAGTGAAGCTTCTTCTTCTCCCTTTTGCCTTGCTGCTTCTCCCTGTGTTTGCGGCGTTGAATCAGTAGTGGATCTATCCATTCGCTCAGTATCAAAAGGCTCAAAAGGAAGTCCTGCATCACGCAGAACATTCTCGTAGTGCCGTAGTCGCTCTATAATTGAGCTCTGCTCCAGTATTGCCTTGCGTTTACGAGTTTGCGGAGGAGCCCGATAAATGCATTCGAGGCGTGTCTTCTTGCAAGCGCCACATGGTGCTTGACGGTCACATTTTACCTTCCGCATAGCACAGGAAACGCATGCATTGCCTAACATTGCACGCTGCTCTGGGTGAGTGGGAGAAGGGAGCATATTAGCATATCAGAGATCCAGACGGAGTACTCCATAGACCAGAGGATAAATCATCCAGGCTTCCTTGATCGTGCTGAGTTAGGATTTGCTGGTCGTTGAATTATCGAGTTCCAGAGTAACTAATGGTTAGTGTCTCAGTTTATAACTATGGCGTACTCCGTATAATGTGTTTTATATTATGGGTTCCACGGGCAGTTACTCAATAAATGATTGGTTAGTTAGTTAAACAACTAGTTTAATCGTTTGCTAATATGGGTTAACTAGTTAAAAGTTATAACCAGGTTTTGGCCTCAGTTAACCTTGTGGAAGTGAGAAGTAGATTAATGGTTAACTGACTACGGAGTGCGGAGTACTCCATTCAATATTTTGTATGTATTTTCACTGATATTCTAAACTGCTATAGTGAGTCGTGATGTCGTTCCATAGCTAACCAACCAGTTAGCTATTGCTATTGCTATACCTGTATCTTTCATCAAGGAAGTCGTTAGGTTTTGAGTAATGTACGCAAGCGTAACCATAACCTTGGGGCATACAAGTGCACAATGTGGCAGGATATCACTGACAGCAATGAAATCAGGTAAATGTTGGGTCGGAGGCGGTAAAAATACGCATAGCCTCTAGAGAAATAACTGGATAGCCCATGATGACATCATGCAGTCCAGTCTTCAAAATTTGTTCTCTAATGACTCCATTATCCGTGTGCCACTCCATCACCGTTCCTGCAGCAGTATTATCAATCTTTTCTGTCGCTTTTCTCAAATCTAATTCTTTGTATGTAATGCCTTCAGGTACCGTCGCATTGACAGCACTCCAAAAAAGAGATTGGGTATGATGAAATGGGATATCGTAGTCATCTTCAGCATGGATTAATGTCATCCTGTATTTCTCATTATTCAACTCGTTTGCACCGATGTAGTCACCAAGACGGTTGCTACTCAGCCATTTGTCGCGTATGAGAGAACTAAGCCGCTTAAAAAGTATGGAAAATCTGGCAACTGGTGACAGCAGGGGGATAGTACCAGCAAGGCTGTAAGTTGCTGCGAGGCTTGCTGAGTTGACGAATGGGGCTACTAGGATCGTTCCGGCAAATGATACCGGTGGTGATTGCATGGCAAAATGTTGTAAGATAGCCAAACTAACTGCAGTACCAATCGATTGGCCAAAAATCATCAGGCGAGAAGACGGAATTCCGGCAACATTCATAGCCCAGTCAACAACAGCTATAGCGTCCATAATAAGGCCATTTTCAGAGGGAGCTACATCGCTGCTTCGACCAAATCCACGGTAATCAATAGTTAAGACATGAATCTTTCCAGGAGAACCGGCAGACAAAGCACGGTAATTGGCCGGTCGATATCCAGAGGCGACGGTTCCGGCAGCTCCATGAAAATGTAATACCAAGCGAGCTTCGGGGTCATCGCGTAGTAGTTTGAAAGCAACACGGGACTTAAAATCCGAGACAAATCCGGATGGCTCACTCAAGAGGGACCGCTCATGCTTCCGGTATAGTTCTAAGGGGAGGACATGCCAGGCATAAAGCGAGTGACCGTCTGGAGTTTTTATGAAGAAAGGGGTAGCCTGGTTATGAAGGAATCCCCAAATTTCCGGAGTATCAAGATCCTTAAACCAGGTCATCTGAATCTTGTGGAGGTAGATAACATGTGTCTGAAAAAAGGGGGTTGCAATAAGCGCCAGAAAGATGGCATACAATGCAACGCATGATGCAGCAGAGATAGAGCCATATTTCAAGATGCTTCTGATCACATCTCCAGCAGTCATTGCGAATAATCTGATGCGCCGCGCTTGTATCAAATGCGATATATGGGGAGTGATGCTTTCTTGATGCAATAAAATCTGAGAGTTGTGATTTTGGACGAAGGAGATGTCGGGTCATACCTTTGTTTTCGACCATCGGTGGTGGGTTGCTTCCGCGGGCCGACCCTTGCATGCCAAGACCTTGTGTCACACCAGCCGGCGCTTAATTGCAGCTCTCTTCACAGCGCTCTGCGTTTATTATTGGCCTGCTAATGATAGAATACCAATCAACTACTTGAGAGTGGACGAATCGTACACATGCATAAGCGAGGCTACAGCTCATCTGACCCCTGCGCTTAACTCAGCTGAGCGAAACTTTAAAAATTTACGTAAGATCTTATGTAATATAGCTGAGGTGACCTGACCTAATAAATTACACTTGTAATAAAGGTATAATCTTTTACAATATTTCTAACTCTAACCCTTACTATTAGTTATTAACTAGTTAATAACTAGTTAGTAGCTAGTCTCAGATTAGTTATAAAGTACTCTCTAACTACTTATTAAATATACTCCCTAGTCCCCTAATCTAAACCCTTACCCCCTAACCTAACCCCCTAATCCTAATACACCTCTATTACAAGTCTGTAATTTATTGGGTCAGGTTACCTCAGCTGTATTACATAAGATCTTACGTAAATTTTTAAAGTTTCGCTCAGCTGAGTTAAGCGCAGGGGTCAGATGAGCTACATCCTGTGCATAAGCAATGATGTGGAAGGAGAAGATACAGCCAATCCTGCTTGCCAGTTGGCTTAACTACTATGCTCTGCTTGTGCGTTATGCATGCAGGAAAAATATTCATGCTGCTTACCAGCAGTTGGTTATTCCATCTGCCCTTGGTCTATATATACCCCGGATGCAGACCTTTCTGGGCTCGAGTCATCTTGTCCGTTATTGCTTCTATCTCGTCATGACTAAAATAACATACCCCTCATCCCGATAACACTTGCTTTCTAGCAACACATACCAAGCTCCCCTCAGAAGAAAACAGGTTAATGACGACTCAAGCCAACCCAAATACTCGCTGAAACATCTTCTTATTTGTGGACCCTTCATATTAGTCAAGTTCAAGGCCTCCATGGACCCTACAATTACCGCGCTACCCAGATTACATGCCTCAGCCCCAAACTCTACTCCACAAGAGAACGGAACGAACTTGGTAGGGTGGGTCGACGAGTCACCGAACCGCGGTACACAAAAACTAATAAGCTCTTGCTGCTTTACCATCTTCATCTGTACTTGGGTTGTCATACACCCACGGGTATGCAATCGAAAGTCCGTTGCCTTTTTGCACAAGCTAGCTTTATTTCTCAAATCCATCATGGCACCTGAATTAATTGCCGTCGAAGGATTGCAGGAATGGAGCCAATCAAGGAAGATGGTCCGGAATTGCGAAAAGTATACAGAAAAGGAATTCAAACTGGTTCATGCATTCTATATTAGTATGCTTGGTCTTAGATATCGCACCGAGCGCGGCGACAAAGTGATATGGCCAAACCAATTTGAGTGGTTGCTGGAAAATGGCCACATGGAATGGAGATTCCACAAAAGCTGGGGCCTAGATGAGAGTGATATCAAGGACAAAAGCAGTGCAGATGGAACTGTAAAAATGGCAGCACTCATCCAGGCAGCTTGGTTCGTTGTACAGGCAATTGTACGAGCAGCCCATAACCTTCCTCTAGCCCAACTGGAATCGATGAGCCTCAGCTACATCCCGCTATTTATTATCACATATTTTTTTTGGTGGAATAAACCGAGGGATATCCACTCACCCTCCGTTATCAACTTGCCTCAAATGACAGCCGAGGAGCTCAGTACATTTGAGAAAATGTCCATCAGCAACTTGTTTGATAATGAGGGTACAGTTGAGCAAACATCGTACTGGAACGTATGGGCGCTAACCCCACGAGTGTTTGAGAAGGAAGCAGAAGACAAAGCGCTGGAGGTAGAAAAGGCCGCATATGAAGCTTTCATCCAAGCCCAATACGGCAAAGAGCCTACTGGAAAAGAAAACCTTCGAAGAGACGACAACGACCCGGAACTTGGCAATTATGGCTTCGGTGATACACGAGCAAGCAGGTCTTGCGCCTCCCTTCCACTAGCATTTCAGCCCAAGCCGAGAGATATTGTGGTAGCACATTGGGACCCCGACCTATACGGCTCCAAAATCTGGCCATTGGCATGTCTATTTGGAGCCTCGTTTGGCGCATTACATCTAATATCGTGGCATGGAACTTTCCCTTCAATAGCAGAACTGTGGCTATGGCGTGCATCCGGGCTGGCATCAATCGGTTCACTTTTGGTATTCATGCATTTTCCAAAGGTTGTCTTTCGATGGGGTGGGCCCCTAACCATTATAAGCCTCGTATCCCCGGCAGTGTACTTTCTCAGCCGGATTGCGATGATAGGTGGAGTATTTGCAGCGCTAAGGGCATCCGATCCGAGGATCTATGACACATATGCAATATTAAATTACTGGATACATCTTCTTTAGACACTCCGGAATAGGCACATGTACACCATCTAAACTTTTGTCCATTTCATTATGTTAATGTGGTATATGACCGGATATCAGCTGCAAGCTTCCATATAGGTCTTACCACTGGTATTAGCCTCGATTTCACTAGATGGTACAACGTCGGTGTAAGGTCCGTTTCCGGACGTTGTGAGGACAGTTTTACTATAGTTTCATCAAAATCTCCACCCAGGAGACGAGAAGGTTCAATTTGGTCAGCCTGACAAGTTTTAATCGGCCGTGAGCCCCGTAAGAGCGGAAATCACTAGGTAAAGTTCAATTTATTTGCGTAAAACGAAGGAAAGGACCAAATTGGATCTCTTCTTCAATTTTCAAATTGATATTTGGTCTCTGAAATCGTTAAGAACAGCAGCACAGCGGGTACTAATAATTGTAGCATATCCCCGGCCCGATCATCCATATACCACCATTTTCAGAAGCAAGAGACGCATTTTAGGTATGTTTGCATCTATTCAATGGAAAGTATCACGACGTTGCTGTGGCCAAAAGTTTTCAACGCCTTAGTTATTAACCTAGTTAGGTTGCGTGCGGGTTAAGCCCGACCCGATGCGCCGAGGTCCCACTTAACAGAGTTTACTTAGTTAACTACCAGTGCGGCTCATCAAACCCGTCAAAACTCTCCAACGTTTTGTACAAACACCCTAGGTTCTAATCATTACATTCCCCATCCCCGGCTTTATAGATTTGTCGGATGAAGAGACCATACCCTGATATTATATTTCAAGCTCAGCTTTGTTTAATGAGCGATGAGACACCACTGGAGCTCGTCGTGATTCTTCTCCCATTTTTTCTGGCTACTTAGCCTAACTCCTGGCGTGGTTGACCTGGTACTCCTTTAATTGACTAAAGTTGTGCTAAACTAGTTAATTAATCATGGTTCAAAGGCGAGTTACTGTGATTATCTGATAAAAAATAATGAATTGGAGGAGAGTGGGAGATGTGACCTCTGCTCAAAACAACAAACTATGGCAAAGCGAAGGTCGAATAACCAGAATCCAGCCTGGGAAGCCTGTTTTAGAGCCAAGGAGACCGAGGAAAACTGCCGCTGAAATTTCATCTGATTTATTTTCATCTTTCCCATCCCCTGGATAAGTTAACTGATAAAGAGGCCCAGGCCCAGTGGCATGTCAAAGGCATTCATTCATGCTCAATGGATAATCAGTTCTCTCGCCTTCAGTAAGACACTATAAGCAACGGATTCATTATCCAAACTTTTGCCATCCCAGATGACCCCGACACTCGTTGAATCGGTTGGTCCGATAAATTCAGTCCTATGATGTTCAGAGTTGCGCCTCCTTGAATGCTTATCCGCAGGTTTACTAGCCCCTCTAGGAACACAGCGGGAGTAGACACTACCCATATCGCCAGTGGAACTGACCCAATCTGTGTTAAACCCATCCGGAACCCAGTCCGCCTTCTCAAGGCGCAGTGTTGCCTTATAGGCCGGGACTTCAGTCTCGTAAAGGATTCTGCTATTTTCCGATGGCGAGGAAAGGGATAGAGCAAACACATTTTCTGCTTTCAGCTTCAGCAACTCGCGACAGAAGTCGTTTATAAAGCTTTCATAGGCAGTGGAAGTTATATCAGGGCCGACTTCAGTCGTATACTCGTAAGCACTCATTGTTCCTGTATCTTGACGGTAAAAAAAGAATTTCCCCCGAGGCTTTCTCGCCCCCTGAAGGCTATGGATGCATCTGGGACGACATATCTCAAAGAACGGAAGATCATCAGATGGTGGGTAAGGGCTCTGCTCATAGACCATGGCATGGTTGGCGGGCAGGTCATAGTGCCTGTGTAGAAGGTGAAGGGAAAACACATCCTCCAAGCCATGGTCGGATATCATTTGCAAAAAGGCGCTTCTTGCTGCAGCCCACTTTCGCTCTTCCTCGTCTACCTTGGCTAAGTTGACGTGAGGAAGAGTGTTATAGACATCCGCGGGGAGGTAAGTCTCATCAGCTTTATAGATCCGTGTGGAAGACATCATCACTGTCGTACTATTGACTGGTAGGTGTGTAAGGTATGGTAGTGGAGGAGGCAGATTCCCTTAGACATTGAAAGCTGAAGCCTTCCATTCACGGAACTCTTATAGAAATAGCAAATCCCTCTATGGAGGAGAAGGAGGGGCTTCTCGTATTAGAATTCTATTTTCGGCTGCGCTCTTTGGTTCGTGGCATCGTGTGATTGACTGGGCGGAGCTTGTGATCCCTGGACCCCGTACACGGTCCCCTGGTCAGCCTCATCTTGTTGCGATTGGGGTGCGTCTATATCGAACCTGCAAAATATTAACTAACGACATGTAACTCCTGCTTTAGCTATCAAAAGTTCCATGTCATCTTCACCCGGGCAATAAAGGCCTATCCGAGCCAGAGCCGGTTTGTGTTTCCTGCATGGTATTTGTCCCGGGGCTTGATTGTACGAAGGAATTGTCACGATCGACCGACTCGAGACCTCTTGAACTTATTTGAGCTGATAGCCATGTCTGTCTTGAGCAACGGCATCAGTATCCTGTATACCCCCGAGAAGACGGATCCTTTCGCAGAGTAAGTCAGCCGCATTGATTCTCCGGTTGTAAGTAATGCGGCTCCTCAGCCCTGGTTGTTACTAGCATCGTCTTCGTCCATGGATTCCAAGGCCACGCAAGAAAGACATGGACAGCACGCGCACCAAAAACCACGAAATTCAGAGGCCGGCAGCAGAAAGCAGCTGTCCTGGACCGGCCTACCGTTAGGGATTCGCAGCATCAGCTAACGCCAGACGATGGTCAGCCAGAAGACTCCAAGACAGACATATTCTGGCCCTTGGACCTGCTGCCAGAAGAGTGTCCCGACTGTCGAATTATGACTTTTGGGTATGACTCGATGGTGTCCAAATTCTTTGCAGGCCCGGCGAACCAGAATAGCCTCCTTGAGCATTCCAGGAATTTCCTACATGCGCTTGGGCGAAGTAGAGACGATTGTGTGAGTCTGTCAATCTTCTTGTGTGGTGTTGGTAGTGAGTCAACGGCTAACATCAACCTTTAACACTCTCCAGCGAGGTCGATATATCATTTTTGTGGCCCACTCGTTTGGAGGTATGTAACTCAGTAAAAAGCGCCACCTTTCTTTCATTTGCATCAGAAACATCCAACTGTATTAAGTGGCAGCCAGCTAACCAAATCAACCTATCAAAGGCCTTATTGTGAAGGAGGTAACTACAATTTATCAAGATACCCCTATTCTTCAACAGTTCAGATGAAGGAGTATCTCACCTCTATAGGTCCTTCGCCTTGCCGCCAGAGACGAAGATGCCTCTGTGCTTGATATCAGAGATTCCACCAAGGCAGTTTTCTTCCTCGGGACGCCCCATCATGGCAGCGGACTTGCAACGTCCGGCGAGATGATGAGAAAAATGGTTGCATTCAGCATGTTCAACACTAACGCGTACATTCTACGCGCCTTGCACTATGGCAGCCATGAAAGCAAGGTTGCTCATGATGACTTTATGCGCCAATGGCACCAAGAACGATTTCTTGTCCGCACTTTTCAAGAAAGCCTCGCTTTAGGAATCTTTCCTGGAGTTTCGGGAAAGGTTCGACATCCTATTTTAATTCTGTTCGAAAACTAGCTAACCGATCATTATAGATAGTTCCTGATATATCCTCTTCGCTGGGGGATCCAAGGGAGAATGCCCAATATATTAATGCTAATCACCGTGATATGTGTCGTTTTACAGGTAAAGATGACCCTGGATATCAACAAGTGGGAAGTGAACTGCGAAGGGTTACAAACAAACTTCGCCTGGAGTATAAGATATCACAAGACAAGGCACAGGATATCAAATCCGAACATATTGGTAATTATACATGTCCAGTATTCCGTTTAAGTTTACTAAAATGACTGATTATACTGATAAATGGATAGAGGAACTATCTTCTGAAGAGCTAGGTATGGGACCTCTCCAATGGTATCCTTCTCTTTGTACTAATACGGAAATAGAATGTCTACGTTCATTGTCCGTCCCCGAAGCTGACATGTGGGACTACAACGTTGACCAAGAAGTCCAAGCCACTTGTACCTGGCTGTTCGATAAAGAAGAATATTGTTCTTGGAAAGATACATCCAACTTGGACATGAAGAATTCTCTTTTACGGGTTAAAGGGAAGCTGGGAACTGGAAAATCAACATCTGTAAGGGTTGCTATGTCAAGACTATGGAGTGAGCAATCAACCTGTCCTGGGATCAAACTAGCATTCTTCTTCGATAACCTTACCAATACCCCCGGGAACCCTCAACTCCGGCTCTTCAAATCACTTCTCTTCCAGCTCTTCCAACAGTCAAAGCAAATTTTCCTTAGGTTTATGCCCGTCTTTCGCCGAAAGAAAGGTTTACACAATAACCACTGGGCATGGAGTGAAGACGAGCTGAAGTCCTTTTTCCTATCAGTAATGAAAGATCTGCCAGTTTCTTCGGCTTTTATATTTATTGACGCTCTCCATGAATGCGAGGAGGCTAGAGATGTCATTACGTTTTTTGAGTCAGTTCGCACTTCAAGCATTGAGAAAAATATCCCCTTGAAGATATGCTATTCCAGTCGGCATTACCCTCCCATAGATGTAGGGGACTACGCTGAACTCATTATTGATGCACACAACAATTATGATATCGAAAATTATATCCAAAGGAAATTGAAACCCCTGCTCAAGAGACGGTATATTGACAGGCTTATGGACCGTATTGCCGAGAAAGCCCAGGGGGTGTTTCTGTGGGTTGTTCTGGTTGTGGGTAAGGTTATTAAAGCCCATGACCAAGGTGAATCAATGGAACGAATGCAAGAAATTGTTGAAAATGTGCCAGATAAGCTGGAGTCCCTCTATAGAGAGGCTCTCAAGTCTGCCCTCCTGAATCGTCCCGGCGAAACATTGTCCATATTCCAATGGGTTCTCTGCGCTTCCAGATTGCTTAGCTTGACCGAGCTACGTTATTCCCTGATATTTCAGAAGAATGGATACAAATCCCAGGCTGAAGCCGAAAGTTGTTCATCCTTTATTGAATGTGACGAGCAAATGGATATACTTCACAGAGTCCGCACAGGCGGCCTGACGGATACAAGCACTAGAAAGGCGATAAACACGGCGTATGCGCGCCAGATATTTGACGCGGACAACCAAACTACGATCCATCTCGTGCACGACTCGGTAAGAGACTTCCTCTTGAACCACGGTGGCCTCAAACTTCTTGATTCTGGATCCGCCGATGACCTATTTCGTCAGGGTCACAAGAGACTCGCAGAAGCATGTATAAACTATTTAAACATAGCCGAATTGCAACATATAGCAAAGGCTCGACCTGAGCCGGATGTCCTTGGTCTAACAAAATCAATTGAGCTCTTTCAGCAACTTTGCCGCCAGTTCCCATTTCTCCACTATTCTCTTAATTCGGTTTTCAAGCACATCGAGGCAGCCGAGCTTTGCTCCAAGGATGATAATGGCCCACCTTCATATTTATATCATCGCATGGAGGATACATTCTTTGTTTGGAGGTACCTCTCTGATCTCGAAAGTAAATGCCGCTTCAACGAAGTCCAGGGAAAGGAGGCAACCCTAGCCCATTTGGCAGCAGAATACGGGCTGATCAGCTGGGTTAAGTACTACATCTCAAGCGGCGGGGATATTCACAGGGAGGGTGGTCGATTTGGCACACTGCTTCAGGCAGCAGCTGGTATGGGTCATGAGGAAGTGTTTGACCTCCTTCTAAGCCATGGAGCAGACGTTAATTATTTATCCGGGATGCTGGGATCACCCTTGGTCGCAGCTGCCTCAGAGAGCCATTTATCCATTGTCAAAACCCTTATTGAGCGAGGCGCAAATGTCAATGAAGAATGCGGGCCATACGGATGTGCCCTACAGGCTGCTGTTCGTTCTCCAAGGGACAGCAGCAAGCTTGTACAGATGCTTCTTGATGCTGGAGCGGATATCCATATGCAACACGGAATATATGGCACTCCTCTCCAGGCAGCAGCTTATAAAGGCAGGGAAGAAATAGTCAGAACCCTACTCGCGAGAGGAGCCCAAGTCAATATTGTATCTGGTAAATATGGAACTGCCCTTGGTGCAGCTGCATTCCAGGGCCATGACCAAATCGTTCAAATATTCCTTGAGCACGGCGCTGATACAACCACGGAAGCGGGTGACTATGGTAATTCCACATGGGCAGCAGCGTACAATGGGAAGGAGTCTGTCCTACAGCAACTTCTCCGCAATCGCTATCCATCCTGGCAAGATGACATCTTGGAGAGTAAAGTACGAGGCATGATGAACCAAGCCATCCGTACAGTAGCTTTCCATGAAGCTGTAGAAGATGGAGACTTTGATTCGGTCAAGAAATCATTGGAAGATGGCATTGACCCAAATGCAAGAGGAGGAGTTGATAGCTCTGCTTTGCATTCAGCAGCGTTCTATCAACACGCCGAGATAGTAGCTCTATTGCTTGCTCAAAAGGATATCATTGTTGATGTGAGGGACTATGACGGCCGAAGCCCATTATGGATAGCAGCAAGTGACGGAAATATCGAGATCACAAAGATGCTTCTCAACACCGGTCAAGTCGACGTTCGACAAAAACCTGCTTCAGGACGCAATCTCCTATGGTATGCGGCCAAAGATGGAAGAATTGACATGATCCGACTGATGTTGGAAGCTGGTGTAGACCCCTTTGAGGTTGATGATGATGGCGTTTCACCAATCATGAGGGCCGAAAAGGAAGGTCGAAAAGAGGTGGTTTCACTATTCCAGACGGATGGAGGGAAGAAGTAGCCACTAGCCACCTGGTTCAGGGTATAAATGATTTTATTGCTCTGAAGGATATAAAATTGACTATGTACAGGAGGCATAGCGCGACCACCTATTTACCATATTATAAAGAGGTTTGAATAATTGTTCATCTCAAAGTCTATATCTATAGATAGTTATTACACTTCGTTACTTACCCTCTATTCTCAAGGAATAAAAATTTAATCAACTCAGCACCAACTAACCTGGCCCTTACTAGTTCTCTTCGTCATCATCATCATCTTCTTCTTCTTCTTCATCTTCTTCTTCTTCTTCGCCATTGTCGTCGTCGTCATCGTCATCATCGTCATCATCGTCATCATCTTCTTCAATGTCGCTATCTTCATGGCCATCGTGATCAAACTTCAGCCCATAGTCGTCCTCAAAATCGCGAAGAGACTGTATTTTTGGCTGGAAGCCTGCCGATTCAAACCCCTTATGGATGGCCTAAAAACAATCATCCATCTAGTTAGTGGACTGGGGTATAATTATTCTGAATAGTATGTTCCTCACCTCTTTGAGGGCTGGCGCACAGGTCACAAATAGATCTGTCATTCCTGCGGTAAATAGGGGTAAAACGAAATCACGGATGGCCTCCTTTACTTGTCCCATATCAATAGCCCTAATCTTCTTCAACAGAGTCTCATTGTAGTCACTCGGTAAGTTGAGAATTGTGTCTTTGACAAAACTATCAAAAGCTGCCTCGTAATAAGTCTGTTTTTCAGTAGCGAACTGGTTAATCAAAGTGCTAACCGCGCATTCCAGTACGTTCTTTGATTCAACTTCCATACAACCAGAGAGAAGACCCTCAACGGTTGTCTTTGCTGCCTCAAAAGCTTTGTAAGCATTGGGGGATTGATGGATCATGAAATGTATAAGCCCACTTTCAATATTCGTTCGCAAATAGAAAAAGTAGGCTAGTCCGGGCCCTCGAAGGGCGTTCCACATTGGTCCCTCTTCCATGTTCAGATAAGCAATGGCAACCATCAATGCAGGTAATTTTGGGTCATCATGAGAACAAATTCCCTTCGAACTCGACTCAGCATATGAAGAATCCATCGACCTTATTGGAACAACATAGGCGTGCTTGCCCATGTGTCTGCCAGCATCACTTAGCCGTTCTGCCACATAGACCACGGGTTTCAGCTCCTTTGAGGTATCCAAGCCGGCTATAAATGGGTTCCACGACGTGACGGGGCTAGTAAGTTTTTTAACATCGGCAATAACGAGAACTTTGAAGTTTTCAGCACGGAAAAGTGACTTTCGAACTTCCTCCATTTGTCGGACAACTTCATCTGGTTTGGTAGCCAACACTTTTTGGACACGTTTTAGATATCGACCTTTCACGAGCGCCGTGTACGCTCTAGATATGGACTTTTCTCCCAAGTGCGTCATTATCCCGATAGCTTCCACCATAACTTCTCCATCTCTTCTTTCTTCTGGGACATCTGCGAGTAGTTTTGATGTGACAGCCCTCAACCTGTCAACAGCAAAGATTGAGTTCCATGTTAGATCTTTCAGCCAGGATATGGCGGCTTGATACCTATTGGCCTCTACCTGGAGGGAGATCGAAAGGGATTCAGGGTTGTTGTAAGTTGGAGACATCCAGTAGCCCACTGTATCTTTCTCTAGATCAACGATAACCCGTTCGAACGATAATATTTCGCCATCCTTTTTGATGGGCAGGCTGAAGAAGGATTCAGTGTATAATGGCAGTAAAGGCAGCAAAGTATGAGGTACATCCTCCGTTGAGATCATCAGGATCAGCTGCACGAAGTTGCTAGATATACCCTCGAAGTGGATGAATAAAGGCAATTCAGACCCATCTGAATCTATTAATTCCTGGGTATCATTATCGGTACGTTTAGACTTCAAAGCAAGACCTGCCTTTGCCGTAGCTGTTTGAATGAAATGGATTGAATCAGTACCAGGAATGGTAAATCTCGACATTAGATCAGTTGACGGTTCCTCAACATGATCCCTCTTTGCCTTCTCTAGAGCCTCTGCGAGCCTCTTTAACCCCTCTGCCCCCAACTCGGCTTTTCGTTCCTCAATACGCTTCTGTTCATCCTCCATCACATCTGTAGCCATTTTGGCGGAAGGTATAGCCAGAACAGAAACATGATGTGCGTTAGAAATCCATTTCTTAATATAATTTCGCCATTCCAAATCAGTCCATTTCTCTAAAACTTTGTACTCTTCCAACGTTCCCAGAGTTTCTAGTGTTGAGCCATCCCGTTCCCCGAAGAGGAAGTCAGTTATCACAGCTTCAGTAAATGAGGTAGTCGATGTCTCTGTTGCAAATTTCCAGATCCGTTGGTGTCGCTGAATACAGTCATGCATGTATTTCATGTCTATCTCCCTCTTCATTGCATCTTCCAGGATCTCAAAGAACCGGCGTTCAACAGCCCCCAGCTCTTCCGTGGCGACATTCGACAGGGTGAAGGTAATTTCCGTATGCGGCCTCTCCTCCGTGTCATATGTTACTGCGGATGTAACCTGCTCCTGTTCAACAAGGGCATGCACCAAAAGAGAAGCAGATGAGCCTGCAAGGTATAGTAGAGTAACGTTTAACGCGCTCGCTTTGTAAAGGTTAGCATTATCAACATTTCTCTAGAATATTGTACTGCTTACCCAAAACACGGTCCTTGAGATCAGGCCCAAGGAAGCGAATCTGAATCATTCCAAATGACTCGTCATCTTCTGGGAACTCAACCCTTTCAACAACTGACTTCTGAAGAGGAGAAGCCTGGGGTGAGTCAATCCAAGGCCTTATAAAATGGGCAGACGGACTTGGAATAATATCCATAATCGTGTCCTCCAGTTTATGGAGTTTTTCAAAAAGATTCTCATGGTCAATCTCGCCTGTAATAACAAGGCATAAATTTTTCGGTTGGTACATTTCTCGATGAAACTCGCGAATTCGGTCCGCCGTAAGAACTCTAAGATTTTCTATCATTCCACCGGTTTCATACCTAAATCCAACGCCTGCCGGATAGAGTAGTCTGCGGCCACAGACATCCGCACGGTATAGAGAGTCATTCCGGAATGATTGCATTTCAGAATACACAACACCTGCATCATGCCCAGTGCCATCAATATGGTATACCTCTGTGTAGCAGCTAGAATCACTCAATGTCGGGGTAATGATATGTTCTAGGTATACTGGTAACAATTGAGCAAATGCCTCCCATCCAGCGGACTCAAGCGTATAAGCGGTATGATCGACAGTTGTCCAAGCATTGATCTCCGAATACAACCGGGCTGAAAGTTTGTAAAGAATTCCTTTGTCTTGATAGTTTCTTGAGCCCATAAAGCACAAATGCTCCAAAGTATGGGGCGCACCAGAATCATCGTGGATCTCAGTAGCAAGCACAAAGTGCCCTTGAACTCTTGGGCCTTTCTGGTCTATGGTGACCACTCTCATTCCAGTTCTTTGGGACTCATATTGAGTAAAAAGAGAAGCAGAGTAATCTGGGGTAAACCGATTGACAATCCGAAAAGAGGATCTCGACTCCATGTTGGCACTATTCTGCATGCCTGTAATCAAGCCTGAATCACAGCCCCTCTCTGTAACTCTAAGGAATTGGCTCCCCAGAGTAACCCGTAGATCCTGATCCAAGCCTGGTGTATTTGAAGGGGGGTTTCCCTACCTGTGGTCCGTTGGATAAGGTCCTGGATTCGAAATATTTAAACTTAGTAAGTGGCTGAAGCCCTTCGTTGACCTTTTGAAGATTTGCTTTGAAGTTATCAGTTAACAAAAATTATTGTTCGTCCCGCATGGCTTGGCGCTTCGGCCAAAAGGCCATCATCACATCCAAGCTTAAATTTAACTACTCTAACTAGTCACCACCACCACTCCATATGCACTCATTTATATGCCAACAACAAGCATTCTAGCAGTCGCCGCGGGCAGCCTACAGCATTCAAGTTAGCAGAGCGCTAAGATTTATCTAGTTGCGAGTCTAATTCTGCAGTGTGCGGTAGGATATGGCTATATTGTAACTCCTGGTATCTCGGACTCCCAACTAACATCTTGATGAACAGGCGTGTCAAGCCGCTACAGAGCAGTGCTGAAGCCACTGTCGCCATGCCGGGGACCGTTTCTGCCGACAAAGTGCACCGGGCACTACTCAAATTTATAACCGATGGCTCATTCCCGGAATCAGAGTCCATAACCGAAGCGGAGTACCCCTTCACAGCTCTACCTGCCGGACTTGAGCAGATATCTGAGGCGAGACAGAGGGTTGAGGTATGGGATATTTTTGACGAAAGATTACGACCTATCCACACATAACTTACCAATGTTCACTGTGTAGAAAGAAATCAGTGCCCTGAGCCAGGACAAAGCGTCCGACGTCGATGAATGGATATCGCAAGCAAAGCAGCTTCATAAGGACATAGAACGATCGAAACTGACGGCAAGGGAAATTGTCAAAAATTATGAGAAAGCACAAGCTATACAGAATCAAGTTGAAGACACAGCAGCCAAAGTCAGCCTTTTAAAGCGCGAAACTGCATTTACACAGTCTTTAAGGGAAACCCTCGAGAACGCGCGCATCATTGATAATAATATAGATGCTGCCCAGGCCTGCGGAAACGATAACAACTTGGAAATAGCAATCCAGAAACTTGACCTGGTTAACCAGGACTTGGATCAACTGACTCTGCCCCAAGACTCGACCATTATTACCATACTAGCCGACAAGGCTTCCACCGTCCGAAGCTCTCTGTGTGGCACGCTACAACATTCATGGAGCAACTTAGTTCATATTGACAAAGCGGGAATACTCACCGTTAAAGGAGATGGTAAGATTGTTCTATCATATGACACTATTGGTATTGTTTATTGACATTGCATAGATATATCTGTGTTAGACCGGCATTTGAACTGGCTTTCAAATCTGGGAATCTTGGAGGCTAGTCTTATTTCTTTTCGGGAAGAGCTTCTAAGTCACGTTCTGCAGCCCGTTTTATCTCCTTCTCGGACCGGCCCATATAATCTCCTCTCTTCTAGTGAGAACTATATCCAACTGAAGAGTCAAGTTGCAAAGCCTACAATATCAGACGTTCTAGGCTCGATCCTCTCCCTGTTTACATTCATCCAGAACAAAATCCCACCTAGGGTTCTAGAAGTGATCTCTACCACTCTCTCTACCACTTCATGTCAGCTCCTAATTTCAGAATGGATGTCACCGGCTATACCCGTGGCTGTTGAGGACATGAATGCCTTTGAGCGTACCTTGGACGAATTACCGCAATTTTCCAAATCTCTGGCTGAACTTGGGTGGCATGTACCTCTTGAGCTAGGATCCTGGAGAAGCCAAATCCCTCGGTTGTGGTTATCTCGCCGACGTGCCCATGCTTTAGACCGTGTCAGGTCGATTGTATACCGTCATTCTGGGGAATATAAAAAGGCCGAACGGATAGAAAAGCAGCAAGTGTCACAGTCTAATAGCATATTTCAGGGAAATAGTGAGGAAGCAGAGGTTGAAGATGACTGGAATGCCAACTGGGAGGATGAGAATGAGGAAGTAGACAAGAAAAGCGCCGGAACTAAAGTAACTGACCATGAGGATGAAGACGTTAGTGCGTGGGGACTAGATGATGATGAGGAAGATAAGCCCCAAGAAGGAACGAGCATGAAAAAAGGAGAAGACGGCGATGACGATATAGACGACGCCTGGGGATGGGGCGAAGACGAAGCAAGTGACAACCCGACTGAGGAAAAGCCATCAACCTCAGCGAGCAAGGCGCCAAAGACGAAGGAAGATAACAAGCCATCGCAAGCCTCAAAAGAGGTTGTCCTACGGGAATTCTATACCGTTACCAAGGTACCAGACGCTATTATTGAAGTCATAGGAGATCAAGTTTCTGACTCTGAATGCCTTAAACAACCTGAGTAAGCCATTTCACAAGCAACTGGCGCGCGTTTTACAGACCCATCTAACGGTTCTACAGATACTCGTCATCTCAGCTTTCCCCATCTGCTTCAGCTCTCCTCGGAATCCCCACGTTAGTGGTTGCCATGTTCAAAGCTATGGCACCAATCTTCTATTCCCAAAAATCGACTTCTAGCCATATGTATCTCTACAACGACAGTATCTACTTAGCTGAGAGACTACGAACTTTCTCTGAGGAGCATGGGTTTTCAAGATTAGCAGGGGATATAGACTCCATCGAGAAATTTGGACGTCTGTCGTACGGGAGGGAGATGCATTCCCAACGAACGATACTGACCGATCTTCTGGATGGTTGCCAGGGATTCTCAAGCTGCAATGCTCAGCCTTACCTCGGAGAATGCGAAAGAGCAATCAAAGCAACGGTCGACAGAGTGAGAGGTGTGCACAGCGAGTGGAAATCCATACTCTCCCCCTCAGTACTCCTGCAATCTATCGGCTCTTTACTCTCGACGGGGATAAACAAGATTATCCTAGACATTGAAGACCTTGGAGATATCTCGGACCCCGAATCCCAGCGCCTTGCTGGATTCTGCAGCTCGGTGTCGAAACTTGAAGATCTATTCCTCCCAGAGGCATCTGAGGAAAGCAGAGGAGCTGGCGATGAGCCTATAGCCATGACAGCAATCTATGTCCCGAACTGGCTTAAGTTCCAGTATCTTATGAACATATTGGAGAGCTCCTTGGCAGATATCAAATATCTGTGGACGGAGGGCGAATTGAAGCTAGAATTCTCCAGCGACGAGCTCATTGATCTGATCAAGGCGTTATTCGCGGACTCAGAGCATAGGCGGAAGGCAATATCAGAGATACGGAGCTCTTCATAGTAGCTATTAATATAATTTACTATTTACGGTCTCCATTATGATTTTTCCCTGAGCTTCAAAGCTCATCCTTCTTCTCGAACCTTTTCTAAGGTAACCGTTGCCAAGGATTTGCACAATTTACGCATCACGCCAGCCGTAAAAAGTTTCGCGATAAAAAAAAGTATCAAGAGATAAAGCTCAATTGATTGTAAAAGCCCGCAGTGTTCAATTGGATATCTAGCAGTTTACAACCATGGATACATTGATGGACTCTACGTCAGCTATCGAGGGACAGTCCTCGCAAGTACAACGACAAGTCCGATTGCGACTGACATCGCGCCATACTGATCTCGCATTGCCGGATTCGACTGGTCCTATTCTCGTTCCTACAGGTATAGCTCAAATATTTCACCTGCCACCTGAGTTAAAGGATGTTATTCCATAGTGATTGCTAACTGAAATATTCTTAATCATATAAAGAGCTACGACGATATGCCCTATCCACGCTTGTGAATAACCTGCTTGAGCTGCCAAAACCAGTCCCCTTTGAATTTTTGATAAATGGGCGCTACCTCCGAACTTCAATAGACGAATACCTGACTGCCAATGGAATTTCTGCAGAAACAGTCCTTGATGTCGAATATGTTCGAGCGCTCATTCCTCCACTCCATGTCGCTTCCTTTTTGCACGACGATTGGGTGAGCGCCGTTGACGTTTTGTCCGGGACCTCTCATGCTGCGCAATGGAGCAGCAAAGAGATACAGTCAGGAAAAGAGAGGATATTGTCTGGTAGCTATGATGGGCTGCTAAGGATGTGGAATATGTCGGGAGAGACTATTGCTGTTTCTCCATCGGGTGGGAATGGCGGGCACAGTTCATCGATAAAGGGTGCTCGAATGACCTCGCCAAACCAGATTGTGTCTTGCGGAATTGACCGAACTGTGCGATTGTGGAAGTACAGCGAAAGCGAAGATGGATTTTCGGCCTCAATCACTCCTCAAGTTGAATACTACGGGCACAAGGGAAGCGTTGACTCTATTGCGGTTCATGGTCCGTCAAACAGGATACTCTCTGCCTCTGCCGATAACACCGTGGGATTCTGGTCTATGAAGAAATCTGAGAGCCCCGAGGCACCGTCAGACCTATTGCCTTCGAGCGCTTCTAGAAGTGCTAAACGGCGGAAAGTCAAATCCTCTGTCAGCACTCCCCAGCGAGGGCCATTGGCGTTATTTGAATCACATACAGCACCTGTATCTGCAGCCATATTCGACGCCAAGGATTCAACTGTTGGGTATTCGACTTCATGGGATCACTCACTTCGGACCTGGGATCTGGTTACGTCTGCTCTTGTCGATACCCGAACTACTTCCTATTCTCTACTATGCGTTGAACATCTTCCGCAGCTCACGCTGCTCGCTGCTGGTACGGCTGCTCGGCATATTACCCTGATTGATCCTCGTGACTCGGCCACGACCGTTTCCGCCATGACTTTGCGGGGACACACTAATGTCGTTGTTTCTTTGGCCCGGGATCCAAACAGTCAATATGGACTGATCAGTGGTAGCCATGACGGGACATGCAGAATATGGGATATACGGTCCACGAAGACTGAAAAGGACGGGGTAGTCGGAGAAAGCATATACTCCATATCGAGAAAGTCAGTTGAAGACGAAGGAAAACGAGTGGGTGGTGACGGTGTAAAAGTGTTCGACGTTTGCTGGGATAAAACTGTCGGAATAGCCAGTGTTGGCGAGGATAAAGCTATCCAAATAAACCGAGGGGAGGGTATACTCCAGAAAGATGCAGTATCAAAATAAAATAGAATGGGAGAGGAAAACAAAATAGAGCAAGTTAATCGATATTTCTAAAGCGCCCTAGGTTCGATTACTTGTATCAAGAATTTGTTTTATATTGTTACATGACAGATACATGCTTAACGCCGCCCAAATACCCCTGTATAGTAGTACATCACAAAAATAAGAGTGTTTTAAATAAGATTTTGCAGCACAATCATAGCTTTCTGTCAATGCGGTTGAATTTGATAGCGTTTTTAATCTACGTCAAGAGTTAGTGGTAAATACCCATATTGAATTGACTCTTCAACGTCACATACCTGGCTTCTGGTGTTCTGTCCTCTAACTGGGAGGTTGAGAGCATGTCTTCTTCCTCGGTATGTTCCAGTAGTCTTGAGTCTCTTGATGTTATCGAGAATCTCTCGCTTCAAATCGTTTTCGATCTTCATATTTGACAATGCACCAGTCAAATCCAGGACCTGTCTGGTTGCCAGTTCACCGACGGTCGAAGTGGGATGGATGTGGAATCGAGCCATCAGCTGGTTGCATCGCAGCTCGCCTATGCCGAAAAATGAGCGCAGAGCTTTCTGTATATTATGAACTGTTAGAATCAACGACGAGAGTCTGTATTCTGGATGAGGGCTGAACTTGCTCTAACGAGCTGTCGCTCGGGAAAACTGGTGCCTAAGATGAAGACCTGGCAATACAAGTTAGTTGACGAGTTTCAATTGGTATACTTCAAACAGTTTTTGGCCTTACCATGGTGGCTAATGCTGTGTTAATCTACTTCTTCACACTCTATCAGCTGCTCTCGCTCGTTTTCATCTATCGCATTCACATCCGACATCGAACTTTGAATTCCCACAGGTCTAGAGGTGGTCATGCCAAGATCGGCTATCGGTAATACTATTATTCCGCAACTTTATGCATCCCGATTCCACGCCCGATTCATGAGGCCAGCAGTACTCCAGGCCATGATATACAACTGTTAAATCTCATATATTTAGTATTATTAAATTTGGCAAAGAGACTACGGGCAATATACCTAGCCAGCCGTAGATCAGCAGTACGAGAACAGAGCATAAGAATCAATGAAAGCCAGAGAACAACGCTAAACTACAGAGCTGATGGCCTTGTTGATTCAAGCGTATAATTTTTGTGCACAACTTGATGACTCATCAAATGTACTCCCCTTATGCCCGCACCTGGCCAATCAGCTGTACGAAAAGTCGAAAGTTTCAACTTCCGCTAAGATCGCCCGTGTTTTGGCAGACGAGGAGGTGGATATTCATAAAACAGCCACGTCGCTCCTCTGCATGCCACTGTCTCCTCTCCATCTACCTCCCGTTACCATCTTGCCCCAGAATAAGCATCTCGTCTACACTTCTTATATACACGATATGGCCAGAATTGGGCGTATCTTGACCCTCGTGGTCTTCGCCGCCGTCGGTCTGTTCCTCTTCATGGGACAGACGGTCGAGGCCAAAGGTCCCAAGATCACAAGCAAGGTACCTCAAGTCTTTTGACAGCGAAAGCCCGGAGATGGCATCGAGGCGCTAATCAACAGTGATATATAGGTCTACTTTGATATCGAGCATGATGGTCAGCCCCTCGGACGGATTGTCATGGGATTGTACGGAAAGACGGTGCCAAAGGTGGGTTAGCCGATTCTCAATATTCACCGAACGATGCGTTAATCATACTGACTATGTGTGACATAGACCGCTGAGAACTTCCGGTATGATCAATATCCGATATACCTCAATTGTACCGAAGGCATTTAAATACTGATAAGTACAACGTTATAGCGCTTTGGCTACTGGTGAGAAGGGATTCGGATATGAGGGGTCTACCTTCCACCGTGTTATCAAGGACTTCATGATCCAGGGTGGTGACTTTACCAATGGTGACGGTTAGTACTGCCTATATCCTATTTTACCGTACCTTAATATGCTGACCAATTAATTAAAACGTAGGAACCGGTGGAAAGTCCATCTACGGCAACAAGTTCGAGGACGAGAACTTCAAGCTACGCCATACCAAGAAGGGTGTTCTCAGTATGCTACAGTACATTCTTTGCGTAATGGTACGATTGCCTATATTAACCGCAACTTCACTATAGGCATGGCCAACGCCGGAAAAGATACCAACGGATCTCAGTTCTTCATTACCACCGCTATTACTGCGTATGTTTACACCGATTAACTATGCGACGTAGCACTTACAATTGCTGACGATGGGTGGTATAATAGCTGGCTTGATGGAAAGCACGTCGTCTTCGGCGAGGTGCTCGAGGGATACGATATCGTTGATAAGATCCAGGTCGTCCCCAAGGGCTTCCAGGACCGTCCCACCAAAGATGTAAAAATCGTCAAGTGCGGAGAACTTGACATGAAGGAGGAAGCAGAGGGTGAAGGTACTGAATCACCATCTAAGCCCGACTCCGAGAAAGAACAGGCCCCAGTCCGTGATGAAATCTAGACGGTTTTATCCAGGGTTCCTGGCCTCGTCATACCCTGAATTTCCACAGACCCACCTGTCCTTTCTTAATCATCATCATCATTATCATCGTTTCCAAATGCCGTGTCCTTATAACTTACCGTCCGGATCTGCTGATGATTATGAACTGTGTCTATTTATGAATTGAAAGGATTCTTTGGACGCTTCAGATTCTATAGAGGCAGTCAAGCCCCCATGACGCCAGACAGCACAAAGTAGAAGACAACTATGCAATCCAACTTACTACCCAACATCTTGCTTGCTCTCCGGAGCTTGTATATACAATTTATCATTCCTACCTGTGTTCTCTTTGATTCGCGGTGCAGTATAGATGTCGCCCTGTACAAGTCGGTCTCTGTAAGTACGAACTATCACCCTTTTGCCCGTTCGTAGTTTTATTGTGGATGATGATATTGGCGTATTCATAGTTGTTAGATGGTATATTTCTCACAGTAATAGTCACAGTAGCCTCCATGCTATAACAATCAGTTGCTGCTAACTATCAATCCTTCATCGAGATAATCCTTCGCCTCGGCATAAGACGATCGATGCCAATACCAGGGTACCTTCAGCCTGATCCTTCTCATCCACTCCGCCACAGTCAGCCCTATCAACAAGCATCCTGGCGGCCCATAGGGCCTAATCGGGATGGCTCACAGCTTGTGTCCTCCTGCTTCATAAGCAGTCAAGCAAATATCAGCTGTGATAGACTTTCTTTCTATTCTACACTGCGGTGATACCCATTACTTAAAGAGCACGACGGACTCTCGAAGCCGTAAGATGGGTTCATCCTGCTATCTATCAGACACTGCCTCATAATGCGATTTCTCCTCAAAATACTTGCGCTTTGCGCGGTGTTTATACCAGCTTCAACATCCTCCCCTCTTGAACGAGTTAGCTGTCATGACAATAACAACGACTACACCAGGCCAGTTGTGACCATCGATTCGGGCGTTATCATCGGTAAAAATGAGCATGTCCCCGGCTCAACGGAAACAGTGCATCAGTTTCTCGGTATCCCTTTTGCCAAACCGCCAGTCAAGAACCTTCGGTTCTCACCACCAGAACACCCACTGCCCTGGCATAAGCCCCTGCATACTACCGAAAGCCCTCCAGCTTGCATACAAGATTTCGGCAACAAGACTTCTGGGAGCGAATTTCAAAAGGCGTTGTTCAACACGCCTCCCGCACCTGGGGAGAGCGAAGACTGCCTGTATTTGAACGTCTACCGGCCCAAAGGTGATTACAAGGGAAAACCGATATTGTTCTGGATATTCGGCGGTGGGTATAGATTTGGAGCAAGTTCGTATCCGTTTTACGACGGGTCAAGCCTTGCTGCAAATCAGGATATCATTGTGGTTACTGCCAATTATCGAACGAACTGTGAGTATACTGATACCGTCCGTATATCTATGCCATAGAAAAGAATGACTAAATCTTGACGAAGTGTTTGGATTCCCCCGGTCACCACAGCTTCCATTAGACAAGCGGAACTTGGGTATACTTGATCAAAGACTGGCTCTTGACTGGGTAAAGAGAAACATCCATGCATTTGGAGGTGACCCCAATAAAGGTATATATTAACTAATGAAGCTTCTTCCTCTGCCTTTGCATGTCATAACTAACTGATACTTTAGTCACCATTGCTGGACAGTCTGCCGGAGCAGTATCCGTGGGCCATCTTATCAACACAGCTCCCTCTACCCTGCCGTTTCGAGCTGCCATTTTGCAATCAGGCTCTTCGCTCTTCCAACTCCCTCCAAGTCCCCCCAATAGCGAATTCTCATCTTGGACGGGCTTGGTGCAACGTCTCAACTGTACCAATAGCTCAGATGCGGCCGTCCTAGAATGCGTTCGTGGCGCAAGCGTTGGTACCTTGCGTAAGATACTGTTGGAGACCGGTTTGCCGTTCCAAACCCCCAACATGGACAATGTTACTGTCCTTGAATACCCAGCCAAGGCGTATGCTGCAGGCCAGGCCGCGAAAGTACCGATCCTCATAGGCTCAACTCTAGACGATGGATCAACGTTCGCTTACGGCAAGGGGGACAATGTCACAGCCTTCATCAACAGTTTATCATTTCCCCCTGAAATAGCGGAGGCGATAATTAAACTGTATGCACCGAACTCCACGGCAACAGCAAGCCTATCAACCGGTAGCCAAATAATCTCACAGATTATAACGGATTCGACATTTCGTTGCCCTGCTGGCTTCGCCGCGAACCTTACTGCAACAACTCTGAAGGTACCTGTATGGCAGTATCTGTTCAACGATCCGGCCGCAAGTCATCCTGACTACGCAGAACTAGGAGTCTACCATACGTCTGATATAGCTTATGTATTCGGCACGCAGGGGCTTCGCGATCCGGGACAGGCGAACAAGCTCTGGTTACAAAAGCTATGGGCAGACTTTGTCAAGAACCCGCAGGCCGGCCCAAGCTGGAAGCAATACCCTTCCGTTGGCCTGCTAAGAGGAGACCGGGCAAACGCTATTCCTACCGAGAACGTGAAGACACTGGATCCCATCTGCCGAGTGTGGGATAAGCTGTACTCGTCGGTACTGCTCAAGCACTGAAGAAATTCACCGCCTCTTCCCACGGCGTTTGCGACTATCAACAGCATTAAACCTAAACGCTCACCTTTCGACGATGATTAACCAGTGCTGGTGCAGCCTTTTTCCTGCCGTGTCGCTATACGTTACGGTCCGGCAATCAAAAGCGTCCATCCTCGGTGATGTTCAGGATAGCATTTCTCGCGGATTTACTTTGAGCCACGGAGGTTAGTTAAGTAATTAGTTGGTTGCCGGTTGGGAGGCAAGGCGAATTGGTTTTTTCAGGAGAAGCTTCTGGTTTTCTTTTCCCTTTGTCTTCTGAAGTTAATACTGGCTTTTGGGTGGTGGCTTTTTTGTCGTATGTAGAATTGTTTGCTCTGGCTCTCTCCCTGGCGGTCTCTCGGTGCAGAGATCTCGCCAATCCACGGAGTACTCCGAATGTACTGAACATCTCGAACTACCGAGCACTTGACAGCGGTAGCTTCAATAAAATGGGCTGATCTTAGCATACAGCATGCGGTGCATGGGGGGTCTCTAGGGCCAACCGTCTTCGTGGCGTCTCGTAGCCTGCGTTCGAGAAGACAGCTGTTGGATGGAGTGTCAACGCTGGATGAGGCTTTGGCTGGAGTCGACAGACTTCCGCCCTCTCACCACCAACGTCGACCCTCGAGCGACAGCCACCCTGGACTCAAGTTAGCATCGGCAAGTCTATCCAGGCTCTATTAGATGCGGCAAAGGTTGACTGTCGCCTTGTACGAGGTACGAAAGCTTTGTTACGTGATAATGTGCGTCGATGTTCCATCAAATGCAGAGCAGCACCATTTTCCTTACGCCCGCGTCTGACGTCTGGCCAGTCACTACGACCCTCCAGGCCTTGGTTGTGCAGCCAGCGCTCCAGCACTCCAGCTCCCTGGGTCTGAAACCAGCATAATACGTACGGAGTACTTGCTTTGGTTTTGAGAAGCGCAGGCGATCGGCAATCTGCAGTATGCGGGAATAAATGAAATATTCTGTTGTCATTATTATTCTAGACAACCCCCAAGCATGCGATGAGACGCAGCGCCAATCATGACCTCAATATAGAGTCGCAGCAAGCTGCAGATGATGAGACTCGACGCCATACTTCGTCCTACGAATGGTACATCGTACAACTTGTGTTCCATCGGCGGTGCGCAAGTTCGAAGGGGGACAGTCAATATCGACTGGGCCCATCCGGATAACGCAGGCCAAACAGGCCTCCCTCCCCCTTTCGCCTAACTACAGCTGTCAGATCCATGGAGCGAGAAATTGATGCGTCCGATAACAAGCCCCCCGTTTGTCAGGCCAGGGATCGTTGCATGCAGGGAAGGTTTCGCTCTGGCGAGGGTTCGTGGGCTGGAACTATCCGATTCGACCGCCGCCGGCTCGTTTTTCTCTCCCGTCTTAAAATGAAGGTTTAGATATCACTTTTTTTTTTGAACACGCTACGAAGACCCAAGAGGGGCCCGGTTAGGGAATCCGAGAAAGAGACGTGGAGAAAGGAAGGGATGGCTCGTTATCGGGGCTGGTCCACCATCCGGAGAATACATGCCGTATTTATCTCAAAAAAAAAAGAGCAAGGAGCAGACTGGAGAGAGGCTACGCCAGACGTCTCCCGCAGCCCGTGCAACCAAAGCCTCTCACGACGGAGCGCAGGCAACGCATCATCATCATCCAGAGAAAGCTTCCTCCCTGATGTCTGCCTCAGGTTCTGCTGGTGGCTCTCCTTTTCTCTCCCGCTCTCTCCCTCGCCTCCATCCTCTCTCGTCACCCTGTGATCTAACTGAGTACGGTGGGCCGCTTGGGATCCATGCAACGGTTGTGGAGCGAAAGAAACGCACGCTCACAGGACTAGGCACGCTAAATCTCGCAACACCACACCGCACCGCTATGGGCAGAGTTACCTGATCACGGACTCAAAATAAAATAATGGATGAACACCCGTTTGACATCAGGTTGTGCCTTTTTATTTTTCCTCGTTCGCTTGACCCGGCGGGCGTTCGTTGGTGTGCCTTCTCTGCCGCCCCCTTTTTACGACGTCTGTATGGCTGGCTGAAAACGGAGTATCGCCCTGAGCGTCACTCCAGTTGCCGCACCAACCTTTTTCCACGATCCAGCTTGATGTCAAGACTCGATCGAGTCTGAAGGGAAGAGCAGCAGCAGGAAGGGTGAACAAGAGACGAAAAAGCCAAAACGAAATTGTATTTAAACATTAATTTTTTGGAGGAAGGGATAAGCAAGACCGCAAAGGTCAATATTTGCTTTTTTACGTCCACAAGGACCCGTCTCTTCACACTATTTTCTGGTCAGGATGAAGATCGAGAGCTTGGCGGGCAATGGACGTGCAGCTAGCTGGCTGTTAGTCCAGAATTGGTCCCCTTCGTTGTTCGGCCTGGATGGCAGCGACAAACTCGACTCGAGGGGGGCGGCTCGCTCGATGGTTTTGCCTGCTCTCCCTCCCGTTCCAACCTTCGACTATTTCCTCGTTAATCTCCCCGGCTGCAACGGGAGACGAGAGTGTGCCCCATAGCAAAGCTACTGGGGGGGATATATTATGAACTAACGTCCTTAAGTGCAACCTGGGCAGGCTGCTGGGGCGCATTTTGGGTTAATCCGTTGTCATTTTCTTTTTTAGTCCTGCGTCTCTCTCTGACCCTCCTCGAATTTTATATCTTATTTGATTTTTCTTTATTTTTTTCCCTGGCTCCCTTTAAGCAGCTCTGGACCCGTCCCTCTGGACTGGCAGGACAGGGACTCCCAAAAAAGGACACACAGAACAACGTCAAATAAGAACAAAAAGGAAGACAGAAACACCTTCGTTACACATCGAAAGACAAGGTGCCGGAGAGAAGAATAATATAACACATTGCATGCAAGAAATGATATGCGGATACCATGTTCTTCGCTGGTCCTGATCTATCCTTGTCTTGGCTGATACCGTGAACACATTCGAAGAACAAACTGTTACATTTCCTGCAAGGAATCTATCTCGCTTTGCATTAGAGAGGTAATTCTTTCATTTTATATCGTCTCCTTCCACGATGGCCGAACATGAAGAACCAGCAATTGATGACAAGAACTACGATCCTGATCGTATAGCTCCGCAATTGACCGATTCAATACAATACCTTTATCCGAAGTTCCCCCACAGCCCCTGCGATATCTACCGCCATGCCACCCAAGACGAAGAAGACGAAGCTCGCCGAACGTCGTGCTGCTGCCACGGCCGGTGCAATTGGGAAAGATGGGGCTGGCAATAACAAGAACGGAGACGTCTTCCACTTTGTGACCGTGAATCCCATATCAGAAGACCAGAAGCTGGAGAACAGGACGTTGATCCGTTCACATGCCAGTAAGTATATATGGAGGCAGCATCGAGCTGTGCGAGCTGAAAATACTGGATCAGGAGGGCTGCCTACCAACGTTAGTATGGGTGGAAATGGAAACAGCTCCGGGTTAGCAGTTCGTCAGTATTCCGCTGCTGATGCTGGCAGGACGGTGGCAGCGTCTCGACGTCGTGGACAGACATTCAAGACATGGTCCGCGGGCGTTAAGGAGGAGACTCCGCCGAGCAATACTAATACTCGAATGGCAATGGGCATGAGTGTGCATAGAGTTGTTGACATGAATGACAGTGTGCCCAGCATCGAGCCGGCTGTCGTAAACGGGAACCGGAACGATATACAGACCAATGTTGATACAGGCTGTGACGACCAAGGCGAGATAGAGGCAGACGCAGACGGAGATACGGAAGAAATACCACGAGACAATAACAATATCCAGGCCAATGACAGTGTTGTTGTTGCCGACGAAGAGAGTAGCGACTCTGAAGGCTCTCCTCCGCCTACTGGCTGTCGTGCTATAGCACCACACATAAGGGCCCCAGCTTCTAGTGTGGGCAGTAACAACGTCAACCGCCCATTCAACCAACTTATACACTGGCTTGAGAACCCTGGCCAGATATGTCCTTCTATACTAGACGAGGGAGCTATAGGCAGGCTCATGCGTTACGCTGCCTTTGATCTCTGGCCTGGCCTTGTCTTGGGCGCAGAGGGTCAGCGCTGGGGCCGCGAAGCTGCAGCCGGTGTGTGGCTACCTCGGGCAATGGCGAATCCAGCACTGTTCACTGCTTTCCTGTATGGAGCAGCCGGGCACATGCAAACCCGCCGCCGGCTGGATAGCGCGCAGGTTTCCCCTCAGACCAGAGGCGAGAAGATGGAGCAAATCGTCTGTGAGACCGAGACAATCAAGCAGCTAAACAAGATGATGAAGGACCCTGCCCAGGCGTTTTCTGACGAAGTTGTTCTCGCTGTTTTGTGCATGGCGTTCAACCGGATAGATTACTCTGGCTGGAAGCCCTCTGACCCATCTCCGAAAGCACCCCTTAGGAACCTGCAGTGGCTGGATGTATATGGCGGGCTGTCATTGAATGACCATCATGTTAAGGGGCTAATGGCTATTATTGAGACGAGGGGAGGGCTCAAGTCGATAAAGATGCCTGGTCTGGCCGAGACTTTATCTACGTATGTTTCAACGTCCTTTGTTTGGCCTTCTCTATGTGTGATATCCTTTATGCTAACCTATGTCTAGATCCGGAGTGATGCTGTCAACGAAATACCTGGCCAAACCCCGTCTACCCTTTGTACCTATCTTCAAGGAGACAGCCGTGGGTCAGACACCGAACTGGCCAACGCTGAACCCGACAACTGGCACCAATAGCTCAGACTACTCTGGAGGCTCCTCAGGCGAGCCGTCTTCAACAATGACCACAACCCTACACTACCTCCTCAGCACTCGTCCAATGCACAACTCCATACCTACCAATCCCCTCTCTCCGATCCCACCCAACCTACAAGTCATCCTGCAGAACATGCGAGAATACAATATCGTCGTTGACCTCCAGACCCAGGGCTTGCTACCGAATCTGGAACTGTCTGTTATTGCCGACCGCCGCAACTTTATCCAATACAATCTGGTCTCTCTACCTGCTTCCTACGAGTTTCCGGACAGCTACAACGCCATATACCGCCTGTATGAACCCTGTCGTCTCGCGGCAATGGTTTACAGCATGCTAGTTATATTCCCATTACCTGCAGCCAACCGGCCGTTCAAGCAGCTGGTAACACAGCTTATTACAGCCCTGATCACCGTAGACGGCGATGAGGGAAGCGGCTGGGCGGCTGAATCCGGCCAGTGGCCGTGGGAGTACGAACGAGAAGGCAGCCAGGACCTGACCCCCGAGGAAGAGGAGCGGGTGTCGTGCCTATACCTGTGGATCATCGTGATGGGCGGAATAGCGTCTCGAGGCATGGGGGAGAACAGCGAATGGTTTGCTGCCCGGTTCGAGCAGACGCTGCAGATGAAGGGGATGTCGACGTGGGAAGAGGTGAAGCAGTGCCTGACCTCGATAATGTGGATGGACAGCGTCTGTGACTATGGCGGACTGGCCTTTTGGAGAGAGACTCGAGACGGCTTCTAGTTCCGTCTTCCTGTCTGTCCACTCTCCCGTCTCTTTATATATGTTCTTTGACTGTCGATTTATGCCCCTTTCTTGCGTATACCATAATGATTGGTGTTTCTCGTCTTGGGTGTCTTGGAGGTATCTGTCTATATAGGACCGGCGGAATATCTCTGCTTTTTTTTCCCCCCTGATCTTCTCTTTTGCCCTTCTCCTCCACTTCTTCTATCATCCCCTCTTCCCCTTGCCTATCCATATCTATACACAAATCTATCAACGTCCCTGCTGCCCCTGACCCTGACTATAGTTAGTCTGACAAGTCTTGCCACTGACACCTGTCACCCCCAGCCCCCTGCCAACTCTACTATCCTGCTCCGCCTTCCCACGCCTTCACTAACGTCATCGCCTTCACCACTGTCAACATCAACATCAACATCACCATCACCGTCTTCTTATTCTTCTTCTATCTCCATCTCTAGTCTTTTCGACTTCTTTTCTGCCCCCTTTTTCTTCCTATAAAAAGCAACGTCGTGGGGGCCATGCTTAGTCATATGTAATGTCACGTTTACCATACGAGTGGGACGTTTGTGCGGCGTTGACCAACCAGATGCCTGTAAATCACAGCTCGTAAGCAGAAAACCGCTTAGTCATCCTGAAATCTCTTCTCTTTTTTTCGCCTTCAGCTTTTTTTTTTCTTCATCTCAAAATCTTCAACTTCGACTTTTTCTTCTTCTTTCTCATCTGCTTTTTTTTTTCTTCCTGGACTTCGTTGTGTTCTTTTTTTTTCCTTTTCTTTCTCTTTAGCTTGTTAAATAGAGAGGAAAGAGAGAAGAGAAAGAAGATATAAAACATCAGTGAGGCTTGACAGGCTGTTTTCCTGCTCTATTCTACCTTAATTACACCGCCTCCGGCTCCAGTGTTTTTCTCTCACAGCACAGAAAAACACACACCTGCAAAAAAGCACCGCCTCCCACCAGCAACACACGCAGAGAAAGAAAAAGACGAGAGCAACAGGATCAGAGAAAATCCTGTCCTTTCATCATATTCTGTGTTCTCGGCAGTGTGTGTCTTTTTGTTTTAGATAAAATCCCAGTTCTTTTTTTTTGCCTTTTTTTTTTTTTTCTTGACTCCCGTAACGACCCATCTACGATCCCTCCAAACGCGCGCCAGTAATCAGTGACCTGCTACTTTCGAAGGATACCTTGAAGGATACTCGGTGAGTATTCCATCCGTCTCGTCTGTTCCGTGGTTTTGCTATTCCGTGTCAAGAGACGCCTGGCTAACCGTCTGTTCTGGTGCGAGCAGTTAATATGGCTGATAACCTGAAAATCGGAAACCTCTCCCTTAACGACTCCCAGCACGCGCCAAACCAGACCGGACGCTCCGCCTACATTCCTCCGCACCTCCGTGGTCAGGCTCGTCAGGCTGCTGCCGCTGAGTCTGCCGCTGGCCCTACCGTCGACGGTGCTGACGGTCCTGCTCCCGGACAGAACGGCCGCCCTGCTGGCATGAACGCAAGCGCCTGGGCTCCAGGGTAGGTAACCTTCAAACAAGACTCCAAAAAATTTTGACTGAATTCCTGCTAACTCGAGGGAAGAAATAGAGCCCCGAATAACGCACCTGGGTGGGGTGCTGGAGACTACGGTCCTCGTGGCGGTCCGGCCGTGAATGGTAATTCTGGCTGGGGTCAACCCGCCGGCTCCCGTCGTACTTTCGATCCACATGCTTACGGTCACCCAGGCCATCAAGGTCAACAGGGCGGAAACTACGGCGGCGGCGGCGCTGCCAGAGGCTCTGGTGATGGCCAGTGGCGTGATGGAAAGCACATTCCCGGTCCCTCGAACGCTCGTCTCGAACGCGAACTCTTCGGCATCCCCAACGATCCCAGCAAGCAGCATACCGGTATCAACTTCGCCAACTACGATGATATCCCCGTCGAGGCTTCCGGCCAGAATGTCCCCGAGCCCGTCAGCACCTTCACCAACCCTCCTCTGGACGACCATTTGATCTCCAACATCAAACTCGCCTCCTACAAGGTGCCTACTCCGGTCCAGAAGTATTCCATCCCGATTGTCATGGGAGGCCGCGACTTGATGGCCTGTGCCCAGACTGGTTCCGGAAAGACTGGTGGTTTCTTGTTCCCAATCCTTTCTCAGGCATTCCAGAACGGACCCTCCCCGGCTCCCACTCAGCAAGGCGGTCAGTTTAGCTACGGCCGTCAGCGCAAGGCTTACCCTACCTCGCTCATCTTGGCTCCTACCCGTGAGCTTGTCTCTCAGATCTACGATGAGGCTAGGAAGTTTGCTTACCGCTCCTGGGTTCGCCCTTGTGTTGTCTATGGAGGAGCTGATATTGGCTCCCAGCTTCGCCAGATTGAGCGTGGTTGTGACCTTCTCGTTGCCACTCCCGGCCGTCTTGTCGACCTGATTGAGCGTGGCCGCATCTCGCTCTGCAACATCAAGTACCTTGTCCTTGATGAGGCTGATCGTATGCTTGACATGGGTTTCGAGCCTCAAATCCGCCGCATTGTCGAAGGTGAAGACATGCCCCCAGTTGCTGGCCGTCAGACCCTCATGTTCTCGGCCACCTTCCCACGCGACATCCAGATGCTCGCCCGTGATTTCTTGAAGGACTACGTCTTCCTTTCCGTCGGCCGTGTCGGTTCCACTTCCGAGAACATCACCCAGAAGGTCGAGTATGTTGAGGACAACGATAAACGCTCCGTCCTGCTTGACATCCTGCACACTCACGGCGCTGGATTGACACTCATTTTCGTCGAGACCAAGCGTATGGCTGATTCTCTGTCCGAATTCCTCATCAACCAGCACTTCCCAGCCACTGCCATTCACGGTGACCGCACTCAGCGTGAGCGTGAGCGTGCCCTTGAGTACTTCCGTAACGGCCGCTGCCCCATCCTGGTGGCTACCGCTGTTGCTGCCCGTGGACTCGACATTCCCAATGTCACCCATGTGGTCAACTATGATCTGCCAACCGACATTGACGACTATGTTCACCGTATCGGTCGTACCGGTCGTGCTGGAAACACCGGTATCTCTACTGCTTTCTTCAACCGTGGAAACCGCGGTGTTGTCCGTGACCTCATCGAGTTGCTCAAGGAGGCCCACCAGGAAGTCCCATCCTTCCTCGAGAACATTGCTCGTGAGGGCTCTGGATACGGTGGCCGTGGAGGTCGTGGCCGTGGCCGTGGCTCTGCCGGTGCCAACCGTGATATGCGTCGCATGGGTGGTGGAATGGGCGGTCCCCCTTCTTATGGCGGTGGTGGTAACTACGCTGCTCCCCAAAGCTACGGTGGCGGTGGCGGTAAGCATTCTCTCTCTCTTCTTCTTTGCTTAAATAACTAGTACTAATAGTGAGTATAGGAAACTATGGCGGCGGTCCATATGGTGGTGGCTATGGAGGTGGTGGCTACGGCAACCCATCCGGCCCAACTGGCCCATCTTCCTGGTGGTAAACTACTATCATTTATCGCTACCGTAGACGAAGCCAGCACTTGTTGACTTCCCTTACGACACCCGAACATTTTTTTTTATTGTTTCCTTTCTTTTACTGTTTCAATTTCTCACGACTGAAAAAGTGACGTTTCTGTTCTATCGAGAGGAACCGAAAAAAAAAAGGAGTGAAGAGGATAGGATATACCAAACACACCCACAAGATAAGGAGAGGAGGGAGCGGCTTTTTGTTACGATCTGCTACGAATTTCTCTTCCCCTTTTTTTACCTACCCAAATCTTTGATATCCGATCCTTTTCGTTTCTTCTTAAATCTTCCCATCTTACCCCATCTTCCCTTTGTTTTCAACTACTCAACCCGCATCGGCCTCTATGCCACAAACAAAAGAAACAAAAAAAAACAAAAACACAAAAAAACACCAAAATGATGCGGTTGTTATCGAGTTTTCCGTCTTTTGCACGCATCAACACCTCCACAGAGACGCTCAATGGTCTGTCTGACTCGAAAGATGGAACTGCCTTGTTTTCCTCTCTTCATCTTTTTCCTTGCTTCCTACAAACGTCAACGCAATGGGCCCAGGAGAGTCGTCTATCTCTCCATCGAGCCTTTGCTCTTCTCTGCATTGTCTTATCTTGTTCTCAATTTTTCGTTTTCCCTATCCTTTTCTTTCCTTGCCGTCGTCCTTCTTTTGTTTACCTCTTTCTCCGGCATTACGAGGAAGAAAAAGGAAGAAGCAAAATAGGGGAAACCAAATACTACCACCAAAAATCGGGAATCGGGGAAATCGGAACTTGCATGAAGATCATATAGACCAGCGTTGATTGTGGAGTGTTTTATCATCTTTTTTCCTTTCATGTCTTCTCATGTTTCTTACGATGCTCTCTGCTTTTCTTGACGGGTTTTTTGTTTCTGCTTCTGCTTCTGTCTACGGCTTGTCTATGAGATACCCCCCCAAAAAAACCACCCACCCCTTTTCTACCTTTCATCGACCTCCCTTCTACTCCTCTTCATCTCTCGGTCATGATGTCCCTTATTTCTTTTCCTTTTATTTCTTTCGTGTCTTTATCACAAGCCTGGCTCGACGACGGCGATGTTTCTTTCATACACGCCATTGTTGTCCCCCAGCCGGGGGCAGAAGTACGAAGCTATCAATCTTCTTTTCATGTCTCTTCCATATTCATGTCGCATTTCCCACACTTCTAGAAACGATAGAGAGGGAAACTGAACGGAAAAGGGAGGGAAAAAAACGCTTCTACATCTTCATCATAGACGGGAGGGTTTTTTTCTTTTCGTCCTTTTCCTGGTTGTACTATTTTCATCCATGGCCGGCTATTGCGTTGACTGGCTGGTTGTCTTCCTCTCTCGTGAGGTGGGATCGGATGAGATGGAATAGAAAAATAGCAGCAGATTCATATTCACTTCCTGTTTTCTCCGAGTAATCGTCACTGTATATCTGTCGGCTCCTGTAAATATGTATATGCAAATGTAAATTGGTAGATGGGTAGAGCGAAGTGACCAGCGACTTGCTGCGTTTCAGACACACTCGCCCCGTCATACAGGTATTTTTCCTCTCTTTTCCCATTTTTCTGTGCAAAAACAGCTTCGTCGACAGCCTCCCTGGAACGAGCCGGGAAAAGGAGCCCTGGGCCAGCGCAGGTTGGCGCCTGTGCCAGAGGTGTGCGGCAGTACTCAACTCCACGCGTAAATTTGCTGGGCGTCCAAGTCACTCGCCATCGCCCGCAAAACACCAAAAAGGCCAGCCAACCTCCTGACATCCGCTCGCTTCTTCGCTAACAAAACTTCCGGCGCGCACCTATTTTTTTCACGTCCGTTTCTTCGCCGTCACTCTTCCATTCTCTGCTTCTCCAGCTTTCATCGCCGTCTCCCGCATCCTCGGCTCGACTGACTCGGCGCAGACTCAACAATGATCAGCTCTGCTTCCTGGTCTCGAGTCGTCTAGTCAAGTTTCGCCAGCTCTTCAGGCTCGCCTGCTCGCTCGACCCGCAGCGTTTCTTCTTCTGCTTTCAATCTAGGCCGAGCTGAAAAAGAATCGACGCTGAGCCTGTCCGCCTGTAACGACTATGGCGAGTACCAATCCGCCGTCTCACCAGGGTAGCCCGGCTGCAACTCCTGTCCCGGCGCCGGCTGCAGCAGCACCAGCTCAACCTCGCCCTTCAGCGTCCCCTTCCCCAGCCCCGGAACAAGCAGCAGCAGCAGCAGACGGAGAGTCGCGAGCAGAGGCTCAGGCCACGTCAAAACCGGACACACAGGCACAGGCTGAGGAGCCGTCCACCGCGATAATGGAGGCGGGAACGGGTGCTGGCGATTCGCCGGACGATAGAGGCGCGTTCGAACCTGAAAAGGAGACTCATTTCGACAAGCCTGACGGAGGCTACTATGCGGGCTCGAGGAAGGATTTCCCGCTTCCTGCGTGTCGATACCCGTTGCCCAGAACGAGTGTGAAGCGTCTTTCGGAGCCAGAGCCAGGCACAAAAGGTGGCAGACAGAGACATTATACGGATGACCCCAACTACCCCCTTCAGGGCTTCTGGACAGAGGCCGGTACATGGGAGGACTGGCCACCAAAGGGCAGTTCTCCTGATCCGGAAGAAAAGGAAAAAGAGGAAAAGGAAAAGGAGAAGGAAAAGGAACAGGATGGCCATGATAAACCAAAGGAGGCAGATAATGCACGGGGCCAGCCAAACGGCAAGGAGAAGGAGAAGGAGAAGGAGAAGGAGAAGGGGAAGAAGGACAAGCCTGCTGAGTCGAAGCCTACGAAAGGTGAAAGCACATCTGCTGCAGAAGGTCGTGAGAAGCGAGATGCTAAGCCAGATGCTCATACATCGTCCACGACTTCTGCGCCTGCTAGTAGCCGTCGACAGACAAACGGGACCATTGGCAGTGTCTACTCTGGCAACAAGATTCGCCATCTCAAGAAAGACGATGGTATTCCGCTTTGGCGCAAGGATATCCAGCATCTCTTCCTGCGCTTGGTCTTTGAAGATACTACGCCCGTGTTCACTCGACATTCAGACGGGAAGAGCGGACTGAGCTTTGCGGATATCTATATCGATGCCATGGCAAAGAGCAGCAAGACCAGCAAGGTGCTAAAGGATAAGCTGACCACCGATAAGCCTGCCGCAATCAACATGGCTATGGTCTGCCTGCTGGTTAATTTTGGGCGGATGAATACTACCCTTAACTGTGAGTACTCACATGTATACCATACCAAACTTCTAAATCAGCGCTAACATGATGGTAGTTTTCCCTGAAATGCGTGCCCAGCTGCGAACATATCACTCTATCCCTTCTTTACAAGCCCATCAGGACTCCAGTGCATACAAACAGCTTCAAGATGCACCACGGCTTAAGTCTATATTGAAGGGTGCATCAGAAGATGTCGAACAACCGAACACCCTTGACAAACTGCGGGAGACGCCCGTTCCGCGGACTAACCCCGTCAACCTCATCTTTGTCCTGGCTCAGTATGCTCCTAAAGTATCAGAGATTCATTTCCACTCTCCCCACGACTTCTTCGACCTCGTCATGCGAGCTACCCTGAGCAGCAAGAGTCGAGCCAAGGCATTCCTCTGGCTGATGTGGTTTTATCTGGAGAGTGACTTTTCTGATGAAGCTGCTTTGAAGAACCCCTTTGGGCCTGGAACTGTTGGAGAGGGGACAGATGGCTCACCGTTGAAGATTCCTCAGCTAGAAGATTTGACGGAGGAAGAGGCTGATGCAGAGAACGTTGACACCCAAGATGAAATCCTATATGGAGAGGAAAAGCAAAAGGAACGCAAAAGTATGTTTTCCACTACTTTATGATAAATGGATGACACACGATATTAATTGGTGCATAGGAATCCTCGATGATGACGAGGTTGTCTCTCGAAACAAGCGAGTGAAAAAGGGTGAGTTATACTTTTGCTCTCCTAGTGCTCTATAACAGTGCTAACATATTGTAGATAATACTATGAGCGACGACCAGATGTCGGGTGATATCCCTATGAGCGGTACTCCTGGCGGTAAGTGTATACTGTCCTAATGCGTATCCCAGCAATCGCATCAAGGCTGACTCCAGTTCCAGGCCGAGACAAACAATCAACGTTCTTCACCCCTCTTAACCAGAGTAGACGCCCGGGGGATGACGATGATGACGAGCTGCTTACTCCCGTCCAGAGTCTGAGGTCACGGAATAAACGCAAACGAGATTCGTCAACTACTCGTTCAGGCAATGCTGGGCGGACGCGGATTGTGCTAAAGACAAAGATGGACCAGGCCGGCGACGGGTTGTCTCCAGCACCTCCTGGCTCAGGTCATCCGGTCCTCCACCAGTTTGCTCCCGGTTCTCCTGCTCCAGGACAGACATCTTCATCTTCCCGTCGACCTCGACCGCTGACCCAACACCAACTGGCCATCGAGCAAAACCGCCGGCAGCGAGTGGACTATATCCTTGCACAACGCCGTGCAGAAGAATATAGTAAAGCTCGCGAACGTAGGGAGCAAGGATCCCAACTTTTACATGCCGGCCAGTTGCTTCAGTGTCTACCAGTGGATTACGACACCGATGACGACCATTCATGGGGCAAAGGTGGCCTATGTTTGAACCCGGATGCGCAACAGGAAGATTTTGGAGAGGCAGGCAGCTTCTATTTCTCGGTATTGAAGAAGGTAGCTCGCCGCCTACATCGATGGGATTGGCAATCCATCGCTACAGAGGACAAGGACATTGGACCCAATGGATTGATGCATGAACATGCTCTCGATCTAGGAGATGCAAACGCCAACGGCGGCATGGGTGACGAAGAAGAGGTTGAACCATCCGGTCCTCCGGCCTCGAGCCGATCTAGAGGAGGCAGAAGAGATCGGAGATCAAACGCCAATAACGCAGATAAGCTATCTACCCCGGATCCAAACCGACTGGCTGCTCCCCCATCGACCGGCAAGAGACAGTACATTCGCCGCAAGCCGTTACCGGAGCGCAAGCCAGGTGACCCACCCAAGAGAGTTCGCCCAAGCAGATCGAAGGCGGCTCTTGCAGCAAAAGCTGCTGCAAAAGCTGAGGCAGAAGCACAAAAGGCTCTAGCGCTCAAGCAGGATGCCAATGCACCTGGTACGAGTGTTGCTGGATCTGAATTGGGACTACCCAGCTCACCGGGCAGGGACGTACGCATGAAAGAAGCTGGGGAGAATGAGAACGAGAATGACAATGAGCAAGAACAGGAGCAAGAACAAGAACAAGAGCAAGAGCAAGAGCAGGAGCAGGAGCAGGAGCAGGAGCCAGAACAGGACCAAGACCCCGATCAAGATCCCGATGACGAGGGACTAGATGATATCGACAAGGACATTATAGGCGATGCCAGTGCCTACGGAGATGACGGCGATGAAGATGACGCGGAAGGCGAATCTCGACTCTCCGTGTCTCCTCTTCCAGACGCTGACGCCGATGCCGACGCCGATGCAGACCCAGACCAGGAACCAGGCTCTGAAGTTGTGGCCGCCCCATCTGTCATACCTGATGATGCTTCTGTTGCTGCTATGGCCGACGACAAAACCCTCCCTGCCTCCATCAACGGCCATGATGATGAACATGAACACCTTGGCTCGGACGACTCAACAGAGGAGGACGTCACTGCTACGGCTCTAGCTGCCGCTGACTCGCCAGACACCATCAGCTATACGGAAGAGCCTGACCACGGACCTGATCAGGAGCAGAACATAGATGAGGATGGGGACGAGATTATGACCCAGGACTAGACACAAAACCTGCGCGTTTAACACGGTACTTTCTTGGAATCCGCACCTGGAATCAGACTGGGAGGCCGTGTCTTCTCCATTATTACCACGCTTTCTACATTTTGTCCTATTTTCTTCTATTTCTGACCCGGGGTTCGGAGGGTGACTGTACATTTATATTTATTTCTGTGGTATTATAGGGAGGGAGCAGGGAGAGGTGAACAGGCTTATGGGCGTATCCAGAGATCTTTCTTGCCCACCGACTTTTGTCAAGGAGTTGATGTAACTATCTACCTACCAATGTATAACTCAAGATGTATACTATCTGGTCCCAGAAAATGTTCATCCACGATCCTATCCAGGGGTACCAGCAGGGCCTCTTGTATCATCCCCCGCAGCCAAACCCCGTCTTTGGTCTCTCTGTGTGACGTTGTACATCGTCTTAAAGGGCAGTACTATAGTATCATGGATGTATAGCTCACCCCCCTTATCCCCGGAGACGAAAGAGACCTGCTGATGAGGTATTCGCCGGTTGCCCCCGAGGCCACGGCATGACCAGCCTGCCATCCAACGACCTGCAGCCACTTCAGCTCCTCCAGTGGCAACTATCTTCGCGCCTTGCTCAGTGTTTTCATACTTTTATACAGCGAAAGTTCAAGCAGCCTTTTTTGGTGGCGCCAGAAAAAGGAGTAAAACATGTGACATCGGCAAATCCAGCTTTTCTTCTTTGGAAGACCAAAAAAAAAAAAAAATAACAAAAAGCAACGAGAGGAAATAAAAACATCGGCGCAGGCAGCACACAAGCTGGTGTCTTCTTCTCTTCCCCAGCTATCTTTAGCTTCTTCTGCTCCTCCAGCTCCTTGTAGTATCCTCTTACACTCAGTCTTTTTGCTGCTGTCTCACGGTACGTTGTCCTGTTAACTTGGCTGACTATGCTGGTGATCGGCTCCCTTGCCCCTGGGCCGCACATGACTATAAAACTGCGGATACGGGGAACTCCTTCGTTGAGCCGTTGAGACGTTTGCCGCCCCCAGCTCACATTGACTCAGTTGTTGTTTCTCTGGCCATAAAAGGATGCTGTTGAGCTGCAGCTAACGTGTTTGTTTACAGAGCTGACACTGAACGAAACCAGCTTATAATGGAAAGCGAAGGTCGAGTGCTGCGGCCGCGGGCGAGAAAGCCCTTTGAGCTCCCCTCGGCTGATTCCACGGCTCCCCCGACTCCGGCGCCAGAAGATGCAAACAAGGAGATGTTTCCAGGCAATAGTAATGGCAACGACAACGGTAACGGCAGCTTGACTGCTGCGATGGACAAGGAGGGACTGGCGCAGTCCAGCCGAACAAAGTCAGATATCAACTTGACCTCCTCTACACTGCTGGGAATCTACTCGCCTACTGCGTTTGACGGCGGCCGAGAAGATAGAGACATCCCCGGGACAACGCCGTGGGGAACAGGTGCGCAGACTCCTAATCTACGAGGGTCAGGCATATTTGAAAACGGCAATGGTGCGAAGGCAAGCGGAAACGGTGCTGTGAACAGATTTTCCGAAGAGCAGAGGAAAAAGAAGCTTCACAAGCAGGAGCAAGACCGACAACGGCAGAATGAAGTGCGTCGTAGGCAGCGCGGGCTTGTCCGTGGTTATTTGCTGCCTGCCTTGCAACAGAGCGGGCTGTTGTTCCTGTTCGGTGTGACATTTGGTGTCATTATTATGCATCTACACGATAGCCCGCAGATGGCGGACCTGTTACCGCTGCACATCCCCGTGCGAGTGGAAATCATCAACTTTGGCCTAGAGTGGTGGCATTACCTAGTGTTCTGGGGAGTGGCCGGTGTTGCACTGGGTAATTTGCTACCTTGGTTCGATCTTATGTGGGAGGACTTTATGGGAGAGAACCCCGTCAAGGGAAGCAGTGAAGCTGGCTGGAACCCAATGGTGCGCAGCATCGGTGCTTTTGTGGGAGTTGCCTTCGCCATTGTAAGATTTTATCCCCCACGCCCGTGAAAGAATATAAGCCCCCGAACTAATATGTGTATGCTTGTGTCTAGCGAAAACTACCATGGCAGTCATCGACTCAGGTCTGTTTGACACTTGCGCTTGTGAACCCGTTCCTCTGGTACCTTATCGACCGCTCCAAGTCTGGCTTCGTCCTCTCTACGGCTATCGGACTGACAGGCATGATGGCCCTACTGGAGATGAACCCCGACATAATATTCTCCCCCAGCAACGCCGCCGATGCCGTAGATGAGACCGTATTCGGAATAGCCGGCCTGACCCTCTCACAGGGCCAGCTCGCAGTCGGAACATGGATTGCCAGCGTTCTCTTCTGCAGCTGTGTTTGCTTCGGCAATATTGGGCGCAAACTTGCATAGTGAGAGACACTGATTGTCTCGCTTTACTTCTGTTTCAAACACAGCAACAACGAAACGACCTTCTGGCTTTTTTCAAGGAAAATAAAGGAAGCGCATGACGTTAATGGATACCCTCTTGTTTAGCAATGATTTCTTCTTCTTCTTCTCTCTTCTCTCTCTTTCTCTTTTTCTACTCAGGACATGGCTTGTATGGAAACGGAAATGAAGTGCTGAAACGGCCGGTTAATTGTATAAACAAGGTAGAATTGATATGTAATTTTGTAATAAATAACCCCCCGAAATATCCTCGCTCTTGATCATGTCAAACAGCTTGCTAGTAATGGGCCCGAAACTGTAGGTTCAATCATTGCAATCCCATCCATGAGGCGGATGGCACTGCACCCAAGACCGAATCTTGCTTCCTTCTCCATTCCCAAGAAACATAGGTCATGTAACTTGAACGTCCTGGCATCATGAATCCCCGAAAGAACTTTTGCAGAACATTTTGACGGAATGTGATTTATTTGCGTTGTTCATGGAGAGGAAAAGAAGAGAAGAAAAAGAAGAAAAAGTCGAAGTCGAGATTTTATGCAAAAATTTTGATCACGTGATACTGCTTTTTTAGTGTGGAAAGTGGAAAAGAGCAGGAAGAAGTCCTTCATATATGAATACGTATATCTAATGGCTAATGGTATGTTCGAGGCTGATGTCGATGCTATGTTTATGACCATTGACTTGTCAGTGCTCAATTGCAGACGATTACTCCGTACTGTATAATAAGCTGTAGCTACTATTTAACTAAAGCTGTAGATGTTGCAGTAGATCTGATACTTTTTCTGTGTCTTCATTAATTGATACACTAATTTATTTAACTAGTTAGTGCCCTGCAGACTAGCTACATGTTTATTTGAGTGCAAACGGCGAGTTTAATAGGCTAATTTAAGAAAATTAAGACCAGAATATCAGATATCACTCTGTTTCGTGGTATCAACTAGTTATCAACACTGATCAAGCCGACCCAGCCCAGCTTTTCTCTTACTTCAGCCTCACCACCACCACCACTACGACTACTACTTCTCATTATCCATCTTTGTTATTCTCACCTCATTCTCTCTGCCAAACTCCTTCACTATCACCACATCTTCGTCTTCACTATCAAATTCACTCCAAGCTTCAGCTCTCACTGCCTGCTTACTAAAATATCACGTGACTGCTCCTGAAAAGGCAAGGTTGTTTATTCAAATCGACTTCTCGACCTTCTCCTTTGACTTCCTCTTTGCCTCTCAATCAACCGCTTGCGATCCTCAGACACAAACATCCTCCCTGCTAGAGCTCTCTCTTCTCCTCGCCTCTCTTTGCTTCCGCCCCTGTCCTTCTCTCCTTCAGCCTGCTCTTTTCATTCCCTCTCACTCTCTCCTTTTTCTCCCCTACTTCTTCGGCATAGCTGGCGCTCCGGGTTTGGTTGGATGAGGTCGTTGCCTTGACGGCCATTACGAAATCATGGCTCCTCTTCCCATTCAGTTTACGGAGCTTTTACAGGTATGATGGCCTCGGGAGTACTTCTAGAACTGCGCCTTGTCTGCCTGGAGCTTTTGATCCCTTACTGACACGTTGCCGTAGTTAACGAACGTTGATATTGTGGTACGCAATCACCCTCTCCACACGAGCAAGCCTTCTCCCCATTCCTCGCCCCAGTCAATCGATATGGCCCCTACGGCCTGCTATCTTGATATTTCATCGGATACTGCGTCTTTTGGGCTCATGTTGATGGGCATTGTGGTTGTTGGAATGTGGGGAGGAGGGCTTCGTGGCTGTGCATGATAGCTAACTACAGCTTGCTTCATCATCTTTATCTCTAGCCTGCATCTATCGGCTTTAATTCATGTGTAAGTATTCTCCAGCGGCCCCCGTTCTGCTTCCGCAGTTGCTAATCATCTCCCTTTTCTTGCAAATCGTTTAGACTTTAGAATCCGATAGTTTCGTCTGCATACGACAAAAGGTCAACGATGAAGATAAGACACAAGTTATCATAGTCAATCTTAAAAACAACAATGAGGTCATCCGGCGCCCGATTAATGCCGATAGTGCGATCATGCACTGGAACAAGAACATTATCGCGCTTAAGGCCCAGGGCAAGACCATCCAGGTCTTTGACCTCCAGGCAAAGCAGAAGCTCAAGTCGGCAGTCATGACTGAAGATGTTGTCTTCTGGAAGTGGTACAGTGAGACAAGTATTGGCTTGATCACTGAGTCCTCGGTTTACCACTGGAACGTCTTTGACCCGACTCAGCATGCTCCTCTTAAGATGTTCGACCGGATTGCAAATCTCGCGGTGCGTTTTACCTCTTTCGTATCCTTTATTAGTATTGCCATCTTGTTTTTCACTATAATCAAAAAGGGGAAATGCAACTAATCAAGTGAATAGAGCTGCCAAATTATTAGCTATCGTGTTAATGAGGAGGAAAAGTGGATGGTGGTTGTTGGTATCAGTCAACAGCAAGGACGGATAGTAGGAACAATGCAGCTCCATTCGGTTGAACGAGGCATATCTCAACACATCGAAGGCCATGCCGCCGCCTTTGCTACCATCAAGGTCGACGGATCACCCTTACCTCATAAACTCTTCACCTTCGCTGTCAGAACCGCAACCGGTGCCAAACTTCAGATTGCAGAGATCGATCACCAGGAGCCCAACCCTAAGTTCCAGAAGAAGGCTGTTGAGGTTTACTTCCCACAGGAGGCTACCAATGACTTCCCAGTTGCCATGCAGGTTTCTGAGAAATACGATGTTGTCTATCTTATCACCAAGTTCGGCTTCATCCACCTCTATGACCTCGAGACTGGTACATGCATCTTCATGAACCGCATTTCCAGCGAAACCATCTTCGTTACCACACCAAACTCAGATTCTACTGGTATTGTCGGTGTCAACCGGAAGGGTCAGGTCCTCTCTGTCAGTGTGGACGAAGGCACCATCATTCCATATCTCCTTGAAAACCCAGCAAACACATCTCTGGCTGTTAAGCTTGCATCCAAGGCTGGCCTTCCGGGTGCAGATAATCTTCTTCAGAGACAGTTTGAACAGCTCCTATCTCAAGGAAACTATGCAGAGGCTGCCAAAATCGCCGCCAATTCGCCCCGGGGGTTCCTGCGAACTGCAGACACTATCAACCGCCTAAAGGCTGTATCACAGTCAGGTCAGGGCATGTCTGTAATCCTCCAATATTTCGGAATGCTTCTTGACAAGGGATCTCTAAACGTATACGAGAGTGTTGAATTGACTAGACCTGTCTTGCAGCAAAACCGAAAACATCTCCTTGAGAAGTGGCTCGGCGAGGATAAGCTGGAATGCTCCGAGGAGCTAGGTGACATCGTTCGGCCACACGACATGAACATTGCTTTGAACATCTACCTCAAGGCCAATGTTCCCCACAAGGTCGTTGCTGGCTTCGCAGAGACTGGTCAATTCGACAAGATCCTGGCTTACTCCAAGCAAGTCGGCTATCAACCTGACTATGTCCAGCTTCTACAGCATATTGTCCGAGTTAACCCAGAGAAGTGTGCAGAGTTTGCTGGTCAGCTTGCAAACGATGACAGCGGTGCCCTCGTTGATCTTGACCGTGTTGTCGATGTCTTCGTCTCTCAAAACATGATCCAGCAAGCTACTGCATTCTTGTTGGATGCTCTCAAGGACAACAAGCCTGAGCATGCTAAGCTTCAGACTAGGCTGCTAGAGATGAACCTTGTCAACGCTCCTCAGGTCGCCGATGCTATCCTGGGTAACGAGATGTTCACCCACTACGACAAGGCTAGGATCTCACAACTCTGCGAGAACGCAGGTCTCTATCAGCGTGCGCTCGAGAACACTGATGATTCCACAGTCATTATGCGCAACATTGTCCGCACGGACAAACTGAACCCCGAATGGTTGATAGAATTCTTTGGCCGCCTTTCAGTGGAACAGTCCCTGGAATGTATGAACGAGATGCTTCACTCAAACCTCCGTCAAAATCTTCAAGCTGTTGTTCAAATCGCTACCAAATTCTCTGACCTTTTGGGACCTACCAACCTCATCCAATTGCTTGAGAAATACCGAACTGCCGAGGGTCTCTACTACTACCTTGGCAGCATCGTCAACCTTAGTGAGGATGCCGATGTTCACTTTAAGTATATAGAGGCCGCTACTCGCATGGGCCAGATGACCGAAGTCGAGCGTATTTGCCGCGACAGCAACTACTACAATCCTGAGAAGGTCAAGAATTTCCTCAAGGAGGCCAAGCTCGCTGAACAACTTCCTTTGATTACTGTTTGCGATCGATTCAACTTTGTCCATGATCTAGTTCTGTACCTCTACCAGAACCAGCAGTATTCTTCGATCGAAGTTTACGTTCAAAGGGTCAACCCATCAAGGACTCCCGCTGTTGTCGGTGGCCTGCTTGACGTGGACTGTGATGAGTCTATTATCAAGAACCTTCTCACTACTGTTGACCCAGCTTCTATCCCAATTGATGAGCTTGTCGCTGAGGTAGAGAAGAGAAATAGACTGAAGATTCTTTTGCCATTCCTAGAGAACACTCTCAGCACCGGTAACCAACAGCAAGCAGTGTACAATGCCTTGGCCAAGATATACATTGACAGCAACAACAACCCCGAGAAGTTCCTCAAGGAGAACGACCTCTATGATACTCTAACTGTCGGAAAGTACTGTGAGAAGCGAGACCCTAACCTTGCATATATTGCATACCGCAAAGGCCAGAATGATCTTGAGCTTATCAACATCACCAACGACAACTCGATGTATCGTGCTCAAGCCAGGTATCTACTTGAGCGAGCTGATGGTGAAATTTGGGCCTTTGTTTTGAACGGAAACAACATTCACAGACGGTCCCTTGTTGACCAGGTTATTGCCACTGCCGTCCCAGAGTCTTCTGAGCCAGACAAGGTGTCAGTAGCAGTCAAGGCCTTCCTTGAAGCAGACCTGCCGACAGAACTCATTGAGTTGCTGGAGAAGATCATCCTGGAGCCGTCTCCCTTCAGTGATAACAGCAGTTTGCAGAACTTGCTGATGCTCACCGCTGCCAAGGCTGATAAGAGCAAGCTGATGGACTACATCCACAAGCTTACAGAATTCAATGCTGATGAGATTGCGGGAATGTGTCTGTCTGTTGGCCTGTACGAAGAAGCCTTCGAGATTTACAAGAAGGTTGAGAACCACCCTGCTGCCACCAATGTTCTCGTGGAACACATTGTCAGCATCGACCGTGCTCAGGACTATGCTGAGCGTGTTGAACTTCCCGAAGTATGGAGCAAGGTCGCCAAAGCTCAATTGGATGGCCTTCGCATCTCCGATTCTATCGCTTCATATATTCGTGCCGGAGACCCTTCAAACTACAATGAAGTTATCGAAACCGCTACCCATGCTGGCAAGGATGAGGACCTCATTGAATATCTCAAGATGGCCCGCAAGACTCTTCGAGAGCCTGCTGTCGATACTGCCATGGCCTTCAGCTTTGCTAGACTCGACAAGCTTTCCGAGCTTGACGATTTCCTCCGTGGAATCAATGTTGCTGATGTTGAAGCTTCCGGTGACAAGGCCTATGCCGAGGGATACCACCAAGCTGCAAAGATATTCTTCACCAGCATCTCCAACTGGGCAAAGCTTGCAACTACACTTGTCCATCTCGAGGACTACCAAGCTGCTGTTGAGTGTGCTCGCAAGGGCAACAGCGTCAAGGTCTGGAAGGAGGTTAACGCAGCCTGCGTTGCCAAGAAGGAATTCCGCCTTGCTCAGATTTGCGGCTTGAACCTGATCGTGCATGCTGAGGAGCTACAAGATCTGGTCCGCCAGTATGAGCGTAATGGCTACTTCGACGAGCTCATTGCTCTGCTTGAGGCCGGTCTTGGTCTTGAGAGAGCCCACATGGGTATGTTCACTGAGCTAGGAATTGCCCTGTCGAAGTACCATCCAGACCGTGTGATGGAGCACCTCAAGTTGTTCTGGACCCGAATCAACATTCCCAAGATGATTCGCGCGTGCGAGGAAGCCAACCTATGGCCCGAGCTAGTTTTCCTTTACTGCCACTACGACGAATGGGATAACGCGGCGCTAGCAATGATGGAGCGAGCAGCCGATTCGTGGGAGCATCACTCTTTCAAGGATATTGTTGTTAAGGTTGCCAACCTGGAGATCTACTACCGTGCCCTGAACTTTTATCTGCAAGAACAACCCCTGCTGCTGACGGACCTACTCCAAGTCCTTACTCCCCGCATCGACGTCAACCGGGTTGTTCGCATGTTTGAGAAGTCTGACAACATCCCCTTGATCAAGCCATTCCTTCTCAATGTACAGCCACAGAACAAGCGTGCGGTCAATAATGCCATTAACGACCTGTTAATTGAAGAAGAAGATCACAAGACTCTGCGAGACTCGGTTGAGAACCATGACAACTACGATCCCGTCGACCTGGCGCAGAGGCTGGAGAAACACGAGCTTGTATTCTTCCGCCAGATTGCAGCCAACATCTACCGCAAGAACAAGCGATGGGAGAAGTCCATCGCCCTCTCGAAGCAGGACAAGCTGTTCAAGGATGCTATCGAGACCGCTGCGATCTCAGGCAAGCCCGAGGTTGTCGAGGAGCTGTTGCGCTACGTAAGTACCTTGCCATGTGTTATGTTGTTTGGATTTCACACAATGTTGCTAACAAGTGATGATATGTTAGTTCGTCGACATTGGTAGCCGTGAGTGCTACGTGGGCATGCTATACGCCTGCTACGAGCTTATCCGCCCCGATGTGGTATTGGAAATGTCGTGGCGCCATGGCCTCCATGACTTCACGATGCCTTACATGATCAACATGCTGAGCCAGCAAGTGCAGACCATTGAGATGTTGAAGAAGGACAATGAGGAGCGTAAGGCGAAGGAAGCCTCTCAGCAGAAGGAAGAGGACAACACGCCCATCCTCGGAGGCTCGAGACTGATGCTGACGCAAGGTCCCAGCGGGTCAATGGGAGGGGGTGCACCGTCGATGTTTGGACAGCAGACCAACGGCATAACCCCCCAGCCAACCGGCTTCCGGCCATTCTAAGGACAAACATGCTAGAAAGAAAGAAAGAGAAAAGACTAGATAAGACGACGGGATGAGGATGATGAAGAAAAATAAAAATAACACCATACGAGGTCTCCGTGATTACGAATGAAATCATCGACACAGGAAGAAGAGAGAGAAAAGGAATGAGAATGAACGAAACCGGGGCCAGATATGGTGGCTTTTTGTTATCAGTTATGCCTTATCGGAAACTCAGGTGGTTTCTGTTGATATCCCACTTCCGCCTTCCCCCCCTTTTTTTTACTACACATTTTCTTTTTTTCTTTTTCTTTTTCATTTTTTCATTATTTCCGTCTGGGACTGTGAGCGGTGGGAAAGCATGGAAGATGGAGGAGAATGGAGGAGAAGCCTTTTTTCTTTTCTTTTCTCTTCTATTTCTTTTGTTATGTTTCTTCTGCTGTCCCTTTATTTTCCTCCAGCAAAGCCTTAAAAAAACAAAACCACATAAACTAATAATGTACCCTCACCCCCCTTGTCCGGCATCGGCTTCGGCACCGGCTTCCGGCTCCTACTCGTTTTACCTGTTGTTACTTACTCTCTGCACCTGTGCTGTCATGTCCTTTTCTCCTTCATCATGTGTATTTGATACGAGATATTTTGTTTTCTTTTCCTTTATTTTTTCATAATACACCATCACCCTAGCTGTAAATCGGACGTGCTTGTACATCGGCAAATAAGGTCAACCTCCAGTCCCTCTCGGCACGGATACATGAGTGGCTTCGTAAAAGGACAGCAAATATGTCGGCGATTCCCCCAGCCGGCATGCAAGATCCAAACTGACCGTGTGATGGGAGATCTCGACATAAAAAGGTAGCACAACTCAACAGAAGTAAACAAACATCCTGTTTCCGCAGCCAGTCGGAGCGTCCCCAACACGCAGGCCGTCAGCCATCTGCACGGTCTAAGAACATTAAGTATATAAGTAGTGCTGCGTTTTTTGGTTAACTCTTCTGTGCTTCTTCCCCTGGAGCTCCCCCCAACGCTAGCCAGCCAGCCCATCTTTTCCTTGACCAAACTGGTTTATCCTCGGCTAAACGAGACATCAATCAGGAGGTAACTAAATAAGAAAAGAAAATTAACGTCTGGATGAGAAAAGCCGGAAAAAGAAAGGAAGGACATGAGAAAGCTTCTCTCTCCTCTACTTCTCTCTCTGCTCAACCACTCTAACTACAACAGACTGGCTCTCAAGTATATTTTGCTCGGCTAGACGCTCAGCTTACGGATGGGGGTAGCTAAGTAAAATGGCTCACGGGCGGCCAATTAGTCAAAGAAAAGAAGCCGGTGGAAGGCTGGTCCATGTCGACGGGCCCTGAAGACAGCCAGATGATGTCTCTTTTCTTTTTCCGCCATCTCTGCTGCTCCATCGTCGTCGAGTCTTGTCGTTGTCGTCTTGGTTTCAGGCGGTTCTTGCTTGGTGGAGAGAATCCGAGGAGCATGGGTGGCTTTCCGACGGGGAATTGCCGTGTAGCCAGAGCACCGTCAGACTCACTCACTCACTCACTGCTGCAGAGTCAACGGTACATAGCATGCCGTCCTGGCCATCACCTCGTCCCGTCCTCTAATCTCACTCTATCTTCTTCTTCTTCTCTTCTTCATCTTCTTCTTCTTCGTCGTCGTCGTCTTCTTCTTGCTGTCTCTACTTGGCTGTCGCTTAGTAAAACCCGGCAGGTCATGTGGGGAGGGGCCACGTGAGCGGAGAATAATTAACGCGAGCCTCCGCGGACGAACCAACCAGAAAAAAGAAAAAAGCGACGGAAAAAGCAAATAAGAAAGCAGGAAAAAAAAAAAAAAGAAGAGACGAAGCAGCCAAACCTTGCGGGGCAAGTTTAAAATAAAAGGCGCGACGAACTTCCGCTGCGACGCTTCGGACGGCCACAACATCCCAACATCGCCAGCTTCGCCCTCGTCCTCCTTGCCGCTCGCTCAAAGAGGTGACGGTCGTCTTCAGGTACGTCTGCTGGCCATGTTCGACGGGCTGCCGCAGCGACGTGGTGGCCGTCAATGGCTGTGAACATGTTCGCCCGCTGCTCGCTCTGCCCCACTGCGGTCTGCTCCAGGGCCCCTCCGCCAGGCCGATGCCGCGGCTTCACGCTCTCTCTATAAGAAGAGATGAGCCGGGCATACAGAGAGAACGATGGAGATCATATCGATGCTGACTGTTGTTTTTTTTTCTTTAGAAGAACCATCTTATATCGAATCGAACAAGTGAGAAGGGAAACGAGCTACACCGAGAACCGGAGAGTATCTATATAGATAGCGGCGTGATATCAGGACCGTCATCTTCGTCCTCTGACACCTGATACCCCCGTTGATACACATCTATATACATACATACATATATTCTCTATACAAACATGGCTCCAGCACCTGTACCTCTGCCAGACGTCAATAGTACGGCTGTCCGCGAGGACGCCGTCGAGGAAGATGTCATGGAAGACCACCACCCGTCCAACTTCCAGGATTCCGTCCACAGCCGTCTACGGGCCAATTCCTCCATCATGCAGTTCCAGAAGATCCTCGTCGCCAACAGAGGAGAAATCCCCATCCGTATCTTCCGTACAGCCCACGAACTCTCCCTACAAACTGTTGCTATCTTCAGCTACGAGGACAGACTGAGCATGCATCGCCAAAAGGCCGACGAGGCGTATCAGATCGGTAAGCGTGGCCAGTACACGCCCGTGGCTGCCTACCTGGCCGGCCAGGAGATTGTCAACATTGCCTCGCAGCACGGCGTCCACCTCATTCACCCGGGATACGGCTTCTTGTCCGAGAATGCCGAGTTTGCTCGTGCTGTCGAGAAGGCCGGTATGGTCTTCGTCGGTCCTACTCCAGAGACTATCGATAGACTCGGTGATAAGGTCTCTGCTCGAAAAATCGCCATAGAGTGCAAGGTCCCCGTCGTGCCCGGTACCCCCGGCCCGGTCGAGACCTTCGATGCTGTCAAGTCCTTCACGGATGAGTACGGCTTCCCCATCATCATCAAGGCTGCCTTTGGTGGTGGTGGCAGAGGCATGCGTGTCGTCCGTGACCAGGAGTCGCTGCGGGACTCCTTCGAGCGTGCTACCTCGGAGGCCAAGACTGCTTTCGGCAATGGCACCGTCTTCGTAGAACGCTTCCTCGATAAACCAAAGCACATCGAAGTTCAGCTTCTTGGAGACAACCACGGCAACGTCGTCCACCTGTATGAGCGTGACTGCAGTGTCCAACGTCGTCATCAGAAGGTCGTCGAGCTTGCTCCGGCCAAGGATCTCCCCATTGATGTCCGTGACAACATTCTTGCCGACGCCGTTAGGCTCGCCAAACACGTAAACTATCGCAACGCCGGTACCGCGGAGTTCCTGGTCGACCAGCAGAACAGATACTACTTTATCGAAATCAACCCCCGTATCCAGGTCGAGCACACCATCACCGAAGAAATCACAGGCATCGATATTGTCGCTGCCCAGATCCAGATCGCCGCCGGTGCTACCCTAGAACAACTCGGCCTCACCCAAGACCGCATCTCCATCAGAGGTTTCGCCATCCAATGCCGTATCACCACTGAGGACCCTACGAAGGGCTTCCAGCCAGATACTGGCAAGATCGAGGTCTACCGCTCTGCAGGTGGTAACGGAGTCCGTCTTGATGGCGGTAACGGCTTTGCTGGCGCCATCATCACCCCACATTATGACTCCATGTTGGTCAAATGTACCTGCCATGGTTCCACATACGAAGTCGCACGCCGAAAGATGCTTCGTGCCCTCGTTGAGTTCCGTATCCGTGGCGTCAAGACAAACATTCCCTTCTTGGCTTCGTTGCTAACACACCCTACCTTCATCGACAGCCAGTGCTGGACCACCTTTATTGATGATACCCCAGAACTATTCTCCCTCATTGGCTCTCAGAACCGTGCCCAGAAACTCCTTGCGTACCTTGGTGATGTTGCAGTCAACGGAAGCAGCATCAAGGGCCAGGTTGGCGAACCCAAGTTCAAGGGCGAAATCTTGAAGCCCATCATGCGTGATGCAGATGGCAAACCAATCGACCTCAGCTCTCCCTGCAAGGAGGGATGGAAACAAATCATCGATGAAAAGGGCCCCGCTGCCTTTGCAAAGGCTGTTCGTGAGAACAAGGGATGTCTTATCATGGACACCACTTGGCGTGATGCCCATCAGTCCCTGCTGGCAACTAGAGTTCGTACCGTTGACCTCGTCAACATCGGCAAAGAAACCAGTTATGCTTTCAGAAACGCATACAGTTTGGAGTGCTGGGGTGGTGCTACCTTTGATGTCTCCATGAGATTCTTGTACGAAGATCCATGGGACAGACTCAGAAAGATGAGGAAGGTTGTTCCAAACATCCCCTTCCAGATGCTGCTTCGTGGCGCCAACGGCGTTGCTTACTCTTCGTAAGTTTTTCCCTTTATTCTATATGAAAGATTAGTACGCTGATATTATGAACGTTATTATAGCCTTCCTGACAATGCCATCTACCACTTCTGTAAGCAGGCAAAGAGATATGGTGTTGATATCTTCCGTGTCTTCGATGCCCTTAACGATATCAACCAGCTTGAAGTTGGTATGAAGGCTGTAGCCGCAGCAGGTGGTGTTATTGAAGCTACTATCTGCTACTCGGGAGACATGCTTAACCCCAAGAAGAAGTACAACCTGGACTACTACCTTGGCTTGGTCGACAAGATTGTAGCCCTGGGAACTCACATCCTTTGTATCAAGGATATGGCTGGTGTCCTCAAGCCTCAAGCTGCCACCTTGCTTGTCGGAAGCATCAGGAAGAAGTACCCTGATCTCCCCATCCACGTCCACACTCACGACTCAGCCGGTACCGGTGTTGCCTCCATGGTTGCCTGTGCACAGGCGGGCGCTGACGCCGTTGACGCTGCAACCGACAGCATGTCTGGAATGACCTCTCAGCCCAGTGTAGGCGCCATCCTCGCCTCTCTTCAGGGCACCGACCAAGACCCCAAGCTCGACATCCCCAAT